ATCTGGGTAAATAACAAATCTTAGATGCACCACAAACAGGGGAAAATAAGGAAATTACCCAGGGTTGTAATTTTTGGGCAACAAAATATATTTCCGTAGAAAGGGGGAAAGGGGTGGAGGAGAAAGAAGTTATCCAGGTATATTTTGACTGACCTGTACCCTCCTTGTAGTTGGATCAAGAGTTGCAAACAATTTATCCTCAGCAAGAACATCTGCTCCTGTTAATTGATTTAAAAGAGTACTCTTACCAGCATTTGTATACCCAACCTGCAGCATTATCATGACGTGTAAAATGCATAGCCAAAAGTCTTTGACATGAAGTGACTTTAATATAAAGGCAATAAATTACCAAGGACACTACAGGCACAGGTACTGAGATTCGCCTATTGCGGTACTGTTTCCGATGTTTCCTCACGGTTTCCAGCTCTTTCTTAAGGACACCTATCTGTCAAAGAAAAGGCATTCGATGATTAATAATGGCAGAGAAAGAACATAATTTAAGTAACCAAACTGTTACTGATCAGATATGCAACTTGTGTTTATAGAACTTTGAGGATAATACTACTCTGGAAAAATATGTATGCATTAGTTCCTTAGAATTCAGTAGATAAGAAAATGACAATAACAATGATAACATGCTTACTTGATTACGCAAAATACGTTTGTCCACTTCTATTTGTTTTTCACCCATTCCCTTCACCTTGCCTCCAGTTTGACGCTCAAGGTGAGTCCACATTTTTGTCAGTCGAGGTAACTGATATTCCATTTGTGCCAATGCAACCTAGAAGGACTATATCATTGTCAGAGAAATGCTTTAAAATTTCTTCTATCTTCCAAAGCTGGTTTTAATAATAAAACAACTAAAAGCTAAACAATTTAAATATGTAATTGCCTGTAAAGAAGCTTCATGTGTTGCAGCTCGCTGATTAAATATATCAAGGATGAGGGCAGTGCGGTCACAAACTCTCACATCTCCACCAAAAACCTTTTCTAGGTTGCGCAATTGCCTGTAATTGTTTGAAAGGAGGGAGGATAAGTAGTTTTATTATGCAAGAAGCTCTAGAGCAAAAAGGAAAACATAAAAGAAGAGCTGAATGTGAAAAAGAAACGATTATGATAATTATTTTTGTCAATTATAAGATCATAAAAGCAAAGCTGTGCAGAATAATTGGAACCTATGAAATGAATAAAGGGATAGAACATGCAGGCTATAGTGTAGCTAAAGCACGCTGATTGCCTTCTTAGTTTTCAACTGGAAATTCAACAACATCCAAGTTATCAATAGTCATTGGTGAAGTGACCTGAGGTATCAAATAAAATTTCCAGGGCAACCTTGGGCTAAGTAGACACAAAGATTTTGATTCCAAATACCTCCAGGCAAATACAAACAAGAATAACACTGATTTTTGTTGGATTTTTTACAACTCTGATATGGTCACTTTGCGTATACAAGGTGAACTGAAAATAAATGGAATAGTTGAATGTTACCAACTACATGATACTATGGACAAAAACCAACAGGAGACACCCATTGGATGATGATGCGGATGTGAATGCAGAAACAAAAAGAGGATTTTTTTTTTTGGGGGGGGGGGGGGAGACTCACCCAGCTGACAGTTCGTCATCAAATATTACAGTTTCAACATCCGATGCATGAATTGCACTCTTAATCTCGGAAACCTTGCCAGATCCAATGTATGTTCTGGGGTTTGGTTTAGAAAGCCTGCACTATTCACAACATTTTAAGAACTGATACTATGTTCTTTGAATAAAGAAAAGGTGCCGGACAATTTTCATGCAGCATTCAAATTCTCAATAGACTTAAAAAGAATCCTGTAAGCGAATTAGATTATTTTATTGCAATGCATTTCATCAATTTTATGCTCCTCACATGACAACACGCATTCCATCATTGGGATGTGGTGTCCCGGGTCAAATCCCCCGGCAATAGCCAAAACAACATCAAGAAAGATGGCTTGAAAGGATTAGAAAATTTTGCACATAAAGTAATGAGTGCAAATCTGCATGTGCATTATTTCATGAAAATCGAGAGAAAAAGGAAAAATTAGCAATGAAATACACTGTATAATTTAGCCTAACAACACATGATATTCTGGAAGTTGGAAAACCCCATGACAAGAGATAGCAAAAGAATCTCTTGAATGAGACGTAGGTCTCCAGGGTCAGAATCTATATGATCTCAGTTTCAACTTTCCTAAGTAACCGTTAGAAAGATTTTTGACGACCACATACACCAGTAGTCTTTTAACATGAAAATTATAAACCAAGCAAGTTTTGTGATTACAGTATAGAGTGCCAACAAACCTATTCTACACAGGGTTATATATTAAATTTAAGCCCAGTGAACTGCAAAATTATGTACCAAAGGAACTATAGCCAAATACCAAAAAGAAAATTAAACTATGACAAAAAATCATAAAAACTTACTTTTGGTAAGTAGAGCCAACAACCATTAATCCAGCAGTGTCAGCTAGCTGGGCTAGCTCCTTGATAGATTCTTCAATGCCAAAGGAATCCTGTGTATCACCTTTGCACTCAACACCCACTAAGTAGGCTTTTTCTTCGAAAACCTGAAAGCAGGGAATAAATTCAATTCAAACAGTGGCAGTTTAGCTTGTTTGTACATGCTTCTTTTCAATTAACATGATTACTTGCTATATGACTAGTGACTACATCAAATTCTGCCGCCATGATGCACAAGATTGCATTTCCACAGCCAGCTTTTGTGATTTTCCTGCTTTTTCCTTCCATTGATATGAAACAAACTTGCATAATATTATCTTTTAAAACAGTCCTTATTGTGCGAGATAAACGGTAACTGCATTCTGCATCTGCTAATGTGAAGGCAGGCAATTATTTTGTCCCATGAACTTCATAGAGGCATTCGACGTTTTCTATATATGACAAAATTATTATGAGGACTCTAAGGATCAAGCCGAATACTCAAAACGAAGAGGGCATAAACGTGAAAGTTTCCGAGGAATGCCCAAAAAAATGTCCAGTACAAACTGAGGATAAAATAAGTATCTCTCGGGGCCCGAATCTTCAAGCGTCAAAAATGGAATAAGAAAGACGAAAGCGAAGCGGTTACCGACCTCCCTTCCATTCCGGATGGTAAACCTATTATCATCGCTGTCCTGTTCCATTTTCTTCTTCTTAGCTTTAGTCGACCAACCGGAAGCTTTATCTTCTAGAGTTATGCCAGAACCTCCACTGTCTATACCAGGCCCTGCTATTACTACTTCTTTTTCCTCTTCTGGAACTCGGTCCGTGCTCTTAATCACCGGGCTTTGCAATGAAACATTGTCATCGGATACTAGACCAAACTCTTCTGATGGAGCAGAGATACTGAGTCTGGAGGAAATGCACTTAGAATCCTTCCTGAGACGATTAGGGTTTCGGAGAGAAATACAAGGAACATAGAGCTCGGGAATTACAGGCGATGGCCGAACAATCGAACCGCAGAGACTGGCGTTCATCATAAAGTTCCCTTCCCCCGCCCTTTTCTGTACTCCTTCCCAGTTCCCTCGATTTCTTTCAATCTTCCGTTATCTCCGTGACAAGTTGCTGAATGGTTTAAAAAAAAAATTTTTTAAGGAAAGGCAAAATGCTTTCTTATTTTTGATAGCCAAAATATTTTGTAAAATGATAAGATGTTTTGAAACAGTGCCAAGTTGGCATGCTATTGCTCATAAACCGGTGAACGTGGGCGCGCACAGATTGTTTTTCCCTGACTTTTTTTCCCCCCTCTAACGAAAATAAAATGTCCGGGTGCATCTGGTTTATTAACCGCCCCACAGACAACATGGATAATGTTGCAAGAAAGAGAAAAACACCATAGATAATTTACCTTTTGAATTGAACAATGGAGTTGTTTTCATGGAGGAAAATAAGTAATACTCCTCCGGTCCTTAATATAGGACCCAATTCTTGAGTTGGTTTTAGTTCTAAATATAAGACGCATTTCTCATATTTATTAATTTTCTCTAAATTACCCCTATGGATACTCTTTTAACCATAATTAAGTAGAAGAGGGAGGTGGGGTATTAAGAAAGATGATTATGGTGTTTTAGGAAAAATGTGTCACTTTTCCTATAATTAACTAACTTACCTAACTTCTTTAATTTAATCAAATTAGTTAAATGGGTCTTATATTAAAGACCGGAGGAGTATATCATATCTTTTAGTATGAGATTTAGATAATTAATTTTAAAATATTAAATAAAATTAGTTAAATTAATTATTTGTTATAAATATGTATTGGTCTTCTAAAATATCTTCTTCTTTTCTTTACTGATCCTAAAATATACTCTTTAATCTTGTGCATTAAAATATTTTTTGATAAAAACTTTTTATAATCAATGAAAATATTCTTAAAAAAAAGAAAACTAAATTGAGATTTTATACCTATAAGTAAATTCAGTTTTTAGTTACATTAGCTATTACAGGTAATAATAAATAACACATGAGATGCACTGCGCGTCGGGGATGATCATGGCACCTGTGGCTTGTTTCTAATTGAGAACATGAATATGATGGGATACACTTGGGCCGGGGTTATCTTCAGCACCCCCGTAACATATTCAAAGATGGCACAGCCCAAACAAAACCAAATTACTCCCTCCGTTTTTTATTATAAGAGACATTTGATGCTTATGGCATGTTCCTATATATAAAAGACACTTAAAAGTTGTCTCTACTTTTTTGTGTTGATTTCCTATTTTATCCATATTTATTGTCTCTAACTCACACTCTCTCTCCTTCCCACTTCTCTTTCTTTTAATAATTTACTATTATTCTCTCTCATGTTCTCTCTCCTTATTAATGAGGGTATTTTTAGAAAAGAAATTATATTTTTTACATATTGATTGTTCTTAACTAATTTTAACTGTTTTTTTTATCAACGTAATTCGGTTATTCGTCTCTTATAATAAGGAACGGAGGGAGTACACCCGAAGGGACCATACTGCCACAGTCAGTTTCGGGGTTTGCTCCGGGCAAAGATGTTGATTCGAAGAACGTTGTCTATGGCAATTTCTCTGGCAACAATAATCCCGCTCTCTCCGCGAGCTGCAAAACTTTTTCGCGTTCAGAAGCAAATTAATTTTCCTCGCTCATCCTCCCTTTGCCCAAGAAACCTTGTTTTTCTCTCCTGCTCCAGCTTCGCTTCCTCCATTTCTGCTGGAGAAACCGGCCAGATTCCTGAGGAGTCGGAGAAAAATGTAATTATATTTGTCTTCCGTTCAGTGTACCAGCTTCACTATCCTCCTGAAGTTTCATTCCTAGGATTAAGACCTTCTCTGGTTAAAACTAATTTCTTTTCATGTGACATGAATAATAGTAAGTTTGTGTTTTGGCAGGCTAATCTGAAACCTGGCCTTTATCTGGTAGGAACACCAATTGGAAATCTTGAAGATATTACCTTTAGGTACTTGCAAAGTTAGTTTGATTTTACGCCATTACGACTGAATAGAAACTCGTTGGTGTGGCTTTTATTTTAGCTCTGTCGTTGCCAGGGTTCTCTTTCTTCACCACGAGCCAAAAAAAAAAAAAAAAAACGAACTAGCAAATAAAAGTGGCTTAGCAATTTGAAGAGAAGTGAATTTTGGCATTCTTCTACGGTTCGGTGACTTTTTCCATGCTGTCTGGATCACCAATGCAGGGCTCTTCGCGTATTAAAGTCAGCGAATGTGATACTTTCAGAAGATACTAGGCATTCTGGAAAGTTGCTTCACCACTACAATATCAAAACACCCCTTGTACGGGTCTTCCAAACTTCTTATTGCTATTGGCGTTTATCAATCTATTCTAATTCTGTTCTCTAGATTTTCAGATGAGTTATCACAAATTCAATGAATCACAAAGGGAACAGGTAGTGTTGAAGAGGTTGAGGCAGGGTGAGATTGTTGCGCTAATCAGCGATGCCGGAACACCAGGCATTAGTGATCCTGGTATGGAATTGGTGAGTGTGCTGATTCTATGCCGACTCGAACATGCTTATCTGTGCTTCTGTGTGTAGTGTGAGAGAGATTATTCACCAAAAGGGTTTCTGAAATAAATAATGCAGGCCAAATTATGTGTTAATGAAAATATCCCTGTTGTCCCTATACCTGGGCCTTGTGCCTTGATATCAGCTCTCTCCGCCTCAGGATTAGCTACTGATGAATTTACTTTTGGTAATTTCTGACTACCTCTGTTGGTCAATAGATCCGTTCATAAATTTTGGCATTAGTAACGCTCTTGGCACTAAACATGACATATTTTGCTATAGTTGGCTTTCTCCCAAAGCATTCTGGATCTAGAAGAAAGAGACTCACGGTTTCAGCCGATGAAGCAACTACACAAATATTTTATGTTCCTCCTCACAAGCTTTCCCAATTTCTTGACGAAGGTGCTTCATCTTTTGGGGATACGAGGTAGTAAAGATATGCTTAATATATAAAATTTGCCTTGTATTATAGTTTGTTCACCGTCAAATGATTTATTGCTTTGTATTTTCAGTTGCTAAAGGAATGCTTTTATGCAAACTTTAGCATTTTATTCGAACACTTGTTTGGATTCATCTCATGTATTGATGTGGGATATGAAGGAAAAAGGAAGTTGCCTTGACAATTATACTTTAGGTGGTTTATTACAGTTTAATGGTTGAGCCATTAAGTGATTAAACTTTTTAGCATGTTTATGTTTGCACTTTGAGGCTGTTACTCGTTGTCGTTGCACTATTTTTATCCTCCTTTCTTTTCTTTTTCCCGTTCAATGCCTGTATAAGTAATTATAGAGGAGCAATAGAAAGATGTGGAATAGTGAGTAACAGCAGGTTAAGATTAGTTTTGACTCAGTAAATTTCATTTCTTTTGTGATATGCCAGGCCATGTATTATTGCTTTGGAAATTTTGTTCCACTTTGCATTGTTTTATGTTCTCTTAGGAGCATTTCTTTTGGTCATCTTAGAGTAGCAGAAAAACACGGTTTAATTAAACATTAGTTATGGGTTAGTTTTGACTCGCTCATTGATGGTATTGTAGACGATGTGTCATTGCTCGGGAGATGACCAAGTTACATGAGGAGGTATGTTTATCATCCATATCTGTGGTATTTGTTCATGATTATCTTATTTATAATGGCTATTGGTTATCTTATTTATAATGACTGGAGCAGTTGATTCTGTAATTATTTTTCATTTTAATCATCGTAACAAGTGCAAAGACCATTAGTTCCTGATTATCTTGAACTCTTCAGATGCTCCACGCCATTGCAATAGTCAATTGGAAGAATTATTTTATATAGCTATGGTGTCTCATTTTGACCTTTATCCACTTTATGCTCGCTGGATTCATGGTATCTTATTATAAATTTCTGTGTATCATCTTAGAGGAAAAACTGCTATGGACGTGTGACTGTTTGTCTTTATTAGTTTTCTCCCTTTGATGAGTAATCTTAATTATGCATCCCATGAACATGCCATATGGTTTTTCTAAATTTTGTTAATAGAGTGGTCTGTTGATTTGCTTTAAATATTGTTTGCATGCGATCCTTCCTATGCTGATGTACAAGGTAATGCTTATGTAGTTTTGGCGTGGTACTCTTGGTGAAGCCAAGAAAGCGTTTTCATTGCACCAGCCAAAGGGAGAACTTACCATATTAATTGAAGGGCGCACAAAGTCTAAAGTTGAACCACCATCAGAGATTCAGCTTGAGAATGAATTGAGGGATTTAATTTCACAAGGCGAGAGCCTTTCCATGGTAACATTTTGCTTTTATCTGGACACTGCAATCTTTAGATCTGTTCCCTTAGCCGCTAAAGTTGGGTACAGTTGAATTAAATTTATATGGAAGTTTGATCAAGAGCTAATTATGGATGTAGTTGTCTATACTAAACAAATCAAACTGAGGAATATGGTAGTCGAATCTGTGGTTCGGGGATGGCTTATATTAGTAGTTTGAAGTTTTTAAGTCTCAAGAGATGATGGAAAAGAGAGAAAATTAGTGTCCATGTTATAGGCAAAAATACTAAAGACCGTCCTGATTTATTTTGCTTCCTTTGCGAGTGCTTGCTTGGTATTTCCCCTGCCCATATCTGCAAAATGCCAACATTATGGACTTTAAGGACTGCAGAGCTAAATCTAAATATCAATTTAGCCAGCGATTAAAAGTTTAAAGTATTGCATGGCCGAAAAACAGTTTACAGCGCTGATATTATTTCCGCTGAATTTGAAGCATAACAATGTTAGAGCCCAAGGTTAAATTAATTCACACACTAATGTTACCGAATAGCCTCTCTCAATGAAATTGTAACTTTTACCAATGTGTATTTAGGCTGTCAAGTCGGTAGCTGATGGAACATCAGTGAGTAGAAAAACCGTATATTCACTTGCATTGAAAAAATTCGGGAAGCAATTGGAAGTAGAAGATGACACAAAGTAAAGCAGAGTACTCATGTAAGCTGAAATTGAGGTTTCATTTGCCATTATGTTGAATTCAGTCGTTTTCTTAAGCCTAATGACTATTATAGTTCCTAATCAACAGAAAGGTGGGATCACTTGAAGGTCTAGAGAAATGATTTCTTGTTGGAGCACAATTGTGGATTCTAGCAAGAGTACTGGTTGCTGCAGTTTTTGTCAAGAATATTGTTGCATTGGCTCACCATAGTTCTCATTCTCTCGCCGATTGTATGTAAAAGGTGTCTGCAAATCGACACTCCGGGTGGTAGCGAAGCATGGGCTGTTGGAACATGCTGGAGAAGAAAATGACAGCATAATCCCTATTTCCTCTTGTATGTCATCTCCGTTGACGGGAAAAATTACTAAAATAGATGCACACTGTATTTTTCACCTGATCTGCCCTGGCCTTTCGTGGTTGAATGGGAGCTGAAGGGATTTGGATTTTGATGATGCTTACTGTGAATATGGATCTAACAGTTCTATTAGCGAGCTTTTTTCATCTGATAACGAAATACGAGAACAGTTTATCTGTGAATATACTGGTCATTTTGTGGGACTTCTTACGTTGATCCAGTTTTAGATCTAGCCATGAGGAGCGGAAGATCATATAATATGCTTATCAGATCCCCACCGCCGAGGAAAGCTTGGTAATTTGATAACCATTTTGGCTTTGCTTTTAGTTTTCTGTAGTGTCTCTGGTGCAGGAAATTGCATATAGGTTTCTGATGGTGCGGATATCATTAGTTGTGCATTCTAGTTTATTTTCGTTCTAAGTTGCTGAAGAACTACTCTAACCATCTAATCTAATCTGAAATATCTAAAGACCAAGGATACAAAGATTCTTTAATTAGAGACGCAGCTAGACTAGAGGGGGGAAAAGCTAAAACTTAAAAGGCGTGAGACAGGATTGCAGAAAGGGACTACCATTAACTGCTGCTCAGACTTGCTCATCCTCTCCAGCTGTGGAATCCTATGTACAGGGAATATGAAATTGGAAAGAAGGGGGTAAAACTTAGAAAGGGTACAAGTAGTGAAAATTTGTGAAAGGAACTGGAAGCATGAGCGTGAGCAGCTGCGTTGTAGGGACACAGGGAAAGCGAAGCAGAAGGGGCGGTCGGAATCACGGGCACTGCAAAACGACCTGTCATATGCACAAAATGCAAGCTAGCTGCATCCACCTTCTCCCCAGATAGCAACTCCTCAACAACACTACTTTCAAATCACACTCATATTCTTGTACTAAATCATGCTTTTTTTTTTCTTTTCTTTTTTTTAAAACTTTTCATACGTCGTTGGAGGTAGTAGTGGGAGGCTTAAAAATACGCTGGCCAGTGGCCAAGATGCAGCCAGGATCGAATTGCATCTTCCTTTGATAAAATTGGTCCCATTTGTTCCCAAAGTGGTCCTTCCACTGCTGTTGCTTTGTGTAATGTGGAAGATACTGTTTCACCTTGATACCCTCATCATCGCAGAATCTCAGGATTTCATGGTTCTGATTGTTCAGGTACTCCACCGTCTCATTATCGACAGCTGATCTCAGAAATGCCACCAGGTAGAACACCTCCTCCTCTGGTGTCACCACCGAGCTCCGCTGATCCCACCTACACCACCGCACCCCCCCCAAAAAGGAAAAAAGAAAAGAAAAAACAAAGCCAAATAAATCTTGTTAATTTCCCTTTTTCTTATGATGCAAAGCCAAGATGTTAATGCAAGAGTACACTTACCATTCTTGCTCAATTCTTGCTAATTTTTTTTTTTTGTCCTGAGCGAAGTCAAAATGGGTGCTGGTGACGGATGAGTGCACCTAGTACCACCAAGTTACTTTATTCATCGTGTTTTTAAGTCACTAATTATTATCAATATGTTAGTATAATTAGTGTGTGTGAACAATGTAAGGTGTAGATTTATCTGGAAAAAACATTTTGCTAAATCAATTAATAATGTATTTATATGTTTTTCGTAATAAACTAACGAAGATGATAGGGTAGGTGGCATTTCTGGTGAGAAAGGGATGTGTTAGGGGTGGAAGAAGACTTGGAAAACAAGACATGCATCGGTGGATCCCCGATGAAGATCTCCTGACACGAGAATCTTCTCGGTTGGATGATCGCAACCATCCATTTGTTTGCTTCGGCACATCGAACACAATTTTTTTTTCCCAAAAACAAAAAAAGTATATCTCAAAGCAGCTGTGTTCGGTGGGTCCACGCATGCATGTGGGCCACGTCTCTTTTCCACGTGTAATTCAGGTGTCTTGACCCCCCCCATAAAATCACTCTGCTTCAGCTGGGTCATTAGACCTATCTCTTTTCCTCGTACAACATGGTCACCTCATATATACCAGTGATCCTCACATAAAATTAATAAGTCATGGATACCAGGCCGTTATATTGTCAAATTTAATTAGGAGCATATCCATTGACAGTACAAAATTTAAAGAATGAGATTTTTAAAATGTATAAATATAAATGATACTTTTCCGTCCTAAATATAAAATCCTTATACTGGTATATATAAAAGTCTTATATTTAGGATCGAGAAGTACTATATAGTCATCAATACTACTAGAACGAGTGTGTATAAGCAATAAGCATGCATGCAGAGGGTTTATGTCGTGTGCGTGTCACTCTCTCTCTCTCTCTCTGTGCGCACACACACATATATATAATAAATAAAGAACACGCATGATATTGATAATGAGTTAGTTAACAATTTAATATGATTGCATGGATCTGGTGGAAGCTTACTTGCTGGAGTTCATGGGGTAGATGAGGATGGGGCCACTTGCGGTATTTCCCAGAATGCCCTTGAAGACGCCCTTGTCGAAGTCAGCTATCCTTGACTTGGGAACAAAAAGGTTGAGCCATGGATGTGGGACCTCCCACAAACCCTTGGACCTCAGCTTTAACTCTGCCTTGTGTACGCGATCCAGAAAATCCACATATGTCACGTCTGTTGTGAACACTGATGTTTCTATAAAATCTAACTTGTCCAACAGGGCCTCTATTTCCTGCGCGATTCAGATGAGACCCCCACGTCTCCTTGTTGTGAATCGATTATGCAAATTATGCGCAATTATTATCAACTAATCATCATTTAAAAGTACGTCGCACGTTCACAAAAAGCCACTATTCATAAAGATAGCTGTGAGCTTCATTTCATTGCAATTGAATCCAGATATGCCAGATATTACGTGCACCGGACAGTATTGTTCTCTTGTGTACAATTTTATATTATGCATAAATTTGTCTGAGTACTAGTACAAAGTACAGATCGTGTAATATGAAGGTTCAATTTCGTCACCCAAAGAAAAGGGGGAACTAATTAATTACAAATAATACCTATCTGTACGTTGATTCTAGGAAATATATATTCATGTTTGACCTTATACTCTCTCAAAGGGCTTGATTAATATAATTACTGGGATGGACGATACAGAAATAGTTTATTGTAGGGACAGGAACATCACAGAATAAAAGAGATAAGATGGAGACAAGTTAGCAAATTGATATCTAATTTAATATTGAACTTCATTTTACCTTTACAACTTTCTTCTGGTTATGATATGCATCTAATCAGTGTCACCTAATTCTTCCTTTCTTGTTTGTTTCTTTCATTTTTCATTTCTTTCCTCCTATTTGGAACCAGTTATGCATGCTCAAAGTCTCAAAGCCGGACAAAGAAGCCCCACTTATTAGAGGTCCTATTTACGGTTTTTTAATGCACAACCAAGAGAAAATGATACTACGAGCCAGTTGGTCAACTACAGCTCGCAAATATCCTATTTTGCAAGGCAAACATATAGGTAGACTCTAGCTAGCTACTTAGTATTCCAGAGTTTGTCTATAGAACTTAGAAACGCATCTACGTACTCTCCGTATGCCAATTGCCAAAGTACGTGTCTAGTAACAGATCAGGCAGTCAAGTTTAGGCAAACAAGAATAGAAACTTAGAAAGTGGAACTGTCTAATAATAGAATAAGGCATACGCAAACTAATTAGCTACGGATAAAAAGGTGAATTACTTTTACCTGGTCAACAGTACTTGCGTTGCCTTCATGGTAATTTTTGGTAATCTCCAAGCAGTATAAGACACCCCCATCAGCATTCAGAGAACTGAGAGTGACTGGGTTACTGGGTGAAAAAAAGGAGGACCTCCAATTGTTAATAAGCCCTTCGTCCACTATTACAAATCCCTCAACGTAGTCAAATCTCTCACTGGCTGGTTTCCCATGCAGAGAGATCAGAAACTCTTGGTCTCTCGTGAACACTGAAAAATCCGAATACAGCACTCTTATCCAACGCACCTGTCGATGCAGTAGCAGCATAGTAACGTTTGGTAAATCTCCACAGTAATATAAAAACCTATTTATCAGATCGTTAAAAGAATTCGAGAGAGACGGGCAAATTAACGACACGTCATCAAAACGAGCATCTTCTATATGAACAGAACAACACTATACAAGAAAGGGAGGGAGGGAGGGAGGGGGAGAGAGAGAGAGACCCTGTGAGGGGCCGGTTGAAGAGCAATTCTGGCCCTAGTGATGATTCCGAATTGTCCAAGACCTCCCAGGACGGCATGGAACAACTCAGTGTTAAGATCCTCGGAGCATGTCAACAACTCGCCCTTTCCTGTCACCAAATTAAATGAGAGGATATTAAACTTTTAAGATTTTTTTGGGCCAATATTAAACTTCTAAGATGAAACCAAAATTAAACCTCAGGCTTTGAACCCGGTCAAAATTGTTTGGCCTGTAAGTAAAGCGAGGTAGTGAAATGCTTATAGAGAGGGGACGAACCTGTGACAACGTCGAGCTGGTGGACGTTGGAGATCTGAGGGCCGTGATGGAAGGTCTGGCCACTGATGCCGGCGTTGGAGAGGGTTCCGCCGACCGTCAAATACAGGTAATCGGTCCAGGACTTTGGTGCGAGTCCATACTCCAACGTCTCCATCAGTACCTTTATCCAGAGCTCTCCACCCCACACATCCACATACTTCTCCTCCTCCCACACCGTCACACTAGACCGCGACCTCATGTCTATGACCACCCCTTTCTCCGCCTGAGCCTGCCCGTTCGTGGAGTGACCCTCCCCTCTCGCCGACACTCTCAACCCCTTGCCCAACTCATACGCCGCTCGAACCACCGTCGCCACGTCCTCCCCCGAGGCAGGGTGCAATACGACTAGCGGCTCCGTCCTCTTCATCATTCCGAAATCCACCGAAGCTCTTTCCACCTCCCATTCGTCCACCGTCACATCTCCCTTTATTGCCAGGCACGCCAATTCCATGGGTATCGCTGTCAATCCAACTGTTACCAATAAACCATATATACTCAATCCTAATATAAGTTTGGAAACACCTTCCATTGGTTTTTTGTGCTTGATTTTCTGAACTAAGAAATGGTTACTCGTAACCGAGTGTACTTTCACCCTCTTAGTTAGAGGCCAGGAAGATGTATGGATTAGGGTAGTGGTGGTGAAGGATATATAAGAAAAGAGCCCCACCGGCGGTGATCATAGGAATGCAGGGAAGCGCAGAGAACAAAATCTTGGAGCAGCGTTGTGGGGAGTCGTGAGCTAACGCAAGCCCGGATTGCGCTTTACATCACTTTTTATACCCAACACTCCATCAAGATTCTCTTCCTTCTGCAGTTTTTTTTTTTTTCAGATTGGTCAATGAAAAAAAAAATGAAGTGTTGTGCAATACACAGTGTAGTTGCGGGTGAGGCTTTGAGTTCTCCTAGCTGGTATATCAAAGAAACGTTGAAACAAAAGCAGGGATTTGATGTTTAAAGTTGGAAGCTAGGATCATGAGGAGGAGTCTCATGTCATCACTTCTGTGTTTTTGCGCAGGATATAAGGAAGGAGTTGGCTGTGAATTTATAGGACGCAAACAGCTCAAGTACGATTGAGGTGAGTTCTGAACTGGTGATGAGAGGGGGGAGGGACTCTTAGGAGGCACGTGGATGTTCACGTGACACGACTGAGGAGACACGTGCCCGAATGTGGAGCAGTACTGTTGATGGCCCTTTTGATAAAGAAGTCATCCTAGAGTTCAAGTGAAAAAAACAAAAAAATTACTACCGAATCATATTAGAAACTGTGTATCATATTGTGTGTGAGAGATACATATAGTAAGAAAAAGAGTTTAAGAATAAAGCGACCTCAATGTCCTTTATAGGAATGAATTCCTCAAAAGTTAAGACAAACCTTGCACATAGTTCAAACAATGCTGAGTGGGATTATGTGTATCCTGACACTAATAGCAAGAATTATCTTAGTGTATATATGTGTGTTCATATGGGATTATGAGTTGTAATGAAGAGAGAAATTGAAATTGGGGGGGGGGGGGGCTAGGTAGGTGGTGGCTAGCTAGGTGAAGTATGGAGAAAGGGAAAGAGAGAAAACGAAGGGAGAGATACGGAGGATCAGAGTGGGGACGGCAGCTAGGGAGGGTTCACGTGGGTGCCCAGCCTTGCTGGGAACGACGATGGTGGATCATCGTCGTTTTAATAAGTGTGGTAGCCTCTCTTTACCACTTAATTAACCCACCTTTTTAATTTCTCTCATATAATGTCTCTCTCTATCTCTGTCTTCTGATGATCTGTTGCTACACTCTCTTAGCTTCTTGTTACCTCAGATGCTCGCTGGTCCGCACACAATTCATACTGTCGTTTTCACTGAATATATTGTGTTCCCCTTCTTCTCCCTAATAAAGAAAAAGAAACGAGATTCTTACACTTGGATTGTGATGCACGATTATCCTTACTTTGGTTAATATTTATGACTACATTGATTATATTGATTGTGTTTAATAATATTATCTTCCTAATAATGCCTATGCCTATATATCCCATTATATGTCGCAAAACAACTGTGCGTGTCTCTACTAATAAACACCTTTGTTTCAATATTCCATAATTATGTATCCTTATCAAAACCAAAAAGTTAGCCTTGTGTCCCCGTTCAGTTTTCCACACACACACACCATAGATATTCCTTCAAATCCAAATATCAAGCACAAATTTTCTTGTTTAGCATAATGGCCACCGCGAATTCATAATTTCCAGTGAAAAAATACATTAATGTCTGTAATATGACTGTGTTCCCAGCTAAAGTAATATTTAAAAGGAAAATAATTAATTATGATATACCACGCATGATAGTAAAAGTCAACTTTACATATGTTCATCAGATCAAGTGAATCTTATTTTATTTGAGTGGTTGTTGATGGGATTACCTTACTGCTGCCCAAATTTTAAAAAAAAGAAAAGGAAAAAGAAACTAAGAGCTGTTAATCTATTGCCTGTATATCGACGTTAAAAGGGGAATATGGTTTTATTCGTGCATGAATGGACTCGGATTCTGTCTCTGTCTAGATAATAGTACAAATTAGCTAGCTAACTAGCCTTTTCTTTCCCCTCTCTGTACGATTATAACACACAATATTCGTAATTAAGTATATTGGTCCATATCAAATATATATAACCAAACATATATAAGTGTTTAACAACATCTCCTCTCCTAAGCTTGTACCACATTAAATTTATTGTTTCTCGAATTGTTCCTCTCAAAGTGTTTTCATAGTAAACAGTTTCTGAGAAAGCTACTACCGATTTCACATTTATTCAAGCTACCACCTAGGGTTCATCATATTATGTGGACGATAATTGGTTGGTTTAATTTATTATTAATCACGCTTTGCTTATTTTCTTATTTTCTCTCTTCATAATATGTACTTTATAAAATATAAGTGAAAAGGGCAAAAACCTTTGGGTTTTCTTCGGTCAAAATAAAGAGTAAGGATAAAATACTTGATCTTTATATCTTGAGATCGATTTTATTCGAAGATCTTGTGACCTTTTAGCACTGGAAGGAGCACAGATATATTTTCTCATTTCACCCTCTCTCCTTCTTTTAACTGGTCTGCAGATTTAACGACTGAGTTTTTTAATCATTAGAAAAGAAATATATGAAACAGTACTTGCCTTTTTCATATTGGGATATCAATTATTTAGCCTATGCGATAGCGTTTTGCATGAAATAATAATGCATATAAAAAATGCAATGATGAAGAGAATTGCCAATTATGGATTGCACAGTACATAGCTAGCGTCTTGAAAGCCACCCTGGTTTCTTTTCAAGTTTTGGAAGATGATGGAGTATTTTACGCAGAAATGAGGAGACGATGAGGAGACAATTATCAAATACGCAATAATGAAGATAGAGTTAGGCGGAAGGTAGCAGTGTATAATTTAATGATAAATCGTTTCATTGTGTCTCTTTTTAGTTAAAACTTATCTTTTCTGCGTTTTTGAGCAGAGGGTCTCTTTTGGGCTTAGAAGCCATTTTTTTAGTGACTAAGCTTTTCTTTCTGAGTGCAAAACGACAATGAAAAAGGTACGCGCTTTAGTAACAAAGTCACACAAAGATCAAAAGCAAGCAAGTGAAACAACTTAGCAAGGCTCCAAAGTACAAGGGGAGAATCAGCTTTCTTTTTCTTCCCAGTTGAAACCAGTTATACACACACATATATATTCCTTACTGAGATCAGATTCTTCCACACTTCTCTACTTTCTACTTTTTCTCTTATTATTGGTTTATTAGGCACTAAAAGTTAAAACTAAAACGCATCATATTATACTTGTATATTAATTAAACCTCTGCCTTTTTTATTATTGTCCCTTAGCTAGTGATTTGGTGACTGGAAGAACGATATATATTCCGGCCGCGTAGGCTTTTAGTTAGATAAAAACAGATTATAGTGCAGCCGAACATATAGAAACTGCTTCTTTTTGTGATTTTCATTAAATTTACAGCTCAGTTCCAACTTCCAAGTGTGTCATTGTTCCATAATAACTTAAGAAGATGATCTGTGACTTTCGTGCTTAAAGTTCGTTAAAGAACGGTAGATAGAAAATTGAAAGTGATCGAGGCAGAATGAAATGATGCTTTTATAATACACCAAAAGTGTTAGAGCTTGGGTCTCCACTGTCACTTTATTTGTCTGAATGCTATGGCTGGTGTGTCATCGGCACATAATTTCTAGATAGGGCAAAAATTATATATTTTGCACAAAATATATAAAAATATCAATTAATATTGGCTTTATGGAGTGGTGGTGTTTATTGATCATGCATGGCAGCTAGCCAGATTCGGGAAAACGAAGTTTAATTTATTAAGAAACATCAAGCACCGAAGAAAAGAAGAAATAAGGGGTTAAACCATATGGCTGTGTATAAAAGGAATAATAATGTTGCTCATCAAATATATATATATTCATCTGATTTTCATATATATAGTGATGAGAGTACGTACGTCACATGTTCGCTAAAATGCAAGCCAGAAGTCAATTTGTCGAATTTGATTGCACCTCAGAAACAGACAAGGGCTGCTGTCTTTTGCTTGCCATCCATAATAAGAATATCTACATACGAACATCCCGCATTATCATAGTTATGTGAAACTAGAGTCCTTTATTATATGCGAGACTTTCAACTAAGTCGAATCCATGATTTGAATGATGGAGACTGAGGCTAGAGGAATAAACTATAATATTTCCTAATTCAGCTGCCAGACTCTACGTGATCATGGACTAATGAAGATATTAGTGGTTATACTTGATTGATTTAATTAATTATGCCCAGAATCCAACGTCATCACTTCTGCTATTTACCATACAGCATGCACCATAATTACGATATTGACTAAAGTAGGTCCACATTTGCAGAAGAGATTAGCTTCCTGTCTTTCAAAATTATTGAAAGCTTTGATATAAAGTACAATAATATGGTTAATGCGATTCATTGAATTGCAGGACTATAGTCAGCAGGTGGCCTAAATTTGTAGAGAACACGATAGAGTTGTGTGAGACCAGTCTTTGTCTGAAAGGGCAAAAAACACACTGATGGGTAGTCCTAGTGCTCAGCTACAATTTACGCACTCTCACTTAAAGATATGCACATCCGGTTTTGTGTGGTTGGAAATTAATGGGCCAAATATTTATTGACCCTATGTGCTGCCAAATGCTCATTGCCCATTTGGTCTCAGCAAAAGCAATTAAAAATTGTGCCTTGCTTCCACTTTCCTCTTTGCTTAAGGTCCTTCATGCCAGGGAAATCATCGGGGTGGTATAATTAAGTAAGGTTGTTTAATTTGTCGTTTCTGATCAAAGTAAATAAGCCAGATTATTGCTTACTACTCATATCATAACTTAAGAAGTGAATGCTGACGATAAAGCAAGGCCTGTTCGTCCCCAAGTCCCATGATTTAAGCATTTCGGCTTGTCTTTGATGTGCATGCCAGAGATCTCATACTAAAAATGACAATACATGCTTTTAGTTCAAATTGATGCTATTGGCAACTCAATCTGGAGCTACAATAATGCGGGGATTCTTATCTTTACGAAGGTACACAGACCTAATCTGTTATATATAATATTTAAGAAGTGGGTCCCATTAAAAAAAAACAAAAGTAATACGCTTTGGATTAAATTTTATACCTTTTCTATTCTTAATATTACTCCTATTTCCTTCATATAGTGTTAAATTTGTCTCTAAATATAAGCCTTGATGTATTTTATCTCTCATTCTCCTCTAAATATCTCAATTTTTTTAAGAAGATCCTGCCCAAGAATATTATAATACACGTGACTAAAGAGGATGGTTTAGAAAAGTCAACATATATTTTTAACAAATAACAAATTTAAATTTTTTTTTAATATTCTCAAATTAGTTATTTAACTCTTATATTAAGAACCAGATATAATATAAAAACTACTAACTAATTTGATAAGTAGAAATTAGATTAACCTGTTAATGACAACAAATGTGATTGATCTCCCCAAACTATGTGTGTAACTTTCAACTAACTTCTACATTAAGAAACAGAATAAAGTATTACTTCCAGTCTTTAATATAAGACCTCATTTAACTTTTATTTTGGTCCTAAATATAAGATTCCAATCCACTTTATCTCTCATGTGTATGAATTTTTTTCCAAAATAAACCTTCTAATATTGGTAGTTCTACCAAATACACTTGATTAACAAGGATATTTTAAGAAAGACAAGACATATTTATTATAAATAACTAGCTTAACTTATTTTCTTAATCTTCTCAAATTAATCAACCAGCTCTTATAATTAGGACCGGAGGTAGTATTATATTTAGGCTAAACAATATTGATATTGATTTTATTTATATTGGTAATATATTATAAAAAATTTCATGCAAATGGCATTCAATCAGCTGACCTTTTCAAAATGCTGCTTTCATTTCTTGTTTTAAGTAAATGAGGATGAGAATTTAAATTTTTAATTACAATATGCAGCAAAAGAAATAAACTGCAACAATCTTTTATTCAACTGGATAAAAATCCAATAAGAGCCTACATCATTGATCATCAGTATCCCATATCTGTCACGGAGTTCCAACTCGACGCGAGCAATATGTGCAGTTATTACGAGTCTACGGAACGGCACACTGAAAGTTACTCGATATCCATTGTACAAATGAAGAGATCAGTATTTCCTTGGCGTTGAAGAAAAATTAATTAAAAGGAAAAAAAAAAAATTAAAGAGAGAAGCGTGATCAAACAGGTCGTCATGATTGTCTTATTCAGATCGCAATATTTTGCTTTTGCGTCTACGTAACTAAAGTAGAATAATCTCGCTTCACAAAAACAACTAGTGTTTGTTTATTCTAGAAAATAAATAATTAAAAGTCAATTGCTCCATTCTCAACTCACGTGGCTTTAAGGATCCGTTTGAGATTATTAATAAGTAACTTTCCAATCGTGATTTATGAAATACAAATATCAGTCTGTAAAAGAATTTTTGTCTTAGTTTACACAAGATGTACTCATAAATGATCATAAACATGATTTTAAATGGGACCAAAAAAAATTAAAAGAGGGCATGCTCTTTCTATCCTTAAACGCCACGCCACCGACATTTTTAATGGGACCATGGGGCACGGGGAGCTTGGGGAAATTTTGAATAGGCCTTGGGCCTGGGCCACCACAAGACTGATCACGATTGTTTGAATTCAAGGCCCGCATGTGTGAACTAGAAGCCCAGAGTGGCCCAAAAAAGTCCATGAAGCCCGGCAATGGCCCAAAGCATTAAAGCATCAAGAACCAAACTAACGCAGTAATTCACTAACAGCAAGTATCTCTTCCTATCCGCTTTGCTGGAAGAAGTGTTACTTCAAGTTATATCAGTTAATTCGATCAAGGAAAAATCACAAGAAAAAAAGAAAAAATTGCAAAATTATAAATCAGGACCGATTACAGACCAATAGGTTTTGACAACAATCCAATGGCAAATGATGACAAAATATCTTATTTGTAATTTCGTAATTTTCATGGCCTTCTTTGTTCGATTCTTCCTTTGATCAGTATAAATAATAATTATATAAAATAAACTATGTGATAAGCTACATTATTCATAACTTATAAATAACGCGATATATTCTTCAATTGTTGTGATGTGATGGAAAGAAAAACATGTATAGTCTATTTTAAAAACAACAAATGATATTGTTGGTGTAAAAATACCACTTTAATATAAGGGCTACTTAATTAATCCAAGTATATTAAATAAATTAAATAGCTTACATAATTTTAACAAATGGCATATGATCTCCACAAGCTAAATAAATTAATTTAAAAAAATAATTAATACAGAAAATAAAATGAATTCAAATCTTGTACTAAAAAAATAAAAACTTTTGCATTTAGGATTGAGTGCTATCAATAATTGTTGAAAAGGACCGTTTTCAATTTGCAAAGTTGAGATGCGAGTATGCGTTGAAGGAAGGGGCCTGGCATACAAAAGCCAGGACCGAAAGAACGAATGAATGAAAGAGAAAGGAGAAGGGAGGTAGAAGCTCACCGACACAGATAACCGGGAAGCGAAGCAAGGCCACGTTTGGTTAGGAAAATATGGAATATGAATAGTGGAGGCTAATCATTTGCAATTATAATATGGGAAGTGGGAATTGATATATGGCCGACGTTAAAAGGCATCCTAAGCACACTTGTAGCAATCACAACAGCAGCTCTAAACGGTAAGTATCAACCCGCTTCATTCCCTTTCGTCCTTTTAAACTTGCCGCTCACATTCATCTTCATCAATGTCACTAATAATTACGATGCTAGATCGCTAGCAGCTTTTCCATTACGCCCCTCAATCTGTATCTTTTTGTTTTCAATATTATTCTTCTCACATGACCAAGATCCAAGCCTTTTGTTTATTTTTTTAAAATTTTGCGATGAAATTCTAACTTCTCCCTGTACACGTCTCTGAAAAACACACGGGGAAATCTGCCAAGTTTCTTTGAAAAAAAACAAAAAAAAAAAGAGACAAAAGAAACAAAAACACCGACGCAACATCGTAGCCCTTAAGCTATCTCCTATTTTGGACTGAAGCGAAAGTCAAGATTTGATGCCACGGCCACACGCAACTTTCGTTAATAAAGTCGTCATAATTCTAATTTTTTTACAGTTTTTCTTTTGAATTCTTCCAGGCTTTTAGAGTCGATAGGCCCAAGAAAATTGCATGTAGAGAGCAAAACTAAAACATTTCTATGTCCTAAAAACGTTCGTCCATCGTCAATTTGTGCCTTTTTTTTAAGCACATCTTACAAAACACAAGCGAGTAGTCTTTTAAGCCTAAATATACTAACTGGCTAAGTGCATGTTTGGGAGGATTTAAAAAATCTCTTATCCACGTTTTACATAAACTAAGATAAAATTTCTTTCACATATTTGTTTTATATTTTATAAATTATTATTGAAAAGTTACTCATAAGTTTTTCTAAATGGACCCTAAATCTTCAAAGAGATGTGATGGGGAAAGATGTGTTTAAACTAAAGTGCACGAGACAGAACAGGGAACAAATTAAAAATAAAATGGAGTGACTTGCAAGCTAGGGTCGCTGTAAATTGCCCTTGCCCACTCAGCATATTCATTGATAAGGAAAATGATTACTTATTATTCTTCTGCTATTTAATATAAAATCTATTTAATTATTTGATCAGATTAAAAAATAAGATATTTAATTAATTATAAAAAATATGATATATTTTATTAAAATACAATAATTATATTTTTTTAATATCATTCCTCTCCCACTTATTTAGTTGTGATTGAGGAAGTATTAATAGAAATAATTTTTAAAAAAAATGATAAATATGAAAAATATATTTTATATTTATTATCAATATTAACTTAATAATTAAGTTTTATACTGAGGAAGAGGAGTATTTAATATCCATGTATTCAGACAGATATTTAGTTCCCGGAAAAAAATGATTTTTTTAAAAAAAATTACAGAGAAACGTAAAGTCGAGGGGAGCGTGAAAAATATGGCAGAATTAATTAAAGCATTTGTTCACATTTAAAAAAAAAAAGAGTAAATTGCGAGGATAAATGTGAGATCACATGGAAGGCAGAGGAAAGTAGATAAACCCCACAGAAATGGCAGATACGACAGACACAGAGACAACAACAAACTTTGTCATCTGGCTGGTATTGTTGTCATCCACCTCCGAGGCTACCGCACATGCCCCCAAGGAAAAGCGTGCGCTGGGGCATGCCCCTTCGACCCCTACCTTAGCTGTTGCTCAATGCTAATTTCGTTTCTTTTTCATCTTTTCCATGCCTGCCCCTTCAATTTTTATTTATTTTTCAAAAATGAATCTATCAGACAAAAGTGCATTTATTTCGGTATACTCATATTGCTCCTAACTCTAAATATAAAAGATATTTTTATTTAATTTACAGAAATTAAGTTAATTTTTTATGATTATTATGTTAATTATTTATGATAATTTTCTTAAAATGACCCTCTTTCTTTGATTGTTAAATTTTAATAAGCTAATTCAAATTTTTTTGAGAACAGTGCAAAAAAGATATCGTGTGTTTAATTCTGGAGGGAGTTTCAAACTTGCAGGCAAATGGACAAGACATTTGAAATTCATGTCATGTCACCATATGACGGTGTAGTCTTCCGCGGTTTCCCCGCCCCGTTATCTTGAAGATGTAAAATAGAAGTTGAAACAATAAAGTTGTTTTTTTCCCCTTAGAAAATAATCTCCTTTTGCCACAAGGGGAAAAAACAAAAACACCGATCTCCTTTTATTGTAGGAACTGAACAATGCGCCAACAAAAAAAAAAAAGACAGCTTTGACAATTAAGACTGCGCTTTCCAGAAACAGACTCAGGATAATTAATAGAGTAGCTCTCTAACGAAAGTTGGAGGTGCGGGAAACCCAGTGACAGCACAGCAGAAGCTATTTCTGGTGGTGGTTGAATCGGTGTCTCCCACAATGCTGTTATACTTCAGACTCACAGATCAGAAGAACTAAGAACGCATTGCACATCTCTTAGCTTTCGTTTTTCAAAATCTCTTTGAAAGACATGGAAACTACACCAGTCTCCAAGCTGCTACTATTTTGCTTGACGCTCCTTCTTGTGGGTTCTGAGCTCGTGCGCTGCTCAGTCACTTACGATAGAAAGGCTATTATCATCAATGGCCATAGAAGAATCCTCATTTCTGGATCCATTCACTATCCCAGAAGCACCCCTGAAGTATGTCTCTGCTTTTTCTTATTCCCTCTAAATTCCCTATACAATATGTTGATTTTTTTTTTTTGGCTGCCCGTTTGAAATGTGTGGCACTCTAGATGTGGGAAGATCTTATTCGGAAGGCCAAACATGGAGGCCTTGATGTTATTGACACTTATGTTTTCTGGGATGTCCATGAACCCTCTCCTGGCAAGGTACTTTTTTGGATCTTGATTTACACTTCATTTTATGTTTTTTCTTGTTCCCATGTATTAATTCTTATCCTTGTGTCGCTGTGTTCAGTACAATTTTGAAGGGAGGTACGATCTGGTACGGTTCATTAAGACAGTGCAGAAGGTGGGGCTCTATGTTCATCTTCGCATTGGGCCTTATGTATGCGCCGAGTGGAACTTTGGGTGAGTTTAAATCCGAATGGAATATTCTGCTTAGTTTTCTTGGCATTAATGCTTACTGTGAGCATCATTGATTTATTTGTTACAGAGGATTTCCTGTTTGGCTGAAGTATGTTCCTGGCATGAACTTCCGGACGAACAATGGACCTTTCAAGGTTTCACCTTCCACTTCTACCTGCTTGCAGAAGTATTGAATTGTGTAAGCAGACAAAGAGTAACGATGAAATTGACACTGCCTTTTTTTCCTCCGCAGGCTGCAATGCAAGGATTCACCCAGAAGATTGTGCAAATGATGAAGGATGAAAAGCTATTTCAGTCTCAGGGTGGTCCAATCATTCTATCTCAGGTATGCAATTCCGACCAAAGTATGCCATAATGCAAGCATGTTGCTGACAGAAGCCTTGATGTGGCTAAATTAACTTGTACTTCACCTTGTGTTTGTGTGCTAGATTGAGAACGAGTATGGACCAGAGAGTAGGGCCATGGGAGCTGCTGGTCACGCATATGTAAATTGGGCTGCACATATGGCTGTTGGACTGGGTACAGGAGTACCGTGGGTGATGTGCAAGGAAGACGACGCCCCAGATCCTGTGGTCAGCATCTCATTCTCATTCTCTTGCTTCGGTTGTGTTGCTACACTGTTACTGTCACTGGGGATTCATATTTACTAAGCTTCAACGCAGATTTTGTTTAAATCTTGAGCTTCTTTCTCGTTAAGAGCTGAGTATGATTCATCCTATTCTTCCCTACAGATAAATACATGTAATGGCTTTTACTGTGATGAATTCTCTCCGAATAAACCGTTCAAGCCTAGCCTCTGGACCGAGGCTTGGAGTGGCTGGTAATTTATAGATTATACCATCTTTGAACTCGTTGCAGAATTAGGCGGTCTAATTCTCGCTATTTTCACTTCATTATAAAGGTTTACAGAATTTGGGGGTCCAATTCACCAGAGACCAGTTCAAGATCTAGCATTTGCAGTGGCGCGTTTCATACAAAAGGGTGGTTCATTCGTGAATTACTACATGGTTGGTCTCCTATGTAGGATTTAGTTAATTTAGACACAAGTACCTTTACCTTGTTTTTGAAATTCTGACTTACCCTGTGAATTATGATTACTAACAAATGGCAGTACCATGGAGGAACTAACTTTGGACGCTCAGCTGGAGGTCCATTCATCACTACCAGCTACGACTATGATGCTCCCATTGACGAATACGGTGAGATAACTTTCATCTTTTCAATATTATTTCTAATTCTAATTTTCATTCCCCCAAGAGTTCACTGATAGGTATGTTACTGGATTATTATAACTATAATTTTCAAATCTAGCTAATACTTCTTGAGATGGCAATAAACTAAAAGCCTATCTAAAGCTACATTCCGTATTGTTCGTATCCTTTATTGATTTCTGGGCTATGATTAGGTCTTATAAGGCAACCTAAGTACACTCATTTGAAGGATCTTCATCAAGCTATTAAGCGATGTGAAGATGCTTTGGTTTCTTCCGATCCTACTGTTACATCTTTAGGAAGGTTTCAGCAGGTCAGTTGTCTTTTTGATATGAAGTAGAAGCCTCCTTTGGTCGCAAAAATCTTGATGGTAGATGGTAAACCAACCTTCACGGTGAATCATATTTTGCAGGCGCATGTGTTCTCTTCAGGAAGAACATGTGCAGCTTTTCTAGCAAATTATAATGCAAACTCTGCTGCTAGGGTAACGTTCAATAACAGACACTATGATTTGCCTCCTTGGTCCATAAGCATCCTCCCTGACTGTAGAGCTGATGTATTTAACACGGCAAGAGTAAGTATATCTCATATCGTCTTGCTGGATTTCTTGTTAGTTACATCAAGTTATTGAATTGATTGTTCTGTGTCTTCGTGCAGGTGAGAGTTCAAACGTCACAGATAAAAATGTTGCCTACCAATTCTAAGTTCTCCTGGGAAACCTACGATGAGGATCTATCATCTCTGGCGGATGGTTCAAGGATGACATCCGCGGGACTTCTGGATCAGATAGACGTTACTAGAGATAGAAGCGACTATCTATGGTACACAACCAGGTGAGTCACAGTATATAGAGGTTGACTTGTTGATTTTCAAACATTAAGCTTGCCTAGGCTCTTTTAGTATTTGTCCACTTGCTTAGTTCATTTTACTTAGCTTTTTCTGATTTGGATGCCACAGCGTTGACATAAGTTCATCAGAATCATTTCTTAAAGGAGGACACAAACCGAGCATTAACGTACAGTCTGCAGGGCACGCTGTTCATGTGTTTGTTAATGGGCAGTTTATAGGTATGCATATAAACTGAGAAGTAGTTCTTGCATTTGCATAATGATCAAATTGAAGTTCAACAAAATATGAAGTTCGAGAGTTCTTATTTTGCAGGGTCGGCTTTTGGAACAAGAGAACAGAGAAGTTGCACATTCAATGGACCCATCAACCTGCATGCTGGAACTAACAAAATTGCTCTTCTCAGCGTAGCTGTGGGATTACCGGTTAGTGCATTTCTTGATTAACCCAACTTGAACTTAACCATTTCTTCGTAGACTTTTCATTTGGAGTTAATGATCTTATTTTTGGTTTATCTTTTTCCCTCTCTGCTCGAAGAATGTTGGCCTGCATTTTGAAACATGGAAGACAGGGATCACAGGTCCAGTTGTGCTAGATGGTTTTGACAAGGGAAAGATAGATTTAACGCAGCAAAAATGGTCTTATCAGGTCCTAGGCACACTAATTACCCCACACATTCTATATATATGGCACCAATGAATGATAATTCTTAAACGAAGCTCTTTTTCTTGAACAGATTGGTCTAAAGGGAGAGGCTATGAATTTGGTGTCTCCCGACACAAACTCATCTGTTGAGTGGGTCCAAGACTCACTGGCCACCCAAGCACGTCGGCATCTGAAATGGCACAAGGTAAGAACTATAACTGGCTGGGCTGCCTTATAAGATTCAAAGATGGCTAATGTAGTCTGTAGACAGTAATTAGAAAGCTGTAATCTTTTAGGCATATTTCAATGCCCCAGTGGGGAGCGAACCACTGGCTCTGGACTTGTCAAGTATGGGAAAAGGTCAAGTGTGGATCAACGGGCAAAGCATAGGAAGATATTGGATGGCTTATGCGAAGGGCAACTGTAATACCTGTGGCTACCAAAACACATACCGACCCATTAAATGCCAGCTTGGTTGTGGACAACCCACACAACGATGGTACTAAGTTTATAGTTATGCACATACTTAATTTGAGCTGTGGAAAGAGTCGTGCTTTAAGTTGCCGATTTGTGTTTGGAAACTCGCAGGTACCACGTTCCAAGGTCGTGGTTAAAGCCAACGAAGAATTTGATGGTAGTTTTTGAAGAGTTAGGCGGGAATCCTTGGAAAATATCTCTAGTGAAGAGAACAGCTCATACTCCTCACCATACTAAATCCGATTCAGAGAACAGAGAAGAGAGCCCCCATTGAAAGATGGTTCAGCTGGTTTGTCGGTGGTTGAATTGAAAAAATAATAAATAAAATTATAATTGGTCTCACTTTCATTGTCATTTGATTCAAACACGGATGTGGTCGGCGAGCCTTTTGTGTTGTGTCATCGCAATCCTTATCTTTCTTTTTTTTGTTACAACAATCCTTGTCTTCCGACCTGGTGTTAAATCTGAAATCGGCCAACGTGATGGATATAAGAGATATGGCCAATATATTACTATATTATATTATTTGTAATTTATTATTGTGCCAATGGACTTACTATACAACAATCCGACGGATGCAATTAATTGATCATTCAATCGTAATTAAGTCCGCGAGGGAGTGTGTTGGCCAGTGGGCAGTGGCTCCCTGTATAATCACGTTCAAAAGTCTCGTTACTTACCATCAAATCAAACAAAGCATGTTAGCGAGAGAAAAGCGGCCATTTGGATGCTCACGGGTCATTCCACGGCCGCCACAGTGAGTAAATAAATCCAAATGTCTTTTCATATTAATCCCACGCACGTATACTTTGTACGTTGAGTGAAAATTTAAAATAGTATGGTTGGCAAAAAAAATAAAAAAAAGCAAGACATTCTTACAAAATATTACTTTCCAGTTGTTAATATAAGAACTAATTAATTAATTTGAATATATTTAAAAAATTTATTGAATTGATTATTTATAATAAATAGATATTTTTTTAAAAATATTTTTACTAATCAAATATATTAGTTTAATATTTTATAAAGTTTCTAACATGTAATTACTATAACGGTCGTTTTGAAAAAAAACATAAAAAACAAAATACATTAAAATCTTATATTTAAGATCAAATTATATTTTCTAAAAACTGACACTGGAGATATCTAAATTTTAGATCTTGCTTTTGTTGAAAAAAAATATAAATATAAAAAAAAAAATAGCGTAATGCTGTCGGCTTTCAGGCTTCCGGTTCTGCACATCAACAGCAAAAGAAATAAAAATACCAGTATCTTAAAAAAAATATCGTAACCATATTTATTCCAAATTTAGTTCCAATTTTAATAAAGATTATTTTTTAAGGTTGATGATTAAAAATAATTTTTAATGCGTTTTCCATAATTTACGAGAATGTAAAAATATTAAAATTTAAAATCATATAATAAAAAGTAAAATGCTTTGGTTGAGTAACACAGCACGAGATTAGAGAGCAAAGACGGTATGCATGTCCATCCTCTTTCTTCAGTCTTTTTGGACAAGGAAGACTGAATTAATTAGCACAACACATGCCACTATTTTCTTGTTCCCGGCAAAATAACAAGTTGGATATCAAATTCCCCCCTCCCATCCCATCCATATCCATACTGTTAAATACTAATCAATCATTTAATAGTTAAGGGGCAGTATGTCGGCACTTTAAATCACCCAATTCTGATAGTCTCTTGTCCCCAACCACATCAAACAAATTGTTATAACGAGATAAAAGCGGCCACTCGGATGCCCATGGATCATTCTCCGCCCGTCACAAAAAAAAAAAAAAAATTTATTTTTTTTCCCCCTTCGGGACAAAACAGGAAGGCGGGCGTGAAAATTACGCATCCCATCCCAATCCATGTCCCCGCTTGAAAAATGCTATCTATCTGCCTGCGGAGGCCAGTGATTATAGATCACCAAACATATCATTGCAAATCAAATCAGCCAAAGCGTTAAGCGAGTATGACAATGCAAACTGCTTAAAGTACATAGTTCATAACCATATGCTCATTATCATAAACATCAAATTCATATCACGCAAACTGACGCCATAGCTGGAGCACATTTATTCCTACTTAAAACTTCACATCATCCCTTCAGGCAGCAGCGGCATGCTTGGTTATGGTCTTTTGCAACTCCTCCTTCTTAGCACCCACAACCTTATCTACTAATTTGCCTTCTTTCAGGAACAAGAAGGTTGGCATAGCCTCGATGCCCCATTCCTCCGAAACATCCTGTGCACAAAAAGGTCGACACTTTAGCAAGTTACGGAAAAATAGAACTTAGGCAGTAGAAATAAGGAAGGTTATGTACGTACCCTCAATTCATCCACATCAACCTTCAGGAAGATCACATTGGTCATCTTCTTAGCAATATCTGCCAAGACCGGTGCAATGAAACGGCATGGACCGCACCAAGAAGCAGTAAAATCCACCACAATCTATGCAATTTGATCCGTTCACAAGTCAGAACAACATACTTGTAAAGGGGTCATGGAACAATCGGATTTATCAAGCCAATCAAAGGCATACTCTTCAATAAACGACTTAAAATCAAAACAAGCAGCTACGTCACATGAGTTAGATTTTCTTATTTGATCAATAAGTCAAAGTGGAAGCACAGCTTGAACTTTTCGATTTATGTGGTACAAATGCCCAGATGAATCCTATCCTCGTGATTATGAATAGGTAATGATCATAGGCAAATGTGAATAGGACGGTCAACAGAAGTAACCAATCCAATTCTTAGCTACAGAAGCAATAAACTTTCAGCTAAATAATATGGCACTCTAATTTCCAAGGTCAGACTCCCAAGCTTCAACAGGTTACAACGAACCCCCCCCCCCTTTTGATAAGGACACAATTTATTAGCTAAACCTGAAGTTTACACATGGGAGGCCATTCATAAGAATTGAAACATTCATGGCCAAGGTTTGAAATAGCAACCGTATTGTTCACAGAGGGCAATAATCATCAAGACAGGAAAAATATTGGGAGAATGACAATCAAATCCAAAAAAAAAAAAACTAAAAAATACTAACAACAACAACGACAAGTTCCTTGTGGAATTTGTTTTGTGATTATTTTTCCGAAACATTACATTAACATTTCGAGCGAATAATACGAGGTAAATATACTTGCAAACGGGGAGCAGAAGTCCAACCATCAGAGATTCACTTAAATTTTAAACTTGGTCAGCAATTTAAAAGACGACCTTCTATCAAACTCTTCTAGACCGCGTTTTCAGTCCATCGACCATTATTAATATCAAAGACACCTTAAACACACCCACCAACACAATTTATTTAGCAGGTATAACCTCAAGGAAAGCATAAAGAGGGTTATTCTGACAACCCAGGCACCCCTTTATGAAAAATAAAACTGGGAGAGGAAGAATCTTGACAAATATAATCCGCCGTGAGGGAAGTAGGAGAATGAGAAACTAGTGATTTATCAGCATACACGCAAAAATCTAAATTTGATTCCCTAATGATGCATGCTCTTCCAATCGAAAATATCGTTGTGGCCGGAAACAACAAATAAATTTGATCAGAATCTCGTAATCTCAGAAACCCTAATTAGGCAGCCCATTAAGTTTCCCGAAGTAGACACAACCAGACTCGAATGCATAATCCACATATACATCAACATCATCGGTGAAAAAAGAAATTTAGAAGAACTTATTATGGAAAAACAAAGATGACAAGAAGGTAGAAGGAGAAAAAAGGGGTGAAAAAATGAAAAGAGAAGAGTAAATACCAGTTTCTTGGATTGTTTACCATTCTCAAGCTGCTGCTTCCAGAAATCTACGTTGTGGCAGCTAATGACTTGTCCTTCTTCGGCCATTTTCTCTCCTCTCGTTTAATCGACGAACAAGTACTACAATGAAAACGGGAATTGATAGAAAGACAGACGGGCTTGATGCGCCTTATATAGGACCCTAGTGGTCCCCACAACACTAAATACAGGAAAATTACCATAAGATTCCAAAAATCCTCATAAGCCCGAATAAGAAGGGAAAATTGGGAATAAATCCCCTGTTAAAAATTTAATTGATAAATGAAACCTAAAGATTTTGTATAACTTAACTTCTATCATGTGTAACTTAATTTCTTTTGTGTGCAATGTATTTTCTCTTGTGTGAAATAATCTTCCTTTGTGCGATATGTAACTCAATTTCCCTTTGTGCACATGAAATTCTCTTATGTACAAGTCATCTTCTCTATGTGCAAACTAACTCTTTATATCTAAATAATATTCTGTGTAAACTATCTTCCTTTTGTGTAATTTATCTTTCTTTGTGTGCAACTAATCTTTTTATGTGTAATCAATTATTCTAAGTCCCATTTACCAATTAAATTTTTAATGATGGGTTTATCCCTAATTTTTCTGAATAACAATCTAAATAAAATAAATTTTAAAATATGAAATGAACATTTTTAAAATTTGTTTTGTAATTATTTTTTTGGTTATAATTCTCGCAGTTGATACTCATATTCGAAGCCAACGCTCTGCGTACGTCCAATATATTATTAAAGTTTTGGCCAAGAAAATATAAATTATTAAAGAAAAGAAAAGGAAAGGAAAATGGAGAAATATTCGGTGTTCACATCGTCCGCGTCCCGTGACGCAGTCGATGACGCTACCGCGTTCCTACGACCTCAGTTATTTTTCGTTGAGTGAGACAAAATTCCCCACAAAATGCATCATAAAAGTAAAAAAGATTAAAAAATCCATTTAAAAAATAAAAATGAATAATATTTTTACTAAATTTAAACCCTATACATTATTTGTAACGCCTACATAGTTTATTAATATCATTTAAATAGTATAATATAATATGAAAAACTGAATAATTATAAGAAAAAAATGGATGGGAATAAAACCACCATATAATTGGTGGGAAATCATATCAAAATGTATTTTCAAAAGTTATATTTTATATTTTTTTCATAGAGTACATATTTTATCTTTCTTTTCTGATCTTGTTGAAGCATGAATCCTTTGTTTAGTAAAACCATACAACAGCTAATTTGTCCCTGTTCAGCTTCATAAAATTCAAAAATTCAAAAATAACGTTGGTCAAAAAAAGAAAAAGCTGAATTTAAATTTTTGTTAAATAATAGTAATAATATACAAGGGGGAGAACCGGAGAAGACGGGGCCGTGGGTCCAAGAAGAATGTTGACTGTTGAGGCGGAATGTTCAAAAGGAAAATGATGACCAAGAGAGGTAAGAGGAACATGAAAAGGGTGAAGCGTGACCGGTGAGAGATTCGACGTGTCGTGTCGCTCGTATCAGATTCAGATAACGATAAGCAGGCCCAATTGAGTCACATTCCAATTGGGTTTCCCACCATTGGCTATTGCGTATTGACCACTATGTCCCCGTTACTTTGTATTATTACTCTATTCGTCATCAGAAACCCTCAGAACCCAAAGTCCACCGCATCTTTATTTCAAAAAAGCCTTTCCCGTGGGAGGATTATTCCTTAACCATTCCAGATCCGAAAAAATTAGCCTCAAGTCCAATATAATTTGAAATTCCAATATAATTTGAGGATACCCTTGTTTCATCTAAAAAAACCTTTCCTGAATAAAACTGACTCTCTTTGAGAAATGACCAATAAGCCACACAATTCTTGTCCTGATCCTGATCCGACCTAACATTCCAAGTTTCCAACCCCCGATTCACGGGGAGAGGCTAGCGGCGCTAATGACTTTTTCCGGAAAACGGAACATGAAATCATATTTTAATTCCCAACATTGAATATCATAATCATTGTTGTGATATTTTTACCAAATATGCAGCACCAATTAAAAGTCCAGATATTTTGTCCCAAACAACAGAGAAATTAGAAATCCAAAGGAATGTGTACCAGATTTTGGACTAGATACATTCACTTTTCTTCTCATCCAGCATACAAAGGAAGATGCCCTATATGATTTTCGTTATTGAATTGAATAAAATGATATGAAGTCAATCTGAAAAATGACTCATACCATCAATGTTCCTTCATTGCAGACGCGTAAACAACCCCATCAGACAAGTGTTTTGGTAATACAAATATTCCGGCAGTCAAACTCCAGGCTAAGCTGCAATATAAATAGCTGTTCTGAAACACAACGCGTGAAGTATAGAACATGAACCCCTCACTGAGAATTCCAACCCTTTGGCTTAAGGAAAGGGCCCTCAATCTCACGTGCCCTTGTTCTCGTCATATTAACATTTCTCTGTAAGTAAATTGACAGTAAGTTAGCACATAAACTTGAAAGCGGCAGGATAGTGCTGCTTAGCATTGATAAGCTAAAAGCTCAAGAATAATCTAATCGATGTCTAACAAATATTCAAACATATCTGTCAACAATTGTATCAGCAGGGTTGTGCAGCGCTTTATATGAAATATCCTTACTGAGGATATAATAGATGAGGAAGCATATAATACAGACCTTAAGACATTGAACCCTTCTGATGTCACATACAGGATAGTCATGGGGACAGCAATGGCGATTGTCCTTGCAGCAGACGGCAGATGATAAGCCGCAACATTTCCATGAAATGCATATACCAAAAAAGCGTCTTGCACAGCAACAGGTTTCTCCTTGTGCGCAATAAGTGAAGATATTACATTTAACAGGACTTGGTGGAGATGGAGTAGGAGGATTAGGGCTGGTCTTGGTTGGATATGATGCTAACGTGTTGATTCCACATAACCCTTGGGAGTTGCCAGTATTTCGTCGAATGTGTATGTAACCATTCATTCCCCAACTAGTTCCCCATGAATTCTTCACAATCCAGTAATCCACTCCATTTTCTGAATCATATCCTACAATCAACACCGCATGATCCAAAGAAGTTGAACATGGGCCGGTGAAAATACCCTGTTACACAGATATATCAAAATCTTATTAAATTGTAGACTTGTAGTTAATAGGTGGACTTGAACTCATGTTTCTGATGTTTGACCACTGGGAGACCAACCTTTGAGTATAACTGGAAAGCTCTGTCACTCCCACATATGCCAACACTAACAGGCTGGGTTGCAACAGCCTTTTGTAGTTGCTTCTCGTCATTTGGAGGCACATCGGTATAACCATCAATGGTAACAACATGTCTATTTAACTGCAATTTAGAAAGAGGCAAAATTAAGGTGTCTACACATCCATGTCAGCAACATGATTATGGGAAAACGGGGGAGAGGAATCAAATACCTTATCCTTGATACAAGACCTTTCACGACCTTGGTATGGGTAATCCTTCTCTGTGTCAATGCCATGGTTATCAATGACAAACTGATAAGCATAATCCATGAGTCCACCCTCGCAGCCAGTGTTATAGGTTCTATCACAATCTACCAATTCTTGTTCAGAGAGGCTAACGAGAGAGCCTGTAACAACCTTATTTATACCTTCAATAGCTCCTGTTGCTGAGAATGACCAACAAGCGCCTGACAGAATACATGCCTATTGTTAAATTCTTCTCATTAAACAGAATTCTACAAGCTTAGATAATAATGCTCAGTGAACATGACTAATGTAAGGAAAGCTAGAACTCTAGATGCTACCTTCGTCCCAATAGGACTAATCAGCAGCTTTGACTCACCATAGTCATTTCAGAAATGAATAAATTGTCTGTGTTATCCATTGCGAAATATAAAGTTTATAGGCCAACAATTTTTTGGTTTTGGTCAAATGGGAGAGGACGTTTTGAGAACCTAATCATGAGCGCAATTTCTAAGAGCAAAGTGCTTGCCTTACATATGCAACCTTTTTGGTGGGTGGCCGTGTATATACATATTACACACAACACGTACATGCTCATCACCATTAAAAATTAATGGTGCAACAATATTTAATATTAAATTAGCCACAAGCTAATAGCCTTTTTTCACTTGTTAAACTCAAATAGCAATAGCACATAACAATATCAAGATGTCCGATCCAAACTATGGTTGGGCAATATCGTAACGAGCATAGCAGTCTGGAAAAGACATAGCTACCTTAAAATGCTTTTGTAGAACTAGCATTCAAGTGAAAACCCGGCCTTCTGATTGGAAGAAAGTATAAAAGCAAACACTTTTGTGCTTGAAGTCGCGTTATTTAAACCAAGACAGAATATGATCGAATCAAAGAAGTTAAGAGATCAAGCTCTGACGTAAACCGACTAAAGAAAAGGCACGGCGATAACAAGAAGGGAATAGTAAATAGGACATACCACAACTTCCTTGGTCCTTGACCTGAGTTACCGCCCCTTTCTCTCTCCAATCAACCTCAGAAGGAAGACTCTCGAGGCGAATGTCGTCGGGCTGCTGAAGCGTTCGATGGTCGAATCGAAGCAAAGCGGGGGATAAACCTAAACGAGAGGCCTTAAACTCATGGTGGGTGAGATCAGCGAAGGCATTGAGGGACAGCATATAACTGGAATTGCCCATTTGATTGTGCTGGGAAACATAGGCATAGTTGTCCTCGAATACTTTGAACCTGTATAGTTTCTCCTCTGCGGAAGAGTAGGTTTTGCCATGCTGCTTGCACCAGCTTTCAAACAGTTCAGAGGCGTTCGCGGAATAAGAGAAAGAGAAAAGAGTGAAAAGCAGAACCAGACTGAGCAAAATGGAAGTGACACTCATGGTTCCTTCCCTTTCCTGGATTTGTATTGCTCGAGTTAATGAAACCCACCAATGGAATCTACCCGGCAAAATCTTTTTGTTCTCTTTCCCGGGAGATGATGATTCTACTATTTTTCGTCGTTCGCTGATGAACTTGATCCTCCCTTCCGGCGTGTTCTGATCAAATACGCCTCCTCCAAATGACTAAATCTGATTGGCAATCAAGAAATTATATTTTAATGTTTTAGCAATAAATATCAGCGGCTTATGGCTTATCCCCCGTACCCAGTCCCCAGTCCCGACGTGTGCTCTTTCTTCCATAACCTTCTTTGGCTGCTTTTGGAAAGCAACGAGAGAACGTTAATTTCTTCCAGACAATCCCCCATCCTCACACATAAAAACCAAAAAGATTGAAGGTCAGGTGCCTGAACACAATCACACCATATTTGGAGGCGAGATTTGTTATGGCTGATATTTTAAATTAAAATTAAAATAATATTGTAAATTTTATGGTTTCTTACTTTCTTAGTCTTAAAAATTCACGCAGTTAAAAAATTAAACTGTCATTTACTTTAGAAACGAAAAACCATTCGTGGGTTTTTTTACCGAAATACGATAAACAGTAAAAGTTTTTATCAAAATACTATACTTTTAAAACTATTTACCAATATACTACATTTAAAATCGTTCTTGGCAAGAACGATTTTCAAATTACATACAAGTCGTTTTTTCGTGAACGATTTCACTTTTTATTTTTTTTTAATTTTAAATGAAAAAGTGAAATTGAATCGTTCACGTCAAGAACGATTTCACTTTTTCCTGCTCACCCCCTGCATCTGAATTGCTGCCAATTAATTCTCATTCAACATGCCCTAGTTGTGTTGATTATCGAGATAGGGTTGCTCGCGACCAGCGTAACATTTTACTTGCACTTAAAGAACAACGTTTTAATGTAAACCCTCAGCCTGCTCCACCAACAATTGAGTTGTGTCGGCCACAAATTCCTCGTGATAGACCAAGCAAGCGACGAGGTGATTACTTGTCTACCCAACCTATAATTGAAAACGAAAATGCAAGGGAACAGGAACCTCCAATTTTTACTCAGGCTTCTGACATATCACCGTCACCATCATCCCCCTTCATCTCTATCGATCCTACACAACTTGAGTCTCATTACATGGCACCTTCATCATCATCCCCTTCCAACTCAGCCAATCCTTCTCAATTTCAATCATTCATGACTTTATTAGATAATCCTGCATTATTTTCAGCTGAATACAATGCTTCTACTTTTGAACATGGTGGACCATCAAATGAAGCATTTGTCACTCCTCGACAATCTATACATTTAAATGAATCACCCTGGTTTGATTTGAACACGCCAACTACACAAACAAATGAGACATTTGAAGCTCAAGAAATTGACATACAACAACAACGCCCACAACGTATGAGAAGAAGGCCAAGATGTGGTACTGGAAGTCACTATCAGTAAGGTGGATAATTTTTTCTTTATAAACTTAAACTTTATTTATCACTTTTTATTTTTAATCTTATACTTATTTCACAATTAGTTTTAACATCATTATAACATTTTTCTCTCATTATATAGTCATGATTTTGTCATTCAAATGATTGATAAATCATTATACTAATCATTTTAATCAGGAGAGAAGGGGAGAAGTTATTCAACAGCAGATGAAGTTTTGAAGTTGTTCACGAGAAGAACAATTTTCATTTACCTCATGCACATCAAGGACAGATTATGAAGAAGTCGTTCACCAGATAAATGACTTTAAAAATTATTCACCTGAAGACCAATTTTAAGTGTAATATATTAGTAAATACTTTTAAAAGTGCAGCATATTGATGTATAATTTTACAGTTTGTAGTATTTTGGTAAAAAAGCCTGTCGTGTGGTATTTGTTCGGTTTGACAAGAAATCAAGTATTGGGCATGGGCTTTTTATGCCTGTAATAATAATTTAGTCTTACAACTTAATTGCTACAATTAAAAATTTACAATCAAAACATAACTTTTTTTGTTACGTACTGTTTGGTATGAGATAGATAAAAAGAAGAGGAAATGATAGAAAATTTCATCAAGCTCTATTTGAAAAAAAATTAAAAAAAACTGGGGTTTTCAAATTTTAATCCAATATAAGTCAGATGAAGTAAAATTTACTATATATGTTATAGCCTTACCGAGCATCGTCAGAGATTCTTATTTTTGCATGCAAGAATGAAATCGTTCTTGGCGTGAACGATTTCAGAAATCGTTCACGCCAAAAACGATTTCACTTTTTGATTTAAGAAAAAATTTAAAAGTGAAATCGTTCACGCCAAGAACGATTTCTGAAATCGTTCACGCAAAGAACGACTTGTGTGTAATTTTAAAATCGTTCTTACCAAGAACGATTTAAAATGTAGCATATTGGTAAATAGTTTTAAAAGTGTAGCATTTTGGTAAAAATTTTTACTGTTTATCGTATTTTGGTAAAAAAGCCCCATTCGTGGGAGTTATGTTGGTATATATAAAACTTAAAGTCGATCGCAAAGCCAATTTTTAATATTAGACTAAGGCACCGTTTGGATGACACTGGAAACCATGGTTTGGAAGCCCAAACCATGGTTTGCACAAAATGTCATCCAAACACCAAGCCCAAATTGCCAAACCGTGGTCCAAGCTGAAACCATGGTTTCAACCGGTGAAACCATGGTTCTACTGGAAGCAAATAATTTTCGCTTCTCTGATAAAAATTGGGAACCATTCGGGGGGGGCAACGATCATACCCATAATACCCTCTTATCCTTCTCTTCGCTGGCCGCCTTCAAATCTTCGCCGAATCCTCACCCAGCTCAACTCTTCGGCCGGCTCATCCATCGGGTCGCCTGTTCGCCGGCTCCCCTCTTCGCCTTCTCGTCACCATCAGCTCACCTCTTCGCCGGCTCGCCTCTTCGCCGTCGGTGCTCTGAATTTCGACACCGGTAAGATCGTTTTGGGCTCGTGAAAACAGGGGCTGGTTGTTTGTTTCTCAGCGCTCCAAAACTAATGTCTGAATCTCTGAATCTGTGGTTCGAACTAAGCTTGGTCTGATAACAATTCAGTAGCAAAATTGAAGCGGGCAAAGTAAAACTGACTATTGGCAGTAACTCTGAATTTGCGAACTTGAACTCGAAAGGGAAGAAACCAGAGAGTTTAGCAATTGGGTCTGCGTTGAATGGGTTCAAAGCGATCAAAGCAACAGTTCCATTAATGGGTTGGTCAAGAATTGTAAATAATTCATCTTCTCTAAAAATATTTTCACTCTTATATTTTATGAATATATATGTGTGGTGACAATTAATTAATTAATTGTATTAAACATCAGAAGTTATTATACATGTAGTATGTTATTACAAAAAGTAGTTGTGAAAAAATGTTATGAGATTTCACATTTAAAATCTTTAAAGAAAATTAATATTTTTCTGTTAGCAAAAAAAAATTCATTTTTCTATAAACATATTTACTATTATGTTTTATAAATATATATACACATATTAATTATGTATTAATTATATTATCTTATATATTATTAATTATGTTAGTAAAAAAAATTTCATTAACAATTTTATTTCTTCAAATCAAAATATATCATAAAATCTATCCCTTATATAATTATTATATTAATTTATACCCTTTTGGTAATTTCCACATGTAAAAAGTGCTTCTGGTAATAACTATCCAAACACTCTCACTTCTCAGAATTACTTTTTCTCAGAATCTATTCTCCACATAATCTATTCTCCACAGAATCTATTTTCCAGAATCACTTTTTCAAACCACGGTTTGGTTTCATCCAAACACACCCTAAAGGCTCTGTTTGGATAGCACCCCAAACCATGGTTTGGGGATCCAAACCATGGTTTGGGGAAAATGCTACCCAAACAGCCTCTCAAAAAACAAAACCATGGTTTTGACTCCAAAACCATGGTTTTGGAAAAAGCAAAAATTTTTTGCTTTTGGGGAAAAAAGGGAGAGTGTGAGGGCCTATATGATATGTATCTTGTTATTTTTTTTATAAACATATTTTTTTATAAATATATTTAATCTTATATTTTCTAAATATATATAGACATTAATTAATTATTAATTATATTATCTTATGTATTATTAATTATGTTGGTAAAAAACATATTATTAACAATTTTATTTCTTCAAATTAAAATATATCATAAAATCTATTTTTTTCTGTAATTATCATATTAACTTATGTCTTTTTTTTAGTAATTTGTATATATAAAAAGTGCTTCTGATAACAACTATCCAAACACTCTCACTTCTCAGAATCACTTTTTTACAAAATCTATTCTTCACAGAATCTATTTTTTCCAGAATCTATTCTCCAGAATCACTTTTCCAAACCACGGTTTGGTTTCATCCAAACACACCCTAAACCTCAATTTGGTTCATATGTAAGCGTTATCAAGAGTCGGCTTTGAAGCTCCATAAGTTGTCACGGTTGAAGAATGGCATGGTCGAAAGGGAGGGGGAAAAATACACACGAGGGCTTCTAATTTACATATTGACTACTATTGATGGGATAATCACAGTCGCAGTAGTCGTGTCTGTATTATGCAGCCTCTCATGAGGAAAGATTTGAACAAAACGACCATAAACAGCAAAAATTTTCCATGGATTCGAGCGTAAGTTGGAGATTAAGTACGTGCATACATTACGGAACCAAGAATCGTAATATTTGTGGCTGCTGCAATAATTTCTGGGTTTGGATCATGCTTCTGCTACCTGTTGAATTTTGTTGTGGCGTAATTCAGAAGGAGAGGCCTCATCAGAATGAGTCCAATATCTATTGTGCAGCCAGATGGAGTCAGCCTCCACTGCATACCCATCTTGATTCCGATTCCAACAAAAATAAGCATGGCTTCTGTTCTTTATATCCAAAATCCCATGTCCAAAACTGGCTTCACGGAACGCTGAGTAATTTGGTTGTGGCTCTGTCATGCTGCCAACATTCAAGTTTCAACTATTTCCATTAGTCCACCAACATATGATGACATTGTTTGGAATCAAATGTCTAAAACTATATGGCATACGTACGCAATAGCCAATCCTTCTAGATTTCCTCCATCTCCAATTGTTATGTAAACCGGGGCAGACTGGTCATTGATGGGTTTGCACAGTCCATTTACAATGTTATAGGCTATATTGGAGACACGTTCCTGCAACCATTAACAATATTCCCTGTTTATTCAGAGGAGGAATTACTTAAGCATTAAAGTTGACCGGAGATGGAACACTTACAGATCGTTCATAAGCATGAACATGGCCAGCAAATACAACATCCACTTTATACTTCACAAACCACCTCTCGTACATTACTCTGACTGTCTCCCCTTCCATATAGTGATCCACATAACTACTGTATGTTGGACAGTGCATAAGAACTATCAACCATGGCGTTTCTTTTCTGTTCACCTTTGGAAACTCATTCTCAAGCCATTTGTACTGAGGAGTGTATTTACCTAACACAAAAAATCAACACAAATATTGTATGTTTATGTGCTAGTTTATAATCTACTGGTCATCATATCAGATTTTCCAACACCTCAAATATCTATGGACTCTGATGGGCCTGTAAAATCATGGTGCCGAGTCTTACAGGCCCATCAGACTCATGATAGAAGGCAAAATGCAAACCCTTTGCTTTTTTCATGGGTTGTTCTGTCTCATGCAACCCTAAGAAAATTTTTGAACTGTTAATGTGATGAAAAATCTTACCATAAGCTGAATAAGAAGACATGACAATGATATATGCTGAAGCTCTTTTGATGGAGTACCACAGTGGAGATGTACTATGAGAGGCGTGGAATGGCACATGATAACGAGCAGTATAAGGCTTGAATGGTCTGGTTTCACCCTGCATCAGCAAATAATAAGATTATTGCATCCAGCCTTTGCATAAATATCTACCATAATGCAGAGGGAATGTGATCAGATCACACAAAAGTAGGCCAAGCTAGTAGGAAAGTCCAGCTTAATCAGAATTGAAGTCATCATGGGAATGAGCATTTACAAGTTCAGGAGCAAAATCCAGCTCATGATTTCCTGCAGTCCAAATCCAAGGCTGATAGGCAGCAACTCGCTCTGTGAATCTTCCCCAAGTGTCCCACCGTATGTTGTCATGAAATGGATAATCATCCGCGTAAGACAGATCCCCCACATACAGAACTGTCTCTCCTTTAGCTGGGCTTTTTTCATAATGGGTTAATGTGGTGTTGGAATCATAAGTTTGACCTAGATCACCTGTTCACGATGGTTCCAAGAATCAGATTTCATTATCGTAAAAAAGAAAGCACCTTTCCATGTAAGTTTCTGCAATTTCGTGCTTTTCCGAAATAAAGCTACAGCAAGCTCACTGCAAATTTTCAAAATTTAGCAACAAACTTTCTCACATAAATTACTAGGTGCAAACATCCAATGGAAGCAACACCCAAACCGTACATCAAACTTTTGAGTCAATGAGCCATTCAAGAGGCTAAAGCTGGCTGTATTCATTGCAGCAAGTAGAATAATTAATTACCGATAAGGCCAAAGGTATAAGGAACATCAGGACCAACTGGAGGAGGTGTTTTAAACCAGAACTGTCGAGTAGTAAATCCGATTCCGACCTCATAGAAATAGTTGGTGTCAAACTGTATTTGCAATGAGAATACGTTGGGAAGCCATTAAAATTCTTCATGCTATTATTTTAAGAGGCGAGTAAAGACCAGCACGCACCTCCAAATTTTCAATTGTGCAGTGGTGGATGTAACCAGAGGTGTAATTGAAGTATTTGTAAGTAATATAAAAACCATGAGCTTGCATTTTTAACGGAGACCCTGCTGCCCAGTATATGACAGTACTTGAACCCGGTTCATCTTGAGTAATCCAAGATACTATCACACCCTTCCCCAAGTGATCTCCTTGTGTTATATGGACCTTCCCAACATATCCCCAAGAAAAAAGTTAGTTCCGAAGGGGGAAAAAAGGGAAGGAGAAGAAATTAGCTCTTCACCTGCTGAGGAGCATTGTAACCAAGGGGTACTCGGAAAACATCGCTGTCCAAGGGCATATCCAAGGAATAATTGTAACTTCTCAAGAAGCTGCTGGTGATTCCACCTTCGCTAATATCGGCGATCATGCTAAAAAGAAATCCCGCCATTACAAGCCATGCCAACTTTCTCTTCCACGTTATTTCCATCCCGTCTTGTTGCCTTCTCTCTTCCGATATACCTGCTCGTCTAAGCCCCGAATATCTAATGGTTCATTTTTGGAGCTTCTCGTGAACTGAGAAGCCAACACCAAGTTTCTACCGGTCGGTCTTCTCATTTTCAACGCGTGATAGGCCAAACGGAAAGCCACGCATTCGTTTATGCATAATTGGATCCTTCATTCCCCATGCCAATTATTGAACTCGCAGATCGGGTGGGTGATTAAATGTTTCTTTTATTAAACTCCAAACCCCAGAGATGTAATGGGCTATATTCATTTGGAGCCTTGGTCCATGATGCTGTGAGCCCATATCCCGAGTTTCAAAACAATCTCTTCTCTGGGTTTAAAACCCACACTTCTTGACATTTTAGGCCTCGTAATCTTCTTCACATCAATGGCTCGGTGACTGTATTTGGATTACTTATCACTTTCATGTACGCTGGTAATTTATATATATAATTTTAAAGACTGGAGACATTCTTAAGAGTCATGACTCATGACCCAACACGGCTCATAGAGATGGAACTATCGGCAAAACAGATGCTAGTAATTATTAGATATTTTGAAAAGGTGAAAAGGGTATTATCAAAAGCGTTATCCCAATAAAGTATGCCTTTTTTTAAGGGGAAAAATAAATTAGCTTCGTGATAATAGATCCTAATGATTTACAGACTTTTAATGATGTGTTGTTGGGATCTGTTGGTTGACTCATACTGGTTTAATTATACCCAGAACTTTGTCAATTTGTCCGTGTCTTTATAAAATTAACTAATTGACAACGATATGTATATGGATATACATACTGGCACCCACCCTGACGGCTTCATCTAGCTCAACAGCTTCCTTGCCTTTTAGCTGATTGTTTTTTATGTATGTCTATCCATATCAATGGCTCGTTTGTTACATATACACCAACAAAACTTTTCATAGTTGATAGATGGCTGAGATTCTTAAATATGATGTCTTGCATTCGAATTAGGCCGTATGTATGAAAAAAGTTTTATTGGGAGAAGCAAAACCCGCTTCAATAATCTCTATATCTTGAGAAGATTAATTTCTAGCCATCGGATGGGGGATACCACTTGTTGCATTTAGATGAGTTTTCGAATTGGAGCCTACCATTTATATGTTTATTTGCACGGGTACCTTTAAATTGCACTACATCCGCTCGTTAATATAATATCTTGTTTGTCTTTTATTTTAATCCTAAATATAATATCTCAATCTATTTTGTCTCTCGTATTTATGTATTTTTTTTTAAGGTAGTCCTTCTAACAATAGTACTTGATTAGTAAGGATATTTTAGAAAAGACAATACATATTTATTATAAATAACTAACTTAACTTCTTTTCTTAATATCTTCAAATTAGTCAACTAGTTCTTATAATTAGAACAGGAGGTAGTACTCCTCCGGTCCTTAATATAGGACCCAATTGTTGAGTTAGTTTTGGTTCTAAATATAAGATCCATTCATCATATTTATCAATTTTTTCTAAATTACTGTTATGGATACTCCCTCAACTATAACCAAGTAAAAGAAGGAGATGGGGTATTAAGAAATATTATTATGGTATTTTAGGAAAAATGTATTACATTTCTTGTAATTAACTAGCTTATCTAACTTTTTTAATCTAATCAAATTAGTTAAATTGGTCTTATATTAAGAATCGGAAGAGTATTAAATTAAAAAAAAAAACTGCAACTCAATAAATATGATCTCTATAACGCGACAGTACGTCAAGGATACATGCCTGACAGTAATGTAGTCACATATGGTCGGCCAATATGGGCAGACAATTGATGCACAAGTCACGCTTCGAATGATCTAGTTTCGCTGAACGGTTATTCTGCCACCCACTACCCCATCTTACTGTCAGCTTTTTAGTTACATTTGTTTCGAATTTTGCGTGCACTTTGTTTGTAAACCACAGTGATTAATAATTAACTAGGTGCAGAGAAACTTGAGACCAGAATTATTCCTTTTGATCCTGAAAATTATGGCTTAAATCAATTAAAATCCTGCTCATGCCTTCAAGTTGTGTTCACGTCTGGGAAATCATTTGGGTCTCTCTGTTTACTTTCATTTCTCGTCATGATGATGATCCAGAGAATTCGCATCACACACAGTGACAGTTTCTTGAAAAAGCTAAGTAATAACTTTTCATTCGTAAATCAAACCATAAATTAACATATATATGAAAAAGCATATGGGATTTCATCAGGCTCTATTGGCCCCGCTTGATGACTAGTGACATCAATCATTATAACCACAGTCCCATATATAATCTCATCTCCTTCTCTAAATGTCCTAGCAAGGAAGCATTTCATTTCACCAAAAAAGGACTCAACTCAAAACAAAACCATGGATATGAAAATGGCTCATACACACACAAAGCTTCGTGATGCGGAAGTAGTATAACTAGGTATACGAACTCCTGTTTCTCCCATCAGAGAAAATGCTTTGCTCTGAGGTAATTCACTAGGGCTCTCTGGATCAGACATTTTCGTTGGACGAAGGGATGAGTGGCTGAGTAAGTGAGGTCTTGGAGTGGCTTGTAATTGGCCTGGGAACGTGCTCTGGAGCAGACACAATCGCGAGTTGTTCCTTTGCAAGCTTCTTCTCTTCACTTTTGCCCCACAGCACTAAATACAATCCCACCACAATCAACACTGCTCCAATAATCCTGTAGACATAACACACCCACATAAATACGGTAATTAAACTAGTTTTCTTTTGTCTTTTTTTTTTTTTTAAGGAATCTAAAAGCAAACAAGACAACTCGCATCAATGTCACAGCTGCCTTCAATACCCAGTAATATGTTCCTTGTAAAAATTAAATGAAGATTTTACTGTATATGCCATTCAAGTTTTTAAAACTGCTCGTAGGAAACTTTTGGTAATTCGTAAGTCAAAATATATGACGGTCAAACTCATAAAGCATTCAGAGATTACAGGCAGGGCCCGGTACGGAGGGCAGTATATATGCTCAGATTCACATTAAAAGGGGGACTAATATTTGAATTTATGTAGAATAAATCAAAAGCTAAATATTGAAAGATTTGAGAGGAAAAAGTCAAAGTACGAACCCGCCCAAATAGAACTCTTCGCCTAAGGCAATGGAAGACATGATGGCGACAACAAGGGTCTGAACTGGTTGGTACACGGCCACGAACACTGGGCCACCTCTGTCAATACACCATATCTGAACGGCGAAGGCAATTCCTGATGCCACCACTCCCTGCAATAATCCACAGACTTGATTAGTCATTTCTTTCTCATCTATCATTAATATTCCACAATGAAATGAGGTACAAGAGGTTTGATTAATGCTGATCACGTACAGCGTAAAGAATAGTGAAAGCTTCTCCACCAGAGTGGAAAACCCAAGCCTGAGCGTCTCTTTCAAAGATCAAAGCGATGACCAGAAACTGAATGAGGCCAAAGAAACACGTGTAAGAAGTGACAGAGAGGCGAGCTGGGTACTTCTTGAGCACTGGTGCCTGCATCACCAGCCAGCCTGACCAGGACAAGCAATGGCCTATGAGGTAGATACACCCGAGGGCCCAGCTCTTTCCGTTTGCATCTCCAAGCCCCAGTGACCCGAATAGAGATGTTGAACTTGAAGTGTTCTGGAGATGTGGGGCTGGCCTGTATATGGTTGGACCCTGATATAGTGTTATCACGGTTGCTCCGGCCACACAGAATAAAGTTCCGGCCACTTTGGCCAACCCGTCTCTTCGGTTCCACCTTACTTTCTCAATCCTGAAATATCGTCAAGGTCGCGCGCGCCGTTAATTACACAAACTAAATTAGTTGATCAAGCTATGTCTGAAAATTAAAGAGAAGCTTGCCCGAATATGGCTGCCATGAGAAAAGTGATGGCAGGTACGGAGTTCTGAATTGCTGATGCGAAGGTCGGAGATGTGTTGTCCAAGCCAAGCAAGTAGAACCCTTGGTTTGCTGTGATCCTGTTATGCATAACCACGCAAAACAACTAGTTAAATAAACACTTACATATAAATACCATCCAGTAGTCTCTGGGGTTTCTTTCCTCTGCGTAGTCTTATTGAGACATGTATCTACCCGATGAGTGCAAGAAGAAAGAAGTGGAAGACGAAGTTCCAGTTAAGCGCAGGCCTATCCTTCCTGGAGAGAAACAAAGAGGTGTAATGTACATATTACTATGAAGTAAGCAAAGAGAAGGAGGAGAGAAAGAAGTGAGAACAAGTACTTCTCGATGAAGTAAGCGAAGGGAAGAAGGAGAAGCAAAGCGATGATGTTACGGTAGACTGGGAAAACAAGTTTGCTAATGCCCATGTTGAGGGCAGCTCTTGAAACGACGTGGAATCCTGCGTATCCGAACTGCAGGGCCAACATGGCCACATGCAGCTGAAGCCGCTCTGGAACAGAACACCACATTCTCTTGGACCCTGACTCAGCCATGGCTATGCTCAAACCTACTGGTAACTCTTAATCTGCAAGTGCTGAGTTGGGGTGAAGAGAAGATGAAGGGCCAGGGGTTATAAATATAGGCGAAGGGAAGCAGAGAATGATCCAAGAATATGCAGAAAGCATTAGGCATTTGGCCCACCCTCGTCCTAAAAAGACGTTATGGTAACTGTTCGTAGCCTTCCAATGTTTTTCCTTGTCTCCCACATCCTCACAGCACAATCCATTCCATTGTAATCCAATGGCTGAGCTTCACCCTTCACCCCAACAAGACTTATAATTAATTAACAACATTCGGCTAACTCAACATTATTTTGACCACTGAAACTATCTGTCAAACGAATATCAAGTCTGCTTGAATACTTCATGTATAAATCAAGGTTTTTTGTAGCTTGTAGTAATTAATACTGAGATGGAAAATCAAATCAGCAGAGAAACACCGTGGGAATTACTAATTGGTAGAATCACTTTCACCACATTATGTGATTAATGCTGATGATTGAGCAGTAGCGAAGCCGCCATTGATAGATATAGCACGCACGAGGGGGGATGGTGGGTTCCTCTCATGCCTTCCCACCCTAATCAAATACCCTTTTCCCCACCCTATATACCACACTACGCCCTATACCCAATTCTTTTCTTATATCTTTATATCTTGTGCTGCTCTATATATAATTCTGTACTCTTATTTTTTTCCCCTCGATTGTGGATATTTATAACTTATAAACTACTTTTTTGTTCTTTTGAGGAATTTTCTATTGCTCCCATTAAATCATTACAAAGCCGTACGCGACCTCGCTTTCTTCTCCCTCTCCTCTCGGTCTTGGCCATTCAATCGATAATCATTACAGTACTCTACCAGTGCCACAATTTTTTCTTAAAGAAATTCGCTTAAAGATGGGATGGGGGCCTAGACAGTCGCATACAGCAGTACTATTATAATTATATAGTATCAGAAATAAGGTCGCCAGTGAATGTGCTGATTTGGTTTAGCATGACAGGAGAAAGATAAAATGACATGTATATTTCATATTTGGCACACTTACGAATCACAAAACCTCTCTTTTAGAAATGAGAATTGTATGTGATGTCATGATACATTTGGAAGCCAAACCTAAAAAGAATTGAATCCTACGATGTTATAATAACTGTAATAATTATGAGAGATGGAGATTTTAATTTATTGGGATCACATTCCCATAAAAATGATTTTCCATACGGAAGAGGAAGGGAAAGGCATGATTTAAAGCAATGTTCTCGAGTCTCGGATAACCTAATCCTGAAAAGGCTACCGAACATGCATGATGATTAAGATCATGGAGTGGATCCTGCATAGTGAAGAGGACGGTCCTCCTTTCGATTGGAAAAAGCACTACTAGGAATGCCAAAAGTAGCAGCAGCCAACGGGAAGAACCCATCGTATTTTTGAAAGTTTAGCCTTTCTCTACCTAATTTAACAATATTTAAGTATAATGATAACAATAACTAATGAAATGGGTTTATAGTAAAAGGCTGAAATTTTGCAGATCACTTTCCTGCATATATAATCAAATGGATTACACGCTGTCAAAGAAGGCTAATCAATGAAGTGTTTCCACTAAGGCTCCCCACACCTCCCACTACCAAAGCACCCTCTTCTCTTTAGCAGACATATGCTGCCCGCCCTCTCTCTCATTTTTAGTATGTCTAATAATGATTCTGCATTTTTTTCACTCTTAATTTCGATGCGTAGTTTAATTCCTTCTATTTTAAGTTACCGAGAATTGCATTATCGATGCCCTTGAATACATTCTTAGGGTTTATAAGTGAAATAAAGGTAGCTAGCTGGTAATATAATGGAGTAGTTAATAAAAGTTTTGTAATTGCAATAAAGGAAGCTAAGATTATATATAATGTGGAATATGAGTAAATTAAGGTGGGAAAGGAAGGGGGAGGTTGTGGTCCAAAAGCAGAACAAGCAGTGGTGATATTGGCTGCAAAAATAGGCCAACAAGCATGCTTTGAAGCACAGTGAATTGCACCCTCCATCACAACGTGGGTCGCTTTCATTTGACTCTGTTCCATTTCTCAAACAAACAAGCTTTGGAAATGTCTTGGCACCCTGTCCCATATTAATTAGCAAGCTTCTGGGATAATGTGTTGACTGCTGATCACTGCAGAAGCAAAGCTGCTCTTTATGTATCTAAAATAATCTCCAAATCTTCGCACAGTATTAATTAACCAAAGTATAGTAGAATTCTCCTTAACACACCAGTATGGTAGCACTAAGCAAGGAATATAATTAATCATAATTGCTAGCTAATGTGAGGCAATTAGGAAATAAAGGGAAAGATGGAGGAGAAGGAGGAAGCATGCAGTGAGGCAATAATAATGTTAAAGGAGGGAGAGTGGGAATTGCAGGTGGGTGTGTGCGTTGGAGGTGACACGATGGTAAACAGCGATGATTAAGATGTTGAAAAAGAGGAGAGAATTGGAAAATGAGGAATCAAATCATTTATGATATCCTGACGCTAATGTTCATTCTCACGCCCCCAGCAGCATGATTATTGATTACACACATGCATGTAACCTTATTCCAAAACAATGCTACATAAAAATTTGAGAATGCTAATTAATATTTAATACAAAACATTAAGAAGTCTGTTAATATACCGTATAATAAAGTATAATGATATTTGACTAAAACACACTTCTTGCTTCCTCCTATCATAGAGTATAATAATATTTGATTAAAATATACTTATTGCTTTTAAATGAAAATATTCTTTATTAGACTCAGAAAACGAGATTAAAATTTTAGAAAATTATGGGTCTTAGTCTTTTTAAGAAGCTAACTTATCATTTTTATGATTTTAGAAAAATATTTTTTAATTTCATATTTATTACCTTCGATCCTTAATATAAGAGTTAGTTTGATATTCAATTTGGTCCTCATTAAATATAAGACTCTAATCAACTTTATCTCTCATATTTTTTTAAGGTATTCATTATAGTAGTTACACATGTTAAAAGTTTTATTAAATGATAGTTTTAGTTAATATAGATGATTAGCAAGAGTATTTCAAGAAAGATAACATCTATTTATTGTAAATAACTAACTTAATAAATTTTTTTAATTTATTGAAATTAATTAACTAGATCCTGTATTAAAAACATGAGGTAGTATTAATCCTATTAGCTAGATACAACTCAGGCTCATTTTCCTGTGATGAGGAAGCCAGCTTAGTGACGGAGCGTCGTTAAGAGAGGGAGGCGCGCGGGCCCGCGGGGGCCAAATTAACCGAGCTAGTCGCATATTCCTGCACATATGGTTGCTTTCTCTTGGGTCTTGGCACGTCTCTACCCTGTTATTATGAAGTTAACTATAACTAGATAAAGTCACACCCACTACTTTTGGCAATGCGCACTAGGAATATCCTCCTTTAGTCAGTCAAGAACCAATAATTAAGTGGACACTCATATCTTTCAATAAGGTCATTTTTATGGGCATGCATAGTTATTAGAGATCAAACCTTTAAAAATATGTTGAAGAGATCGACTCATCAGGCCTTTCTTTTGATTTCATGCAAGCCCTCGCCGGTTGAGTTGCGTGTGCGTCAAGTAAAGAACAAAACATTTTTAATCAATGTGTTGGTTTTGATCCCAAATGTTTCCGCCACTTCTTCTTTTTGACCATTACCCCAATCAATAATAATCTTCCTTTATCATTACGGCTATAGCAAGTCACCGTCCAGATATCAATCTTCCCCTGAGATCTATTTTTCTATGTCTTCAGATATCAATCTTCCCATAAAATCTATCTTTCTTTGTTTTTCTCCCTTTCACCTTTAACAACAATGTGTGATTTCATTGTACCGTTGCTATATGTATTGTAACACTATATCTGATTTTTAATATAAGAACTAGTTTGATATTCAATTTAGTAACTTTCTCATGCTCACGTTCTCACACATGCATCCTCATTAGTGTATATTCCACGAGGTACATCACCCTATGTTGATTTATATTTTCCATCAGTTTCTCACTTCTGCACGTATAATTCTTTAGTGCCTATCGTCGAGTTTAGAAAATATAAGCATATTCTGATTCATTTGTCCATTATCACCACCTAATATATGTAATTTTGTGTGTGTGAAGGGCATCGGTTAATTAACGAAAGATTTTGTAGCAATCATGTCTAGAAACAACTCCATCTCGGACACCCAATTGAAGACGGATAGGGGCAGCCAGCAAGGCTAGCTAGCTTCTAATTAATCAAAAGTGCCAATAATCCTCAAGCCATTATGAACAGAATAATGGTATTTATTACCATATAAAACAGCTACCACCACATGCATGCGGTTTGATTGCATTCAGTATATGAAACAAATATTATTTTGTGTGCACTTTAATAATTACGTGAAATAATGAGAAGAGATATAAAACTTCTCATGCACTTGTACAGTAGTAATAAAACATCATCGCGGTTTGGGCTGTAGAAGGCACACCGTCTGTTCACTGTGCAAGCGAATTATTATATGGGTAAACAAATTCAAGCACAAACACACAAATAACAGGCCAAAGTCTCCCTTCATACATAACTTGTCATCTTCAAGTCCATTGTGGGTTCAATTTAAATCCTTAATTTCAGTGTATAAACATTATATGATGAATCAAACATATATAAAACGTTAGCAAAAGCAAACATAAAAACTTTATTAAATACGACAAGAGAGCGGGCATTGGGATAGTGGATGGAGATCCCAAAGCTAGTGGCATAGAAAAGAATCATATTGCAATTCACAAAGCTGCAGATATTGGCATCGATCAGTTGGTCACTATCTCTGCGTCGGCAAAAGTTTGCCCACTTGCGCTTTGACAATGACCTCCGATCCCCTCCCTTTTTCCGATTATAAGATCAACATATATACCAAATTAAAGTATAAAGTGATAAATATGAGGGGTTTTTTTTTTCCCTTTGCTCTTATTTACCTTTTTTTTTTGGGCCTAAAAAGAGTGCTTTGAATTTTAAAAGATGGGAGTATTTGCAAAAATTCTGCAGAAAGGCGCACACTTTTTGCTTGTCGCGAAGGTGTTTGGTAGAAGAAAAGTAGGAGAGGGTTTATTTTATCGAAGAAGAGACAAGATAGTGTGTGTTTTTTCATAGATAATATTTAATAATAAATTTACATAAATTAATTAAAGCTATTTATTTATTTTAATAAAACTAAAAAGTTACCCTCCACTAGTTTTAGATTATGCATAGTGCAGGATCATTCGTGCGAAACAACAACATTAATCAATGAAAAGGAAAAAAGAAGAAGCTGAAGATCTATTTATCTGAAGCAAAAAAGAAGAAGATCAAGATGGAGTGGTGGATAAAGAGGGCTAGATTAAATAAGACCAGTGGCTGCCATCTGGGTGAGGGGAATGAGCGATGTGAAGAAAATAAAAAAGGAAAATTAGAAGTAACCATAAGTTCGCGGGAAAATGTCCAGCTCGATCACGTATTGGGTTTCGGCATAGTAAAGATATTCCTAATTTCCTATCCCAGCAAGCACTGTAATATTGGGGGGGGGGGGGAAGAAGAAGGAAAAACTCTTAACATAATATATTTCATTACTGTCCATTCTTACTTGGTTTGTCCAATCCCTCTCATGGTTTTATCCCACCGAGTGTTCTAATGTGAATAAGTATTTCTATTTTATCTAAAACATAGCAAATAAAATGTTAGGTAATACAGTATTATTCAATCATTTTTTTTATTTCTTCATAATCTATTCTAATATACCAAAATACGATTTGCATCAAAATGCCATATCTGGTCCTAAATATAATATTTAATTTACAGTTCAAACTATAAACTAAATCTTACATTTAGAATCTAGCAGTATTTTTCTTTTGACCATGAGGAATTCAAAGGTCATAAAACTGTGATCTAAAGTCAGCCTACTATATAAGTGTATGTTCTTTTCCCCCTTCGCGGAACTGCTGTAATATTTATAAGATTACTTTTAGATTTTTTTTAAAATTAAATTTATGGTTACAAAAGGAAAGATTAAAAAAAAAAACAAAAGGGGAGAGAAGCTCCCCTGTGATCATCAAAAGGTAATGCGCACAGGCCAGACGGGGATTGCTCCAAGATATACAGGCCCAATGGAAGGCCCAAACTTCAAAATCCTCGCATTAAACCCCTTGACGTCTTGCAACAAAAGGTATCAATACTTGTGCTTATTTTGATGTGTGCCCAGATGATCTGGGAGGCTTTGCGTACAGAGGGGGCCTGGGATTTTATCCCTCTTTTGTACCAAAAAAGAAAGGGAAGACTGATTGCTGATTGCTTTTAGGGCTTTTCAGTTTTTTGGGGCCAACAATAAAGGTTATAAAAAGCTTGTACCCAAAAGGAAAAAAAAAAAGTTATAAAAGGCTTAGTAGCTAACTCCTAAGAACAATATGTTCATTACACAAGTTTTTTTTTTTTCCCCCAATTAAAACTCGTTACCCAAGTTGGCCACCAAAAGATTCGGACTGTGCTTTTAGATTTCAACAATGATGATGTTATCGTTATTTAAAAAACACCGAAGATTTTACCCCTAAAATCACCAGTGAAAACACGGGCCACGTCAATGCAGGAGGAGATGTGAAGTAGAATTTTAGGGAAAAAAACTCCCAGACAGAGTAAAATTTTTTACTGCTTTAGGAAGTTTTTCTTTTCCTATTTTCCTCCCTTTTTTTTCCCATCCAAACATAATTCTAAACCATATCAAAATTGTTTGTTTCTATTAATAAATTGTTATTTGAGATGTTAAGTAGTTTCACTAATATAAATTCAAATTTTAACCCAAAAAGACTTGTAGATACTTTGAGTTATACAAAAAAGAAAATTATTTGTTCCCATGGTGTGATATGGAACATTAAAAGTCGAGACAAAAATTATTAAAGTTGAATAAACTAACCTCTTCCTTGTTAATCTGCGTCCCGGGGAGACTCTGTGTTGCTTTTTGCATGTTGTTGAGTCTTGCACTCGATATATAATTCAATGAATATCCCGTCAAAGCAACAACTCAGCATAATTCCAATGTAGAAAACTAAGCAACCCTTCGAAATTAATTGAATTTTCTTCTTTTCTCTATGTCGAGCAGGTCAAGTGAGAGGAAAGTGTTCAAGCACGACATGAGATTTAAAAACACAATTAAAATCTACCCGTGCCTTTTTATTTTACCTCACATATAAATATAATTTATCGGACAAACTTTCTCTCTGCTTTTTCTTTTAAAATTTTTTTGGAAAAATTCTTCATTTTAGCCCTCTTTATTGTGATTGAGGGGGTGTTTGGATAAAAACCAAACCATAATTTCAGAAATGCTTTTACGGTTTACGAAATAAATATGTGAAGAAATTTGTCTCGTTTTATGAAAAATATTTCTGAAACCATGGTTTGGAGGTTGCCAAACACCCCCGACTCTCACAAGGGCCTCATTTAGTCATTTTGCTTTGGAGTTCCTGACACGGCAAGTAGCTCTAATAAAGTCAACAAAATTATCTGTGCACGCGCGCGCGTAAGACAGAGATCGGCAAGTGACCCAACTTTTCAACAGTATATGACGATAACCATCCTAATTCAATTCATATGAATTGGGAGGAAAGATCCGAGGAGCACAAGACTGGGTAGATCCATGTATCACACACATCGAAGGGCCCAAATGCTCGCATATTTTTGTCCACTTCGTTGCGTCAAATATCATTTGTCATGAACGGAAAAGGAAGGAATCTTGTGGCCTGTTGTTGCCCCTTGTCAACACTTAAAAATTGACATTAATCTTTAACAATTCTCCAGACAAGTCGATATTGAAGCTGCGAATTGAAGGAAGATCACTTCCGATTTCTTTGAAAGCGAAGCTTTTAATAGAATTGAGCCTCCCCTTGTACTCTGTTGTTGGACCCAACCCAAGAATATCAAATAGTTCAGAAACGAATGTTTGGGCTTTAGCCCCGTTTCTTGGTGTAGAAAAAGGGGGAAATGTAGATAAGAAAAATATCATGATAGAAGGACGGTCAGGAAGGATGTACACCTGTGACTAAATTTGTTTCCTCATCACCTACTACGTTTTTTAGTGTGTAAAGCTTGTTAGCAAGAATCTGGATATACAGATTTTTTTTATTTTTTTAAATATTTGCCTAATAAGCTTTTATTTTCTTGCTCTCTTTTATTTCACCTGGAAAGACTTATTAAATGAAATAATTATACAAAATAAAAATTGCTTGTAATAATAAGCTTTAATAAAAATTGCTTGTAATATGTTTTTTTTTTTTAAAAAAGACAAATCACTTGTACTGTTATTCTTTAAATTTTTGAAATCCTACAGAAAAAAGGAAATCATGTTTTTATTTTCAATTTAAAATGTTGGAAAGAAAAACTAAAACCAATGCTGATAATATTTTTGTCCCAGCATGATGCGGATAATATTTATAATTTATAAATCTATAAATTATAGAAGCCAATTTTTTTAAGCTTGATATTGATTCTGATGATAACGATACATTACCCGTTCTCCTCCTGACAACTTTTTTTTTTTTTTTTTAATTTCTTTCTTTTGGGGAAAAATCAAGAGAAACAGGATAAACCACATTGCGTTGTGCGCATTCTGGCGAGTGGTGGTAGCTCGCCCACCTGTTCTTTCTTCCTAACATATTGCATTGGCCACGAGGAACCAATAATACATGACCACGTGTCGCTACTGTATTGGACAATGTAGGTTTACCTTCTTCGCGGAATTTCTTATTAAACCTTGCAAAACATCTCACTGGCTCATCTCTCCCACAGTACCTCCTCCACCTGCGTCATTCCAGGTTTTCGATGGGCCGCCATTCACTATTGGCTCTCTTGCTCCTTTCCGTCCTATCGGCGGCGGTCGCAACGGCGGAGGGCATCGACGATGAAGATGACCTACTGATCCGGCAAGTGGTGACGGACAACGACGATCACCTGCTCAACGCCGAACACCATTTCTCCACCTTCAAGACCAAGTTCGGCAAGACCTACGCTACTAGAGAGGAGCATGACCATCGTTTCGGTGTCTTCAAAGCTAACTTGCGCCGGGCTAGGATACACCAGAAACTTGATCCCTCCGCTGTCCACGGCGTCACTAAATTCTCCGATCTCACTCCCTCGGAATTTCGCCGGCAGTACCTCGGCCTTAAGCCGCTTCGTCTTCCCGCCGATGCTCAAAAGGCTCCAGTCCTCCCAACAAACGATCTTCCTACGGACTTCGATTGGCGAGATCATGGAGCAGTCACTGGCGTCAAGGACCAGGCATGTATATGCATTGACGCTTTGATTTTCTCTGAAGTTTTACTGTTTTTTTGTTTTTCCTTTTAAAACTTCAAAAGTCTAGCGTGATTAATCTCTGGAGTGAATTGTTCAGGGAGCATGTGGATCATGCTGGTCGTTTAGCACCACAGGGGCGTTGGAGGGAGCTCATTTTCTGGCGACTGGCGAGCTTGTGAGCCTTAGCGAGCAACAGCTAGTGGATTGCGACCATGAGGTTTGTTTAGCCTCTCTTTGATGCACAAAGCGTCCGCGTTCTCCTCTGCATAAGCTATGTTTTCTGAAGAGTAATTTGTGAAAAAAAAAGAAAAAAGTATAGAATAATTCTTTTTTTGATTTCTTGACTTAGGTAATGTGGATGCAGTAACTTCAATTATTAAATTTTAGTGCGAATCTCTCGCTCGCTTTGTTTTTGATCTAATTCAGATAGATAGATGTTGAAGACTGCAGATACAGTAATAAACGAATATTCTCTGAAGATATTTTCTATACCCGTACCTCTGATGAATTATTTCAGTTCAGTTACTCTCTGGATTGCTAACTTGGTGATTTTGACTATTATGCGAAGAAATATGTTCCATTTTTTTTGTCAATTTAATTGATTAATTGATTCAATTTTATAGAAGATTTTAGTCTCATGTACAATTTTTGCGGTCGCCGTCTTGTTATGCAAAGTATACGCAGGAGGCAGTTGATGGTTAATTTAGAGGGCAGGTGTTTAATGAGAAAGAGGACACATGATTCGGTCTTGTTTTCATATATGATGCTACAGGCCATATCATTAGGAGAAAAAACTTGTTGCCATGAGTATTAAGTTCTTGAAAATTGATTTATTCAACATAATGAAGTAACGTGTATAATGTTCTCAGTGTGATCCAGAAGAAGCTGGAGCATGTGACGCAGGCTGCGGCGGCGGGTTGATGACCTCTGCATTTGAATACACCCTGAAGGCCGGTGGACTAGAGCGAGAAAAGGACTATCCTTACACTGGAAACGATCGTGGTCCCTGCAAATTTGACAAAAGCAAAATTGTTGCTTCCGTGTCTAATTTCTCTGTGATTTCCACGGACGAAGATCAAATTGCTGCAAATCTGGTTAAGCATGGCCCTCTTGCGGGTAGATACCTTTTTAATATAACAATACAACGGCCTTACTTCCTCGTAGGAGAACGTTTAGAGTTTTTTTTAAGACCACGAACTTGATTAGGGGTTGCTGACGTGAATGATGCATAATTTGATTCTTCTTTTGCTTCGAAAGGATTAGATGCTTAATTAGAATAACACTGACTTTGACTTGTTTTGTGCAGTTGGTATAAATGCAGTTTTTATGCAGACATACATCGGTGGCGTTTCGTGCCCATATATATGTGGAAAGCATTTGGATCACGGGGTTCTTCTGGTGGGCTATGGATCTGCTGCTTATGCCCCCATCCGCTTCAAGGAGAAACCCTACTGGATCATTAAGAATTCATGGGGAGCAAGCTGGGGAGAGAATGGGTATTACAAGATCTGCAGGGGTCGTAACGTGTGTGGAGTGGATTCCATGGTCTCAGGCGTGGCTGCTGTCGGCACTTCTACCCAATCATCTTAAGCTTGTCTACTTAGTTCCTAGCCCAACTACTAGTTTCGAGTTTGTGTAAATAACAAGTCCGTCAAAATATAGTCTGATATCCCTATAAATGTCCTCCATATGGGAACTGGAGACTGCGCTACGTTCATGTTATGTTATGATTTCTGTGTTTACTATGTAACTCTACTCATTAGTTGTACTAAAGATAAAGATTGTTACCCCTTATAATATGAATAGGAACGGAAAGAATTTCTCTAGGAAATCATATTGCCTTTTTATAATTTATACAATCATTTGACAAACTTGCTACAAATATATAGACAGGGGAGCTTGCGTGGACAGCCTCATAATCAAAATTTGCCAGGCTCCTCTATTGGCAAACTGACATGGTCAATGCGGCATCTGGCAACTATGATCCATCCTCTTCGTTTAGTGAAGTAAATGAAAACGGGCAGAACTTGTAGCCATCTCCTTCGTAAAACTTGTTCTGGAACTCTACCCAGTGAAGCCTCAGAGCGTGCAAGAACGCACTTAAAGTTTCCATTATCAGAAGCACGCCAACAGTTGCGAATGTGAAAACAGTAATGCCAATAATGATAACGACTATATTGTTAAACCTGCACAAGTCACCCAAACACGACGGGAATTTGGTGAACGATTATTTTGCTGGAATTGCACCGCTCACACAAACACATGAAAGGAATTTATGGTGGTAAAATATTTTCTGTTTGCCGACACAATCACGAAGAACTTACCCCCACGCAAGAAGCAGTACTTTGTCATAAAATACACTTGATAGCTCTGAATGGGCAAGACTGAAAGGAACAACCAGAAAAAACAAAAAATTAAAATGAAGGGGTTGAGGCATATCTAATGTGCATTTGCTGCAGGGGAGATATTGACCCTTAGCCCCACCCAAAAGAGTCGAAGATTAAACATCTCGCAGAAGGTGTAGAGCTGCAGCTAATGCGTAGAGCAGTTTCAGCAAGAAAATTTCAATTATTCACGTCAATGAACTATCCTGGGTATGATTACCAAATAATCAAACCGTCCATTCCTATGGGGAAAAAAAATAATAGGCCAGAATCCAGAAGCTTGCTCAGACAGTGAGCAAGAAATAGTGAGGTGTTTAATCTTCGATGCGGCTTAGTATTGCCATCTTTTGTTAATGCTGTTCCGAGCTTAAATCTTCTACAGTACATAACTTACTGCAAGTAGTTTTATAAGAAAGCAATGGAAAGAGAAGAAGAGAGCGATGTATGTAAATAACTAAAATGAACCTCATTTACTCTTTTTTATGTATTCTTCTCCTTAGAGCATTGCAGCACCTCTGCACATTGAGATTTATCTTAACATCATTCATGGAGACGCTTGTAGATACGCTGCTATGTCTTTCATTTCAAGGTTGCTTTGAACTTAAATGGTGCTCAACTACTGGCCATTTATATGTGGCCTGCTTTGACAGGGTTCATCAAGCAGCAAACTATTACGCTGCATAAACTACCCCCCCCCCCCCCAAAGCGCTCCTTTTTATGAGAAGTCTTCTATTGTAAAGGGCTTTACAAGGTTGCAAGGCCCACAGGTGTTGTCATATATAAACTTCAAGTTTATCAAAACTCAATTTACTTTGCATGCTTGAAGGTAGTCATTTTATGCATTCGTTGAAATATACATGTGCAGATAATGTGTTTTCAACTCCATACCTGAGAGCCCATAAACGTAAATATGAAGCTGTATTAGATACTGCACCAAGAACAAATTCTATTGTGTGTATAAGTTGGTGCACAAAAACATCGCTGAAATCAAACTCCTCGTGGTGAGCAGTATCGCTGTGCGGCTCTCTTTCAAGAGGTTCATCGATGGCGTGAAGCAAAGAGTAAGATTGGCCTTGATGTCTCTGAGAGAACATGGCATTAGCAATATGTTTGGAGTTTAGAAAGAAGTGGAATAAAACCCAAAAAAGAAATTAAAGAAAAGATAAACGCAGTTTAGCTCATACTTCTTGATGTTGCTTCTTGAGGAGAAAGGGTTTAGGGAATAGCATCCAAGGTACAGCAATGACTGCCAACAATAATAACACAATCTAGCAAATAAAAAGAGGATAGTTAAGATGTGACATCTGTTCATCACAGCTGAAAAGGGAGGAAAAAAGAATAGCATCCAAAGATCAAATCAACATTTGAACGTTCTTACTTGAAGGAACTTTTGGCCCACAAAGAGCTGGTTTTCACCCAAATCATCAGTTGGACTTAAGAACATGTATATCATCACATGATACAGGTCAGCTTGAGATCCGGTACACCATTTAACGATAATGAGGAGTGAAAGATAGCCGAACAAACTATTTAAAAATATCATTTGGGGAATGAACTGGTGCCTGAATTAAGTAAATTAAGTAGTCAACTTTGCGCAGATAAAATGAAGGCATCAAAATTTGATGCAGTTTTATTCTATTACCAGATATTTATGTCATTTCCAAAGTATTTTGCATTATAGTAACTCAGCATAATTCCAAGATTCATTTGGGCCACACCCAGTAGGATTGATATCTTCATCTTCAGAGAGTTGAGAAATGGCAATTCACTCCTAGTACCGTGCCATTTAGGATCCAAACCGAATGGATAAATTCGTCGGACTCTAATCAGACCTGTTGTACGAGCATCCCTGCAAAATTAATAATAAGTAACACTAATGTGATTCGATTTGTTTCCCTTTTTTTTTTTTGGGGGGGGGGGGGATTTGGCAATGGTCACCTGCATGAAGGATCACGGCATCCATAGGCAGATGGCCCAAATAGTTCAAATGGAACAGAGAAGAATTCATTATATATCAATCCTGTGTAGATTGAGAACAGTGCCATCATCATAATAACATAGCGGCCACCAAAAGTCATTTCCACGATGTCCCCAAGTTTCTGTTATTAATAGCAAGAAGTAAAACTGATACGCATAAAAATTGGGGGGGGGGGATTTTGGAATGAACACAAAAATTGACGAACGAGTCCAGTACCTGACCAGAAAATTTTTTCTCTCTGATAATGAAATATGAAGTAGCCAGCAATAAACATATACCATGCCCCCAATCACCAAACATAACAGCAAAAAGGAATGGAAATGTAATGATTGTGAAAACACCAGGATTTGCCTCGCGGTACTTGGCAACTCTGTCAATATTAGCAATAGATTATTTGAGCTCTAGGCAGACAATCAATGCATCCAGTAACTAAGAAATGAGTTAGCAACAGAACATAAAAACTCAAAATTAAAATCATAGCTATAAGATGTAGGGAATGCACAAAGGCTACAATAAAACTTTTGTTTTTTCCTGCTGTAAAGTCGCGAACAACTTCAGGCGCCATCTTTATGCTTCTATCTCAAACTAAATACATCCAATCCACACACACACACACATATATCCAACATGAGGTAAGATTACATTGAACTTTATGGAGAAATTCATTCTATTACATAAATTATGAGTGAGAACAGTCTTGTCAGAAATTGAAGGGAACTGACATCCTATTTTTCTGACAAGACTGGCAAGTTTAGCAGTTCCAAACTAATTCCACCAGCCAAAATGCTACCAATGTTTGCTGCTCAAAGGACTATGCTACCAAGTCGTAATTACACTCAAGCATCACTTAACGAGACTACTCAGATATGTAATGACGTTCTCTCCTTTAGTGATCTAAGCATGCGAGGCCTAAAATGAATATGCATCATTTGTAAAAGGGGAAAGATGAAGAAGTTACACATCATCAAGTTGAGTAAAGTGGTCAAGAATATAAAAATCTTAAATGCTATTTCAATATACATAAAGACGAACGATACATTTCAGTTCACTACTAATTGTCGTTTAATGTTATGATGTTTACACTTGATCAAAATTTCTAAATTATTTGGAACTATGGTCTAAATCTCTTTCACTGTTAATATAAGCGCATGGTTATTGTTGGGTTTAACCTAATCTATCTTCACAAGCAAATTGAAAGGTATAGAAAATACAAAGACAGATATTACATTGAATTGGATCATATGAATGCTACAGTTTAGAATGTGAATGAACATACTAATCTCAAAGTGACTTACCCATAAGCATCTACAATTTCTTGAAAAGCAGAAGTAAATTTGTTTGTCTGAAAATAGGTAGGTGGTGATTCCTTTGTGTGTAAAACCTGGAATATAGCCCCAACTTGTGATTTGCTGTCCATGCTTGCTCGCTGCAATGCACCTTGAATCTGCCAGGTATAAAATTCAAAACTAATCAGATAAATCAACCAACAACACATTTTCGTATTGCAACACGCAGAAAATATATATATATTTATATATAGATAGATAGATAGGTTTTATATGTGCTATTGGATATCAAATTCTTCTTTGAAGAACAAACCTGATTTGTTGCAAAAACAGGGCACCAACCTTCTGCAACAAGACATTTCTTTGTCACGTCGATGCTAAACATATTCAAAGTGTGATAAATGGATTTTACCTTCTTCACCTATCGATCAAAATTTAAGATGCATTTTAAGTGAGGTTTAATTAAAGAAGATCATGGACAGAATGAAAACTGAGATAAATAGGCACATAAATTATGCATGCGTGTAAGCAGCAAGTCACTAGAAACAAGATATTAAGCTAAACAAACCAGAAGGCTCCACGTCTCGTAGTGATATCCAATTGTCTGCAATATAGTACTCCTGTGTAGCAATCCAACATCAATGGTAGTCTTCAATTCGGAAAGTCTTCCAGATACCTATCGAGTTCAACTTAAAAGATTGTTCATATAATAAGCAAAAACATGGAATCGGTTCCATAATCTTATAAACATTCCTATCAAGCTAAGCAATGTTACCCTATAAGTATCTTTTGAACTGTACACTAATCTTCTCCATAACCACAAAAAATAGCAACCATTTCCCCACTAGTCACAGAACTTCATTGCGAAACAAAAAAGGAAATGCGTGTGCCATATAGAATCAGTTTTCCCATCCATCTCACTTTCTCTGGCGTTAACACAAGGCTCAAATTTACTCAACTCAATCAGAAGCTCTATTATCCCAACTAAAAAAGACACAAAACTTAGGGAGAGAGATAACCACAGGATGTAAATTAGTCCCATAAAATGTCCAAGCTAGAACACTTGTCATGCTAAACCTTTCCTAATATTATATAACATTATATGAATGAAGAATTACTCAAGATACGGTCTGGAAAGAAAATACATAATTAAGAGGATCAGCAGAACCTTAAAGTTATGGGTTACTGAGACATGACTCCCTGTTTTCAGGTATTCAAGGCTTAAGCCTCTTAGGATGCAACAATCTGAAGCAATTACCATCCAACTATAGGAAGCTAGGGTGAAATCCAAAAGAAAACTGTGTACCTCTGTAATCATCTGAAACTGTTTGCCCAAGTCGTCTGTGAAAGGATAACGATTTGCTCCAAAGGCGTCGCATATTTTTAGAATTTTACTATTAGCTCTTTCTCCAGAGTAAAAGATAAGAAACGCATTTTTATCAACCTGCACGAAGACAGGTCTTGTGAATTATATATATGAACCTCCACTTCCACAAGAGGTCAGAGATTTAAAACTATAAATTCTGGTACCTTCTCTCCTGACAAAGGATCAAGTACAGGATGTTCAATCATGGCTTGTTTTAGAAACAAGTTACCCCTGGTGGCACGAAATAAAATTCTTTCGAAAGACATTGATTTTTCTCCTGGAACAAGGCCAGCGGTAAAACCCAGTTTAATTGGCTTTGATGTTTCCGTCGTCATCTCCTACAGGATATGAATTTTCTAAGCATCATGAAGAGGAAAGGGGAAAAAAGAATGGAAGGTAATAAATGGAAAGCACAATGCTTTACTTGTTCTTGTAGTAATGGGCTGTCAATAGACCCTTCGGAACTGCTCTGAACTCCAAGTTCTCTCTGTTGAGATACTGCGCTTTTTTGTGCTGGAGAGAAAAACTCACCAACCTGAAATCGAGCATTAAACTAAGGGAAGAGCAGAAAACACCGGAATAATTAATCACACAAAAATGCTTGCATATGCATGTAGCTGGACTAACTACTTGTACACAGGAAGATAGAGAAATACGATCACGAATGAAAAACTGAAACGTGTATACATTATGATTATATAAACAAGATCACAAACAAAATAACCTTTAGAAAGGATTTCCAGTTTTCAAAAATCAAGCGTCAATTAGAAGTTGACAACGGTGGCAATAGTGGACTTGTTACAGCCATACCTTCTGCAGAACGAGTTTATACTCCAATAGCTCACTGTAACTATGTTGCAACTTATCATTGTTCACATTATTCTCAATTAGCTCAGCTTCGAGCTCTGCAAGTTTAACCTGTTCATGAAAAAAAATGTTTCATTACATGACACTGAAATCTCTAGAGCGAGGGAAACATAGAACAACCTCTAAATGGTCCAGATCAACTTCTCCCTCTCTCATTGACCTTGTCGAGGGTGATAAACCAGCCTTTGCCATTTGTTCCTTGAAGAACCGAAGCTTGCGTGTCATTTCTCCACATCTTTTAATCTGCATGGTAAAAATGGTAAGCTTTGACAGAAGGGGGAAATTTCCAGTTTAGCAATTATTTCTCACTATGTATCATAATATCAGAGCACGTGCACTGATTTAAAAGGTAAGGTCTACTATAACCATTCAGATCACCGATATATATATATATATATATTATACAATACATATATATTGCCTGAAGGATCATCGTAGATTTTAAACCATATGTTTATTGTGTACTTTATTAATCCACAGTTTCCAACTTTCTGGTAAAACCATCTATTTGAGAGTAAAATATGATACTTGACCCAAAAAAAAAAGAGGGATAGAGAGTAAAATGTAATACATATCCAGAGAATACTGAATAAAGAGACAACTATGCAGGTAAACAACACCAGACAAGAGAGGCTCTTCTTTCTTACTTTCTTCTTCTTCCTTCTTTTTTTTGACAAGACAAGTAGTCAACATATACAACCGAAACCAAGGAAACAGAGATCGTATAGGCACCTGAGCAGCATATGTCCGTTGGAACGGGCTCTTTTCTGCATTAAGCTAGAAAATCCACGAATAAAAGTTCATCAAAGTAACAAATTAATTATTGATTAAAAAAAAAAGTGAATAACAATATAGACAGCAGATGGAAACAGAGCTAAACGAAAACATCAAGACATATTCACAGCATAACAAAAGTCCGTGAATGACCTAAATTGACTTCATCAAGATTCACGAACATGATGGAAAACTGAATGAGAAACCTCGATAGGAAGAGTAACGCAGATTGCAAACTCTGAGGATTTAAGTTTTAATAATATCCGTAATGACAGCAATGAAAAAGGAAACAAGAAGGAGTTGGTAAAGGAGGCAGAGAGAAGACGAGAAGGAAATGAGGAATACATCTTTGAATTGACAGAGGCCGAGATCGCCAAGGTAAGAGATAGCTCGGTAAGCCGATTCGGTGGGAATGATGAGCTGAACGAGTTGCATTGGCTCCGACCGTAGCAGATCCATCGTCGGACAACATCCTTCATCAGTCATTTCCACCAACTGCGCCCAAAATGTTTTGAAGAAGAAATGCAGAACCACGAAATGTTAAGTGTGCATGAAAATTGCGTGACCGCTCAGAAACTGTTGGAAAACCAATTCTCCGCCTCTCGGAACTCGGAGTCGCTTCAAAATGTCTTTCAAGAAGGCCTTTCTTCGCCTATTTATACATTTTTAATTGCGGTGGCTTCACGCGCATGTGTAATCACACGACATTTTTTTTTTCCGGACCAGGCCACCACGTTGCATGGCAATATCTTGCTAATAAGTTACTGCCATTATTATTATTACTGTTATTGAAGATATATTAGGCATGCACAAGACCTGCAGAAATAACGGTTTGGCGTTACACTAATTATAAATACTAGTAATTTAAACTGGTCGTCTTGTATAAATTCATGCACGCACACCCGTTTTTGTTTTGTTTTGTTAAAACATAAGTAGAGTATCTTCCTAATAGAGATAATCCTATTTGATGCAATGTCATGTAGACACTTCTATTAGTAAGAATTCAAATCTTGGTTACCACGTTGTTAAAGACTAGTCTATTTTATTAGACCCAATTCTTATTGGTATTTTAAAAAGAAAAAAGAAAAAAAGGCCCGTCATCCTGTAGTCTGACGTTGTTTCTGACCCTTGTGGGCTTCGTTCAGTGAACTAGGCCTTTTTTTTGGACCAAACAATACATGGACCTAATCACTGATTGGAATTGTTAGGGAAGAAAACAGCTTAAACCTATTTTCAATTATATAATGCTGGTTTGGTTGGTCCCCTGGAAGCTGGCTTTGTTTATGTCAATGGGTTGGTACAATAACAAAAAAGGCAATTATGGTTAATGTCAACTTCTGATCATTACAATTCATATTAAATAGATGCGAAATGAGAGAAATGACTTAGAAAGTGGAGAATTGTGTTTCCATCAAACAAAAATACGGGCCTAAGCATCAGTACGTAGGATTGTAGGACCCCGACTGGAAGAAAGATTGAGATTGAACTGTCCATGTAGTTGATGACAACTTTCAACACATCCCATATTTTTCCAAAGCATAAGTTAACCTAATGAAGCAATTCTCTTACATTATAAAGGTAAAATAAGGATATTATCAAAAGATTCCTAGGTGTGTATATATGTACGATTATTGCACGTAAAAATCATCCTTGCGTGGCTGAAAGAAAGTAAAAAACTGATAGTTGTTGAGCTGGATGGTAAATAAATTACTCTGACTCAGTATTATTTGAATAACATTTCTGTTTAAAATAATAATGATAATAAAAATACCCCTTTTATTCTAAACATAAGATTTATTCTACAAAATGCATCTCATATTTATTTAGGATGGGAGAGTAATTCTCACTAATCAGGGGGGGAAAAAAAAAGAAAAAAGAAGAGGTTGCTGATAATGTTGGCAATATGGCGGGGCCATGACCTACGAGGCTGCAAGTGATATGCCATATTCATAGCATAAACCCTATAGTGCGTCGTCGTCCTATGGAACCCTATATCTCTCCCACTCTCTTTTTGAACAGAAACCCTATATCTCTATTGCTGTAAAAGAGTAACAAATTTTTAACTGGACACAAAAACAAAGACATTATTCAGAAGGATGAACCAAATTTCCCCTCAACGTTGTCTGGTGGCCAGGTCGACAAGGAATGGTCCCTGAGACTCCCCTCTTCTGAACGATCAATTCAGTCCGACAATAGTTAGCCTGGAAAACCAACTACTCCTTTGAACCCAACTTTGTTGTGGCTTGAATTTACAGTCCAGCCTCTCAAGCATGTGGGGTTAATCATATTGGCTTCTCATAATCATTATCGCTACTATTATTATATTGCTACTATATATTAGTGCTGTTAGTGCGATATTTGAATCAACGAATTAATAAAATAACCGTTGCTGTCGTTCATGAATTAACCGTCCGACAGATCCATAGTGTGGAGGTAAGGGAAGTCAATTTCATGTTGACAAGGCAGGACATGGGGATCAAATAATTGACATGTTGAACCCAACCCGTACACAGCAAAGTGGCATGCACGTGCGTGCGTAGCTTGTTTTGCCCAGAATCGGATTAAATTGTTCAATAATTTACTCATATCTTACTCGCTGGTATGATGTAAAAAAGACGTACGGTTCAAACCAACTGTGTTACAGGGATCTCTCTTAACCGAGAGCCTTAATTATATATTCGATTCTCGAGGGGTTATTAGTATTAAGACACTAATTAAATAATATTCATATTAAGATGCCAACGCCCCAAAAATGGCTTCTCAGTTGATATTGATATGCATGCGCACGGCACAGATGAAACAGCTTCGTGGCTGGCAATTAATGGCATGAAACCTCATTTCAGGACACAGAATAACCGGCATAATGTTTGACCATTTGACAAGCTCCATTATATGCGTGTGTGCTTAAGAACCTGAACCCTACAGCCCTATGCATAGCTATTATCTCAAGCGTCAACTACCAATTGAAATCCACAATTGATCAATCATATATCTACAATTTGATGTGCCTTGCTTTGACAATCAAATATTATTTGTGCTTTTAGGAGAGTCAAGAGTCTAATGGACGATGTAACGAAGGAAAAAAGAGCTCAACAAGATTATTATTATTATTATTATTAAGTTGACAATCATATATCTACAGCTCGGACCGGATTTATTATCTGATACTGACAATGTTTAATTAATAATTTGTACTCCAAAACCTATGTAAATTCCAAGATATCAAGGGTACGTAGCAATTAGTGTCGGCGAGTACACCAAGTGCGGACTTAAGAAGGACTATTTATCAATTACTGCATAAAAGTCATTACTAACTAACGATAGCTATCGATTTAATCCATGACGAAAGGGAAAAAACATACATATGACAATATTGTAGAAAAAGGCTAAACCTGACACTACTATACTTGCCCGTTAAAGAATTAATCCAACAACGTTCGTCGATTTAGGACCTAAATATTAGCATATTTAGGACCTATTTTTCATATCATCTGGCTATATATAAGACATGCGGAAAAGTCAAATGCGTGATATTTGACAAACTGTACCGTTCAAACTTGTACTAGGGAGAAAAATAATAATTCATAATGCAAGTTAGCCATAACGTATATGAGAGATAATTAATCAAGGTCAACAACTTCCAAGCACTAAGAGTAATTGAGCAAATTAACCGAAAGGGCAATGTAAATGATATTAAATCCATTCAACATACAGCGTGCTACAGGGCCAAAGGAAACTACAGTTTTAAGAGAAAATGGTGGGAATCAACTCCGAGTTAGTTAATGACCTGAATCAAATTTCTACTCGGTCATAATTCAGATTAGACATGCAGCTTCTTTCCTGAGCTGAAACGATGCATATATACTAAACTCATTTTTATAGTGTCAGCTTCAAATATAAACGTAAATCTGTCGTTTCAGAATTTACTAAAGCTGGAGGATGAAGTGGGACGATCATGTGACTTATAGAAACATGAAATCACAAACATTTCTGCGATGGATCCGAAGAAGGAGGATTATATATTATGAAGTGGGGCAAAACGCTCATAAAAGAACTTATAAATATACAGGATGAAAGAGAGAGTGACTCTGTGCGTTGTCTCCATCAATGGAGGGTAGCGCAGCACATGTTATGGGCCAGTTATTGCTAAAATGAAGAAATTTTGTGAAAAGTTTCTGATTTTTTGTCTGCAGTGAACTAAAAGCAGTAGTCCGAGTAGCTTCCCATATATAAGTAGGAAGTAGCGGCAGTAAACATTTATATGCATAGAGCACATATATCACATGCACGTAATTTCTGAAGCATTAAATTAACGTTATTTTGTCAGCGAAAGAAGCAGCTTTTTTCCAACAATAGTACATGGAAGTGGCATCCTGGGATAGTTAATTAATGTCAATTTCCAGAGGCCAAAATTTACGTTTTCAGACAAGTAGTTGGTTTAAACGTTACCTGTAAATCTCCATTTATAGGTTAGGTCGCAAGTATCCAATTATGCAGACATGGAGGAAGAAAAGGTATAGAGAGAAAAAGTCTCAGACTTTGTTTAACTTTTGGGACTGAACTGGGACGCCGACCCAGTATTGCCATTTGTCAAATGTCAATGTATGGGAGACAAGAAAACAATTAAAAAGGAAAAAGAAAATAGATGGACCGTCCGTTTCATGCCCTTTCTCTCCAGAAATCGTGCGAAGAATAATAAAAACAATTTTGCTTAACCAAACACGAAACCTATTTCATTCTACTTTGATCCGGCAAGCAAACGGAGAAACGGGCAAAAGCGGCTTTGAATTCAGGACCCGACCAGAAGGCATGCTCAATATTAATCCAGAAAAGAGGAAAAAGGTACAATAATAAAGAAATGAGCCACCCAGCAAGTATAATGCACACATCTGAAAACTGCCATAGAAAATACAACCAAACCAACAAACACTCTTTCACAACAGATATAAAAATGCTCTAGAATTGAAAAGTGAGTCATCGGAAGATCAGAATAATCCATGAAAATCCGAATTGAATTTCGGACAAAACAAAACAAACAACCCCTATTTCGCGCGCCCTGGATCATCGTCATAATGACTTTCTTAAATTCTTCTAGCTATAGCCACTTAGAGCTCATCAAGTGAAGGATATACTCAATGTTCTAGAGTCAATGACAAGAGAAGACTCTTCTCAACTAAGCAACACAAGGAAACTATTCCCTAGAGGATGAGACTCACGTAGATCTTTAAGATCTTGGTGGTGGGAAGAATTGCGTACCAGCCATGAAAGTATTAAATGGGATATTAGGGTAGATTGAAGGATCAAACGGGATGGCGCTGGCCGGAGTTGCTGTGGTTGAGGCCGTTATGAGATTAAGGTTTTGATCAGCATCAGCTGCGGCGGAGGAGCTCCGATCACCACCCGCGTTATATGGACCATCAGGGCCTTGGTCGTAGAGGATTCCTTTGAAAACATGCCCTCCGATGTTAACAGCAGTTTGATAGGCGTACTGCTCTTCTGGTGTGTCCATTGAGTTAACTTTCACACATTGAAACATTGCTGGTGAGTTCAGTTCGTGAGGAAATTGGCTCAGTTCCAACCCTAATTAATACACAAAGAAAGGAGTATTAGTAAATCTGCGAGTTAGAGTTTTTTTTTTTTTTTAAGGAAAAAAACTGAGACGTAGGTTTTTGTACGAACTGTAGAGTAGGAGGGGTTATTAGAATTAGATCAGCCTTAATTTCGTCGGTTTTACTCACGAACAGTGAGGGGATAGCGAGGAAGAGTTGAAAAAGAAAAGCTAGAGATGAGGGGTGCCTAGAGAGTGGGATTTCGTTTTCATCAAAGCTGAAATTCCTCAACTCGATAATTGGTGTTGGTTAGTTAGGCAGTCATATGCAAGACGGAAAAATTCCTTAAGATCTTACTCCCTTATCTTCCTGTAGCAGCTAGAGATAGCTAGATTCAACACTCATAGGGTTGTAGATCGACCGCTCAGGCATTTGCAAACAAATTTCCAGTAGCTTCCTCTTTCACGACACGAGCCTTTTATTTCAAGCGAAAACAACAGTTGTGTTATTAGTGCTATTTATCCCTACAAACTTTAATTTACCTGTGGTGGTGATAGGCGAAGGAATGCGAGCAAGAGCTGCTGCACCTTGAGTTTCTCTGTCGCGTTTGGAGGTATCGCCGGGAAGTTGCCGGTGTTGTAGCTGCTGTTGCTGTCGCTCACGGCGTCTGGAGGCGGGAACCCAGGTGCTCTTAACGTGGGTTTGGCACTGAAACCCTCGACTTCTGCAGCAAGTTCTGCATCTAAGATGAGGACAGTCTTTCTTGGCTTGGTTCCCACAATCCTGACAATTCATGCCGCTTCCTAGAGCCCCAGACCTCATCACCGTCAATCCAAACCTCCTCGACTCATCAAACAAGTTTGCGCAACTAGGACCCACCCCAAGAGAGAAGCAGTCGCTCAAGGATTGGTTTGAATGGTGATAAGACTGTGTCCATATCTCGAATCCCTTGTTGCTGTTATTGTTGCAGATCTCCTTCTCGCTCAACAAGAATAGACAATTGCTGTTGCTGTTATCTTCTTTTCCTTTTCCTACCTTCGTTTGTGGGCCTTGCTTTCCACCTAGAGAGAACCACTCAGCCATTTCTTGCACCCAAAAGCTGTAACAATCCCCGATTCAGACACAAAATCCATATCAGAAAAGAGAGCCTTCCTTTAAAATCGCCTCCTCGTTTCGATTGGTTTGCCTAGCTTATACAGTAAGCGCGGTATATATAGAGCCTTTGGTTGTTCGACCCAATTCCCTTTTCTTGAGGGTTTATGTGCATATCGCGTCTAAGTACACGATCCTGCGGCCTGGGTTTTTGCAGCTTTTCAGCGTGGAGTGTGAAGTGCTAATCTATCTAGATACTTAAAAAGAAAAATCGAGGACTGTAGAAGAGGAGCCGATAAAGTCGTCTTGGAGTTCTCCAAATTCTCTAAGCACTACTCTACGCATGGCACGAAAATTAGAGCAAGCGTCTGCTACGCCGTCATGGAAACTGAACTCGGCAACTCTACGATACGATACAGTATATATAAGTAATTACCAACTCTTCACTTTTCAATTGCTTAAATACAGAGAGAGACACGCTGGTATGGTTGCTCCGTAATGCTAGTGTTTCTCAGACTCAGTCAGAGAGTATAAGTGCTTACGTTTTGCGTGTGAGTGAGACAGAGAGCATATGTGAGTGGGTGAACGTGAAAATGCATATTACTCACTCACTAGTCGCTGCCCTTTATTTTTCTTCGGAAAAATCTCAGCCGGTGAAGACGAGTAAATCTCGTGCAGTTTCGACCATCCAATGGATGTCATGTCTCCACGTGTCAGAACACAAGCTTTTGCTTATTTGTCTTTTCCCCGGAAAACCCGCTGGTACTTTCTCTGATCCTTCCAATAATTAATTAATAAGCTAACGGATGGCATCGCCAGCTCTCATGCTTAAAATCTTTTGATAAAACCCAGATCGAACGGCAACATATAGCTTGCAAGTAGGACAGAAGTAAATGGGGTTAGTAGTACTGGATCGATGCCTCTCTATTATTTGCTTAGCTATATCCCTCTTAAATTCTCGGGATAATCATTGAATGATTGACTCTGGCAATTTCGAATAAATAAAAAAAAAAGAAACAATTTCGAGAAGGAAAAAAAAAAAAGAAGGTCTGCGTCAGCACCTGGGATGTAAAATTGAGCTAGACATAAGGCGCCAGGGAATGCCTCTGTGTTGTCTACACAGCACAAGTGGGGCACCCGAAGCGTGTTGCTTTGCCAAAACCAGCCAGTAAATTTATTTTTATTTTACATTCAATGCACACACAAAGAGCTTTTCTCTGTTTTATTGCTGGGTTAATTATCAGTAAGTTGTTAGTGGAAAATTGAAAAGCTCACAGGATTTTATGTCCCTTGATGAGGATTACTGACGCATTAGCCAATGATATTACAGGGGTGATTGGAAGTATCCAAAAATACTTTTTAGAAGTACTTTTCTGTAAAATAAGGTAAACTTTTTCACATATTTATTTCAGGGGTGTTTGGGAAGCCTAATAAGTGTTTTTCAGAAACACTTTTCTGCAAATCAAGACAAATTTTTTATATATTCACCTCGTATATTGTAAAAGCACTTTTAAAATCATAGTTTTGATCTTACCCAAACACCTCATTTATATATCATAAAAGTATTTTTAAAACCATAATTTTAGTTCCATCCTAACGTCCCCTTACATCTCATTTCATGCTTGATTAGTACTCTAGTTTAATTGTGTGATTATTAATGTTGCTTCCACGAGTAGTCCACTTCATTTTCTTCTCATTCACATTAGCCACGGAAAATTGCTACCACTGGAAGTCATTATTAGGATGACGCGGTTCGTGCCTTAGTTACGTGTAACTCCGAGCATGATTTTAGGACACACACACGCACACAAAATAACAGTTTAAATAATTCGTTAGCAAAAAAAACAGTTTAAATAATTGTCAATAGGAGAGATTCCGCCATTTTGTGATATGACATAACCGGAATCAAAGTAAATAATGACGATAGAAACCAATATATATGGAATATTTCTATAAAAACGCACACATACAGCTAGTATGCAGTATTTGTACTTTTTTAATGAGTGGTTGATTTTAGCATATATGCCAGCGTAGTCATATTGTTTGAATCCGGTGGCCGAAGTTTTAGAAGTAAATGCTGAACTCTGTGTGTATATATATTTATATATATAGTAGTAACACACTAAATACGGACACCACACAACACAGGTTTGGAAATGGTCAATTTTAGAAGGATCAAACACGCCCTCGTCTAGTTATCTCGCTGTCAATCAAGAAAACGAGAGACACACAACCTGTGATTTGACCAGATAACGCATCACGTGAACCTTCCCTGCCTTAATCACTTCTATTAATTTAACTACCGCTATCAATTATTTCAATACTAATATCGCCTTCACCAGAATTTCCAGAAACAAGTGATGGGCAGCATGGTGCTTTATTGTCACGGTCATATCTGCATAATTTAAATATAATTTCAGTAATTCATATTTGTTGGCCACAAAAAAATAATATATATTTGAATTTTTAACTAACAATTTCTAATTAAATAAGTTATGAAAACTGAAGTTAACGGATTAATTTTATTTTAAATTATATCTATTAAAATAATAATATTTTTAATTGAAAGGAAAAAAAATCTGAACCAATTGAAATTAGATCTAGACAGTTATTACTTGCCACTCTTAGCACTAAAACTCATTTCTCATCTCCATTGTGTAGGCCTCGCCGTGTGCGGCATATTGCATGTCTCTCTCGCTCCTCCTCTCTCTGATGAATATCTATATATACATGATCGTCTCTTCACACATACCTTTTTCATACACTAAGAAATAGAAATTTAGTAATTAAATTTGTCCTAAAATAATAGATTTTTTTTTATTTTACCCCTAAAAATAATAAAATTGCATTTAATGTCATACTTTTATTATTTTTTATTTTTCTCCTATATTTAATGGTGACGAAAGTTAAAAAAATTACATTAATCATCTTAACAACGTCTTATATTTTGAACCACAATTTTATTTTAATCAACATCCTACATTATGGATTGGAGAGTACCTTTTAATTAATTAGAATGCTAAAATTTCCGATATTGTAAGGGTTTCTTGATAATTTGGCTCAAACGTGTCATATTACTCTAATAATATAATCCCTTCCTTTAGTGACCATTAGTTTCATCATATGCGTCCTAGTTAGGGGCCCGAGGAGGCAAATCATGTTTGTCTTCCTTTGTCTTTTTGACTCCCACTATTTAAGGTTTGGGACTTCAAGCCGCATCGTCCGAGACCTGAAATATGATTGGGCCAATTAGTTGTCGAGATTAACCTAAATGAGAATCTTAAATCTTACTTAATTTGTATCCGCAGCTGGTCAACATGTCCTTTTTGAAAGGTCACTTGTATATTATTCCTTTATTAAAAAAAAACCATTTATATGTGACATGCATTATGGAGTTAGTGCAGCCTGAATACAAATTTTCTAGCTGGTTGAGTTGCGCACATGTGATTACTGATTAGACTTGCCTAAGTTGAACCGAAGGTGACCCAGCACGTAGGGTTATAGCTAATAGATTAGTGATAATGCACATCTTATAGCAATAATTAATGGAGAATAATTATTCTTTTTACCTATCTCTTATTATCTGGCAGACCAATTTGAATGTCGGTTTGGGCTGGCCCAAACAATATCACTTCTTTATTTCCATCATTGTCCACTCTTTTTCCATCTTTCCACTTTCCTCCGTACAACTTTTCACTCTGTGAGGAAAAAGAAAACAATGAAGAATTCCAGATTTCACAAAACGATGATTTGAATTTGCATTTCTGCGAAATTAAGATTTTGTTAAGCTACGATTTTAATGTAGAAACTGTACAAGACGCTTGTTTATGTGTTAAACCGCGAGTTGCTTCACTGATCAGCACACAATCGAAAGTCCTCATCGAACGCGGTCGGAACAACTGCGACCCCAGTTTGAAAATCTTGACCTCTGTTAATTTTAATTACGTAATTAATTAATTGCCCAGAAACTAAACAGTACCGTGTGTGTATAAATTTTAGATGTATTTTCTCATTCATTAACCGTAATTAAAATGGAGTCTTTAAATTTTGCATTTCCTTGCTTTTAACTATTCGGATCGAGGATTCAAATTTAAAGTTAGATTTTTTTTTGGAAAAAAAAAGGGAAACGAAAGAAAAGAAAGAAAGGAAAAAGAGTGTGAATGGGATGGGATAAGGACGAAAAGAAAAGGCAATTATATATGGGAGAGGGGTCCTCAATCACCCGCATTTTTATCTTCAGGGTACTCTCGAGCCGTGTGCTTGCTTCTCTTCATCATCATATGCATCATTTCCTGGTAATGTTGATTTTCTTTTTGGTTGTTGACGTTGATATATTATTCCCCTTTTCTTTTTGTCATGAATTGATAGCAATCAACAAATCCGGGGTTGTGCACATGCTATCATCCCAGAAAAAGATGAGATATAAAGAGTTCTGTTCACTTGGCTTCATTTTAAAAGTATATTATGCAGGTTGAAGTGTCCATCAACTGTGTGAAGAAGGCGGACTAAACATATTCTTTTTTGGCAGGGTATAGTTGAGGAGTTATTTTAAGAAACCCCTCATACTAACTGAGCGAATTAAAAAGATGCAATATTAATGAGCTACAATGAGATTGAGCTGATTAGTGAGAGCTAAGTAGGCTGCATGAGGTTTAGGATAATGGTGAGCTAAGAGCTGACAACGTACTAGGATGGCCGATATACCAATAAGCACATGAGGTAATGGGCTAACTAGATAGTGCACTTGACATGTGCAAGCAGCAAGCTGGTGAAAAAGAAGAGAAGATAATTCAAAAGTGAAGTAACCTAAGGGCTGCAATTAACTAAAATATCAAGGCTATGGAAATATAGAGACAAAGATGGTATTCGATAGAAATATTCCTAAATTATTCAAGATCCGTTGCAAGAAGCCGGCGACATAAGAGTGATGGAGACTTGCCAAGACCAATAGTTACCTATCTCACAGTCCAATTTGAGGAGGAAGATGGACCTAGCTGGCTAACTAGCAAGAAGGAAAGCGAAATTGATGAGAAATGGGGGGCGGGGGGTTATAGGATTGAACATGATATAGCTAGTGTGAAGAAGGCTTTCTACCAGAGTCCATTTGTTTCTGAGTCCCAATAGAACCCATTATGTTAATATGAATATCATGTGTAATGCATGTCACTCCAATAATTAGTTGTCATGTCTATTGATGCTAATTTAATTTTTCAGGGCAAAAGCATATTTATGCTAATTTAGGCTTTAATTAGACACTAGGCTTTTATTAATTACATTTTTTTTATTTTCATTTTTCTCTGTTTTTATATGGATTGACTTACTACTTAGGATTATCGTTTGAGGACGATAAAAGGTGAGAATTGCGTGTCATATAACATACCAGGCGTTCTATTAAGTAGCAGATGAAAAGATATATGCTTTAAAAACAACACAAAATTATACAGAGGTCAAAATATGTGTTATGCGGAAGACATTTATTTTGAAATGACACAAATGCACTGGATGAACTAATATATCAGTCGGCATTTGGTTCCCCCAAAAAAAAAAAAAAAAAACAGTCGGGAGAACTTGAAAGCAAAAACACGTTGATATTTGATTACAAGTAGGGCCAAAAAAACAGGTTGAGCCCGTTTAGGTCTTTAAATTATAGGGACCGGCTTGAAATTTTCCCCCTCAAGTGGAAAACAGGCCTTGGAAGGCGAGGGCTTAAAAGGAGGCCGGCCCGTTTAAGCTTTTTTATAATTTTTTTTGTTTTTTTAAATTTTTTTAATATAATTCTAATATTATTAATTTTTTACATTATTAATAATATTTCAAATATTTAGTTATTATTATCATTTTAAAATTAAATTTTACAGAGTGATTTGATTTATTTAGTTTTAGACAATAAGTTATCCAATTGAATTTTTAAAAAAATGAGTTAATTTGGACTTTAATAATAATTTGATTTATATCATATGCATTGATATTTTTAAACCATATATATATATATTTGATAATAGAGTAATTTTATACTTATATAATTTGTGATTCTATAACTTGAATTAAAAATTCATGAGTTTCAATAACAATGTTTTTTTACATTAAAGCAAAATAATAACTAGATTACAAAATTTAAAAGTAAAATTCCTATAAAGAAGAAAAATTTAATATTTTTGTTACGGAAGAAAAACATACTTATGAAGAAAAGTAATTGATCACAGTGATGATGAAATTTCAAAAGATTGATGATAGTATTTATTTATTACACAATTGCACTATAGATAAAAATTTTGGATGTTGTTGTCTTGTTAATGAATGTTTTAGATGTTCTTGGATATTGATAGATATTTATATATGATGATATTTTATATTTGTGATTTAATTTTATTCATATTTATGTTTTTTATTAACAATTTTATTGGTTTATTTTCATTTTTTAATAAAAAATATGAGAAATATAAAAAATAGGATTTTTTCCTTTAAACGGGCCAAAAGCCCATGAGTCGACTTTTAACCTATTAGTTTAAGAATCGGACTTAACAAATTAGAGTATTTTTAAAATTTTAGTCATAGAAAGCCGATCCTGATTTTTACCCCTAGTCACAGGGGAAATTTATAAGACGGAAGAGAGTTAAAATGTGGACTTCTTTATTCCTCGTACGGGGCATTCGATATTCTGATCCTACTCCACTTAATTTGAAGTATTTATGGGGAATTCAGACTAACTCCGATCAAGTTGGTTGAGACTAGAATGGCGTGTGGTACAGCTTTATCACTAAGTATTCAATACTGCTGCATTATTCTTAAGCTGACACTTCCTCTTACCAGCTGAGCCAACCAAGTGCTTGGTGGTGTCGAAATGAGGACATTGCTGGGGGGCTCAACGACGTTGACCTTTTCCAATTCAGTGCGATGAGGACGACACAGAGCCTAAAGCTCTCTCTTTCCTCCGGTTTCAGTTAACACCCAACACAGCTACTTTAAGCCTTCAGCTATAATAGTAACTCATTAACTTGCTTCGCAGTATAGGCTTCGTCAATATTCACAAGTTCCATTCTGTAGCCCCCAGGACACTTCGCTCTCTTCCTCTCTCCTGTCCCAATCATCCATTAATTCACTACACTTTACATTTAAAATTCATAAATATTACACAAAAAGTTCGCCTTCCAATTTCAAACGAAAGAGAGTCTGAATTTTTTTTTTATAATTAAAGCTTGTTTATTCGATAATAGCAATTATATAGAGAAGTGCCAACTCCTTTTTTTTTCCCTGATTAAAAAAAAAAGATAGCAAAACTATGTGTGGGAAGCTTCTTTGACCAATTGACCAAAAGAAGGCGCATGTCGTAAGTTCGGGGACGCAAGAGGCCTAACCCGTCAATTCAAGCGACGACGTGTCGACGCCCACGTATTGTATGGTTATATGATGTGCTTCGACGTTCCTAAAGGACACATCCTCCGTTTCCATTCTGCCGTTTCTGTCAGCATTCAACGTTTCCTTGAAAAACAAGCCATTCCGTCTCTTCAATCAATCATACATGAACAGAAAACCAACTACCTTCTTTATGATGTTGAGGTACACAAAATTAAATACTCAGATGAATTATAAATGTAAAATTAATTTTATAATATGAATTATATTATAAAATAAGTTTTATATTTAAAATAAAAAAAACCTTTCATATCATATTTAAATATTATTTATTAGTAACCCATGCGACTCTGCTATCTTATTCAAAAATATAACTTATGACATAAATATAATTGAATCTAATGTCAAATTATTTGTATTTATTATAATTTATAAATTCAAGATAAATGACCTATATCATATTCTCTAAGAAGCTGTTTGGATAAAAACAACCGGATGAGATTGTTTGCACAATATATGCAGGCGTTAGAATATATAATGTAAATTTTAGAAAAAAATTAATTAAAGTATTATACTAAAAATTACGCCTTAGTTTCCAAGACATACACGCTTGTCTCAATATCGCTACTGGCAGTCGAAAAATAACATAATTGATAATTATCGTGATTTGATTTTGAACAAATAAGTTTTGTATGAATAGATAATTTACTAGAAATAGACCCGTTTTAGAGGTTGAATTACTTTAATTAACATTAACAGCGTTACTTAACGCTGGGATTAGGGTGATGCGTTCCGTGAACTAACTAACGGCGGCAGGCCCACACCACGTGGAATTGCGTAGGCGACGGAAGCAGAATGACAGGAAGGACGTTTTTAACAAAGTCTGCGAAGGCTTTCACCAATTTGGCAACGAGGCTTCCGTTTTGGGCAATAGGTTTGCTCGCCTTCCCTTCCTATCTTCCTCGTCTCTAATCTCTATGATATCATTTCCTTGTTTCTGCTTTATCTTTTGACAGAGAGAGTAGTGCGGGAAGAAGAGAGCGCAGAAAACCCAAAAAAAAAAAAATCCACCATACCTTTCTTTATAGTCTATACACACAACAACAAACATGGCTCGTGGTAAGATCCAGATCAAGAGGATTGAGAACACCACCAATCGTCAGGTCACCTACTCCAAAAGACGAAACGGTCTCTTCAAGAAGGCCAATGAGCTCACCGTTCTCTGCGACGCCAAGGTTTCCATTATTATGTTCTCCAGCAGCACCGGCAAACTCCATGAGTACATTAGCCCCTCCATCTCGTAATAACTATACTCCTTCCTTCCTCCCTCCTACTACTTCCCAAACCCTAACTTTTTCTTTCTGAGAAGGAAAAATTAAGCTCTGTTTGCTCTTCCTTTTTTAATTTGATAGAACAAAGGAGTTCTTCGATCAGTACCAGAAGACCGTAGGGATTGATCTATGGAGCTCCCACTATGAGGTCTTTCCCTCCTTCCCTGTTCTCTCAATTTTTTTTACTTTCCCTGCACTACAAATGAGAGAAATTTTCTTATGTGGCGTTCGTTTGTGTGTGGGCAGAATATGTTAGAGAACTTGAAGAAGCTGAAAGAGGTGAACAAGAATCTTCGTAGGGAGATTAGGTATGCTCTGATTGGTGATTTTCTCTTGTTTTTCTTTTATAAAGGATTGTTTAGTTAATGGCATATGTGGTACATATTTGAAACAGGCAGAGGATGGGGGACTGCTTGGATGGTCTGAACATGGACGACCTGAACCTACTTGAGCAGGAAATGGAACAGGCCACCAAGGTCATTCGTGAGCGAAAGGTACGACGAAGATACGCTGCTATACATTTTCGGATTTTCACAAGTAAATTATTAGTTTGTTTTACATGCGTGTTTCCCATCATAATTGAAGTCATTCAAAAGTACAGAAAATTTAGGGACTTGGGAGTTTTCAGATCACATTAATATATCCCGCGGTTAATTACTTGGAGGAACAAATCCATACAAGTCCTGAGACACAGAGTCTAACCCTCGAGATAAATATAGAATTACTCGAGGTATCTAAGGAATCTATGAGTTGAAACTTTGAGAGAAACGGAACACGCATTCTATATTCGAATAATGGCCGTCAGAAAATTTAAAGAGTTCTTCGCAAATTTCAATGCACAAGCTTTTTTTACAAATATTTTCCTTAATACATTAATCAACCGGGGACAAAGAAAATCAATCAAGTGAAAATGGATCACTTATAAACACATCAAGACAGGCATGTAAGTATTTTACTTGTAAATTTGTATAATTTGAGTGATAACTAATATTAAATATTTCTTAATTATAAATTTGCATCATGTGAATATAAATACAAGTAGTTCGACCGATAAATTTACATTATGCGAATGGTAAATTTAATGATCTTTTTAATACTAATTTATATATGAATTTGATTTCTTTACTATGATTCTCCTGTTAGCTATTAAAAAGGGAGGTTTTCATTTCTCGGATTTGGGGCGGGGGAACATCATTTTGTTCGGATTCGAGTGCTGTGTTTTAATTTTTGAACTACGGCCTAATTGCAAATTAGTTTGGCTCAGTACATGTAATTAAGTCTATTTATTCTAGAAAGGTTTACCGGTTTATGTTTGGTATTCCCATCAATTGGGGGAGGATGGGTTTTGTGGAGTAGTTGTGGGAAATTTTAATTCCTTTTGTATTTTTCTGGAACGCTTTAGAAAGAAGTAAGCTCAGTGTTCAAATTGGCCTGATCAGAAAGACATATATGAGTGGGGAAACAAACTCTTCATATCTGAGAATATATATATATATATATATATATATATATATATAGCACTGAAACTTGGGAAGTGGTAACGAAAGAAAAAAGATTGCATCTACGAGACCTTCTTGATCCATGAACTCAAACATTGGCGCATGTGACCTTGTTTTAAGTGTTTAAACCTTGTAATTAAAATTTTTAGTGAGTCAGACTCTTTATATTATTAATTAGACTATCTTAAAATATAAGCGCACGGGCACGGAGTAATGATCAGCCTAGAACAAAACATAAGCACAAGATTAACATTACCCAGCTTATGTGCTATACTGTGCTAACGATTTTTTTTTTTAATTACAATGGTTTTCAGTACAAGTCGCTTGGTAATCAGATCGACACTCAAAGGAAGAAGGTAATTGTGGTTGACTTGTTTCGTCAACAGAAATGATCTGTCTAGATGGTTATTTGATGTGATATACTTTTTGCTGCAGTTCAATAACGAGAGAGAAGTCAACGGCAGACTCATACGTGACTTTGTAAGTATATTCGCATATTTCTGGTTTGAATCCAACTATACTATATATATACACTATATGGAACTTATCCTCAATCTGTGACCCCTTAGCTTAATTAGAATTTGTGTGAGATGGAAATATTGAATGGTTAACATTGCAGGAGGCAATAAGAGCAGAAGATCCACGTTTTGGATTAATAGAAAATCCAGTGGAGTATGATGCTGTGATGGGATTCTCCAATATAGGTCCTCGCATGTTTGCATTGAGCCTTCAGCCTAGTCATCCTAATCCTCATTCCGGAGCGCCAGCCTCAGATCTCACCACTTATCCTTTGCTCTTCTAGCTCCGCCTCATCCATCACCTTTCTCAAAAACTGCCACCTTTAGTTTCCAATAAATCGGACCTATTTGTAGTGCATGCATGTTTGCTGTTTGAAATTTATCTGCATGTAGTTACTATCCTAGCTAAAACCCTAATTAATTACTGTATAATTTTGTATCCTTAAAACAAAAGTGTGTGTTTACCTGAATTGTAATTCACCTGTGTTTGTTTAATGTTACTTTTTAATTTAAGCAATGCTTTTATATATTTTTTTTAAAAGAAGTGATAATTAGGTAAATTAAAACTTAGCATGGCCAGATTAACGTCAGACGATAATTTCCTTTAGGATTGTTTCATCACGCCGGATCATTTTCACTGCCGCAAGGTTTGGGGAAATGTACGTAGAAGATAACCCAGAGAGCAATAAATATGTCTAATGTTTCTTTCCTTTTTCCTGCGCGCCCGAATGAAAAGGCTGCGGTAGCTTCGTATAAGATCGATGTGTATGAAAGGCACTCTCAAAAAATAAATTACAACTAGTACTTGGTGTCTAACTGGCCGGTTCTAATTTGATAAAATTACTCGTTGCATTTTTTATTTTAATGATTCCACTAATTTTAATATATGTTGTATTGTTTTCGAAGGACTTATTTGCTAACATGACCTTTTGGTTTCGTTATCAATTTGACAGTGAAAGTAGTGGAGTTAACATTGTTACCTTTAAAATAATCCTACACTTGTTATTTCAGTATCACAGCATTTTAAAAGATTTTATCACATTATATAAAAAGGTATTTTATTAAATAAAATACTACTTCCGGTCTTTAATATAAGATCTTGTTTAACTTTTATTTTAGTACTAAATATAAGATCCCAATCCACTTTGTCTTTCATATTTATATATTTTTTTTCCAAAGTAACTCTTCTAACAATAATAATTCTAGTCAATACACTTGATTAGTAAGGATATTTTAGGAAAAATAACACCTATTTAGGACAAATAACTAACTCAACTTACTTTCTTAATCTCTTCAAATTAGTCAACTAGCTCTTATAATTAGGACTGGAGGTAGTATATTAAAACAGTTCAAATGTAGTTTTTCAATATAATAAATCAATTTTGGCCAAAAAAAAAATATAATAAATCAAAGCTCTATGGAAAGAGTCAAGTTTATTTATGTATTTAGCCAAAAAGAAGAAACCAGACAGTATATATAGCATAACCTGCAATACATATATACACATAGGCATAAGCTGCTCATAGCAACGCATTGTTTTTTTCTTTTGCTTTTTTTGAGCTCTGGTGTCTAGTGACTAATTCCCTTGCATGCATCATGGACTTTCGAAGAGTTTTTAGAATGCTAACCACCAGGCCCTTTCTATACACATCGCTGGAGATCAAATCCCTGATTAAATGTTTAAAAAAATCAATTATGTGATCTTATAATTCGTTTTCAAGTTCTGTCTTCTATTTTAGGCTTCTTACTCATATCAGACTGTGTAATGGTGTAATCACATGAGAGACCTATATATATATATGGAAATCATTGTGCAGTAGTACTGTAACATCCAATATAATTATCCTATAGAAGAAGGAGGATTGACGTAATCACGATATTGAATTCGGTTCAGGAATTTGTGATGATAAGAAATTACACAATGACAATGCAATAGTCTCGCATGCTTTCTGATTAATTATATATCCTGAGGTTGCAGAGGATCTTAAAACTCTAGGTGGATTTACAAAGTAGGATTATAGATATCTGGATGGAGTTACCAGATATACTATGATATAGAAGTATATATATCCTCGAAAAGTGCTTCTGACTTCTAATATATATCGACTTCCGACTTCTCATTGATTCTTCTCGTAAAGAAGGAATATGCCCTGGTCACTTTCATCCTCTTGTTATCATCATCATCTTGAGAGGTTCAGCAGGAAATTAATTAAAGAAAACTCTGATTGGATAGGGAAACCTGGTAATGGAATGTTAGGGTAATTTCCGTTTTGGATGTGGAACCGGAGCAGCATTGCTGCCAGGAGAGACAGGATTAGGGCTCCAATTGCCATAGTCTTCGAGATCATGATCAGAATCCTCCATCGTCTGAAAATCAAAACCCGGTCGCTCTGCTGGTGCTGCTGGCGGTGAAATCCAAGCTGGCTTTGAAGACAATGACATCAATATCGTCGTAATCACCGTAATTATGCTCAGCTTTTTCAGAAATGAGCTCATGATTTTGGTGTGTGTGTGTATATATATATATATGATATCTTTGTGCCTCGAGTATCCTAAGAATTATGGAGATCATGCAGCTTTAAGCAAGTTAATTCAGACGGGGAATTTGGTTGAGAAATAATAGGAGCAAGAGGTGGAGAAGAAGTAAATCAGTGAAATTGTCGGATCTGGGTGTCAGCCATGGCCCCCTCAAGCTGCCGCTCATTTTTTTTGGTCCCTTACCCAATATTTTTTTTTTCATGTCTTTGTAGATTTTACGTAAAATAAAATGAGTGAAAGTTTGATAGTTTATAGGTAAAACAATGTCATTTTTGAATTTTTATGATTTTTTAAAGACTTAATGCTTCAAATGGCTTATATTTTCTTTCAATTTAGAGTGTTAAACTTTTAAAAAATCATAAAAATTGAAACTAAACCATTTTTTTGGTCATAAAATGTCAAATTTTCACTCATTTTATGTAGAATTTAATGATTTAAAGACATAAAAAATTTGAAAAGCATCCAAAAATGAGGGGCAGCTTGAGGACCACAGCTGATATCCCGCCTCGAAATTGTCTTTGCTAGCGTCCTTTAAATTTTTGGGCTTTAATTTGTAATCCCTTTTGAATCTTAAACGGAATTACTTGGGTCACAACCGTTCCAAACCGGCACTTATAAAAATGCAGTACACGGAAGTTGTGATTCAGTTGAAGGTATCCTTGTGGCCATACTATCAGTCGTTTATCATGTTTCTTGCATGTCTTCTTAAGCAAAAGTAACACACTATTTGGATGACGCACTGATCGACGGTTTAGCATAGTTTATTTATGCTAATTCCGATTTTCCTAAACCGCGATCCGATAATGCTTGAAAAATTGGGAAAAAAGATTGATTTGCTGCAAAGGGATATACTACCTCTGGTCCTTAATATAAGAACTCATTTGACTTTTATTTTGATCCTAATTATAAGACATCGGTATACTTTGTCTCTCATATCTGTGTATTTTTTCTCAAAGTAGTCCATCTAATAATAGTAGTTCTAGCCAATAAACTTGATTAGCAAGGATATTTTAGAAAAAATAATACTTATTTATTACAAATAATTAACTTAATTTATTTTCTTAATTTTCTCAAATTAGTTAACCTACTCTTATAATTAGTTCCATAGGTATTATTATAATATAAACTTATCTGATTGCTATGCACTACCCATTACGTATATAAAGGACCATTATGAATGGCTGGCAAAAGTCTCAATAGTTGGAGTATTTTATCTTTTTCTGGTCATTTATTAAATAAAAAAATGCTAATTTTCAGTTAACGACGTCACTCATTCACTCTTACAATTCGCGCGGTGATTGCGGGAATATTAGTGAGAATAGGGGTCAAAATTGTGATTTCAGCTTTGATTTCTGTTATTTTCACATGGAATGGGAGGGAAGGACCCAAGGCTTCGCCATTGAACAGAGGTATAGCCTGTCCTTCCGCTCCTCTCTCTTTGGCTGGAGCGACAGGGAGAGAGAACGGCTTCTTGGGCTGTTCATAGCTGTACGCGAGCATGTCAATGTACCTTTCATTGAACCTTTTTGAATTAATATTACTTACTCATATTGGATTCTTCGTTTTCTTTTGGAACTCGCCCTCTGCCGATTGAATAATGAGGAAATGAATTGATCAATGGGTGATATTTTCTGTAGGGGCATGCACGGTGCTGTTGAACAGGAATAATATTCGAATTCGGAGTCCACGTCTCTGTGTCTTGCATTCCTAAAATTTGGGTGGTTGCGGGGAATTAATGAGAGAAACACCTCGATCAAATGGCCATGAAGAGAGAATTTTTGTTTCAGTTAGGTTAAGGCCTTTGAATGAGAAAGAAAGAGCCAGGAACGATGTATCTGAGTGGGAATGCGTTGCTCCCAATACCATCCAATGCAAGAACACCTCGTCAGAATCATTCTCCTCATTGGATGCCTACACGTTTGGTAAACCTCCAATATAACTGGATAATAAAGGCCCTCTTGTAATGTTTATGTTTGATATTTGGACACTCTTAACTATGACCTATCATTTCACATGTAGATGTTCCGTCTTGTGATTTTCAAGATGGAACAGAACACGAAGTCTGAATTAATTGCAGCAATCTTTAATGCCACGTCTAACCTTTTCTTCCTTTCTCCAACCCCTTTTTGATAACCAATTTTTTGGAACACAGACAATGTATTTGGGGAGGGTTGCTCCACACAGCAGGTATACGAAGCAGGGGTCAAGCAAGTTGCTCTTTCAGTGCTTACTGGTATCAATTGTGAGTAAAAAAACAAAACAAAAGGAGTCGCCTTGTGCTTCCTGTTTATTTCTATTTATTTTATGCTCTTAGCATCTTTTTCTCTTTGATGAAATCCAATTTCAGCTAGTGTTTTCGCATATGGACAAACAAGCAGTGGAAAGACATATACCATGACTGGAATTACTGAATATGCAGTGACAGATATATATGACTACATAGCGACGGTATAAAACAATTTTAAATGTTGCTCTTCGCTTGCAATGAAATAAATGACGTTCTTTAATAGCGTACAAAAGATGACATGACTTGTCATTTCTCAGCATCAAGACAGAGAATTTGTTCTGAAGTTTTCTGCCATGGAGATCTATAATGAAAATGTCAGAGACCTTCTAAGTGCAGATAACACCCCCCTTAGAGTTCTTGATGATCCGAGGGTAAATTTATGCCTTGTTTCCCCTATTTTGTCCAATTTTCGGCTTTCATTCTGTTGAATAATTATTAATATTTGCACCCTAAACAGAAAGGGACAACCATAGAGAAACTTAAAGAGGAGATTTTGACAGGGAGGAGCCATTTGCAGCAACTCCTTTCTATATGTGCTGGTATTGGTGTTTAATTAGTGCTACTCCTGTATCATTCTGATACATTCTGGTGAACTATTTTAAATGTTAGCTATCTGTGTCATCGCAGCTCAAAGGACAACAAAAGAAACGTCCATGAATGAAACTAGCTCCAGATCTCATCAAATTCTTCGCTTGGTGTGCACTTCATCACTAAATTCCTTTCATTGATTGGGATAAGTTTTTCCTAAATTTTAACCAAATTTTTTATTTATTTCCTGCAGACAATTAAAAGTTCTCCTAGTCATTATGTAGGCACTCGCAGGTCCGGCATTCTTGTAGCTAGTGTGGTATGATCTTGCCTATTTTGCCCTGTAACAGCGTAATGCTTGTCTTGTAAAATAAATGAGTGAGTTCATTTCTTTGTGCAGTATTTTGTCGATCTTGCTGGAAGTGAGCGAGCTTCTCAAGCATTAACAAAGGGTACAAGACTGAGAGAAGGTGGCCATATAAATCGCAGTTTACTAACCCTTGGAACTGTGATCCGGAAACTAAGGTAGAACTTCTCAAGCCTTTTTCTTTCTCAAGTATGCTTGCGCTGCAGTTGCAGGATATTCATATGAGTTATTGAAGCCGTTGATCTACGAGTTCTACATGAGGGAAAATGAAATAATTTTGGTAATTAGATAAAACAAATATGAAATGTCAGAATTCTCAAGTAGCTATTGTTACCTCTCTTGACCATGAGGTATCCTTGTTGTCCAGCCATGATATTTCTGTTTTTTTTTTTTGGTTGGTGACAAGCCATGATATTTCTTATTATACAAACTACAAATTAAATTTAGTCAAACTATAGATTGGTATAAATCTTCATTAACCTACAAGGTCATCAATATTTTGTTAGTGCAATGGCTATTGACAGGACAGTATTTATGTCCCCTTTAAATTAGTAATAAACTCAAAAGTCTGTAGTAGTAATTTCAGTCATACATGTTTTGACTGATTGTCCTAGAGGTCAAGAAAGTCACTACTGAAAAAGATGCAGTTTGGCAGGGTAGCATGCACATCTTTTTGGTTATTAGCTCTTGTTGGGGGCTTCCAAATTTAGTTTATTGTTATAACGAGTGTTTGGGTTCATATGTTGCCTGCATTTTTACCCTTCATTGTCAACCAAGATTTTTCTTCTCACGCTTTGTCTATCTCTATCACGTTGGTACATTGATTACAAACTCTTGCAACTACTCAATGCAGCAAGGAAAGAAATGGACATATACCTTATAGAGACTCCAAGCTAACTCGCATCTTACAAAACTCTTTAGGAGGCAACGCCCGAACAGCCATCATTTGCACCATTAGTCCAACACGCAACCATGTCGAGCAATCAAAAAATACCCTGTTTTTTGCTTGTTGTGCTAAACAAGTGACTACTAATGCTAAAGTCAATGTCATGATGTCAGACAAGATTTTGGTAAAGCATCTGCAGAAGGAATTAGCTAGAATGGAGAATGAGTTAAGGAGCCTTGCGCCAAACACTCAGATGCTTAAGGAGAAAGAACTTCAGATTGAACAGGTGAGTTTTGATTGATAAAATGGATGCTCTTGGTGCCAAATCGATTTTGGTACTGGCAAAATGTTTCATAAGTTATTTACTTAGAAAATTTACTCCGCTATTTTGAATAAGATTTAAAAAAAAAAAAAAAGAGTCCCTAGTTTCACTTTTAATAAATTATGACTTATGAGCCACATAAAAGGAAGTAGTTATCTTCTTTCCCTTTTACTAAAACCTTCTATTACAGGCTTGGATCCTCTCAGAATCTCTCTTCCCCCTTTTCTTCTCAAAATCTCATCTCCACTATTAGATTAAATAATAAATGGTTTGGATTTAATATTTTAAAAAGCAGATGCCCACCTTTTCTTTCCTATTTTGCAATGTTATAATAATAGTTTTATAAAGTATGAAATACAAACCATTTATTATTTGATCTAATAATGGAAATAGGATTATGAGAAGAAAAGGAGAAAGAAGAATTATGAGAATATCTCCTCCCCCTATTATTGGGAATGAGTAAGACTAGTTTTTGTCGCCGGTAGGTATTGCTTACTACATCCGTTCGGATCATCTTTAGCATCAACGCATTCTATCTGAAATGAACAAATTAAAATTGATTTTCCCGTGTGTGAAATAAGGCTTTGAGGAAAATGAGCTAGATATCTTATTAATTGGGTCTCCTTATTTTGTTTTTAACTTGGAACTAAAATTATCACAAAAATAAAGTGAAGTCAAATCAAATTTTCTTGTAAATAACTTTATGTAGCACTTAATCATAGCGTATCAAAATAAATACGTTAGATCTAAGTGAAAATTTGGTAGTCAGTATATTTTAATTTGTTGCCAAGTGGCAATTAATAATATGACAGAATTTTTATAATTTATATTAATCTTCAATCTTTTTAGTCATTCTTTCTGATGTGAAAATATGCAGATGACTAACGTGATAAAAGAATTGACTCGGGAACGTGATACTTTCCAATCTCATGTCGAAAATTTGCTTCAGTCGGTAGGGAAAAATCAGTTTCTGAGTGTCCATAAAGATACGGCCTCAGAATGTTCAGGTTTTACTAATAATCTTCATCCTGCTACGGATCTTAGAACAGGCAACGCATCTGAAGATTCCAATGAACCAAGACGCATTGAATCTCTGTTGAATAAGGTCCTTTCTCAACAGCCACAGAATCCTGAAGACAATTTTCTTCTGGACGGGAATACTCCTGAGTTTATTGGGCCTGATCCGTGTCAGGGTTGGGAAGAGATGGCTGGCAGAGTTGATTCTGAAAATGGAGATAACTGTAAGGAGGTTCATTGCATTGAAGACCACAAAGTAGATGTTAATTTGTTGATTTCTGCTTCTGAAGATATTGGAGGAAAATCACCCATGAGACTTAATGGTGATGCCAAATCATTAAAAGAGGATAATGAGTTAATTCACGAAATTATAGATAATAATCAAGATGTTCTTCAGCAAAAAATTGAGGACCTTCAAAGAACCATCGACCGTCTTGGAGGTTTCACAGAGAAATTCAACAGGTCTTTTGAATCACATATTTCCCCATCAAGTAGTTTGCAACTTACTAGAAGCAATAGTTGCCGGTCAATTGTCGCTGCTACATCTCATCTTCAGTTCGACCAGGTGGATCAGGAAATCAAACCACATTCTGAGTCTGGTAGGTTGGAGCGCCAAGATATGTTATCCCCTCAGCTTGATCAGCCAGACCATAAAATTGTGTCGCCTAAGTTCAGTAAGCCAGATAAGGAACCAGCGTCAACTCGTCAGTTTGATGATAATTCAGAGCTTAAAACCATGTTACTTCCTCAGTTCAAAAAGCCAGAGGAGGAAACTGTTACATCACCAACTGAGGTTGAGCAGGACAGCTCTACGAGTTCACCATGCTTTCATGAGAAGCTTTCTGAAAGGAAAATTCAAGCCAAAAAAGGAAAATCACCCAAAGAACATTTTCAAACCCACCAAATGGCTACTTTAGATGAAGTGGAATCTGTTATGGACTCTGATATGGAAGATGCTTCCAGCGTCCTCAATTTTGTTGTGAAAATGAATGGAAGGTCGAAGAAAACACGATTGAAGGACTTCGATGATCTTATGGTGAGTTTGAAAACTCTGTTGCACATATACTTAGGTTGTCGGGTGCTACTCTCATTTAATTGCTACCTACAAGATGATTAATCAAAAGGACCTCTAATTTACATATACATGAATCTTATTATCGTTAACCTAATTTACTCTCATTTAGTTAGATATGAGTGCTTAAGAAATTTTAGGATGTGACATCTCAGTTATGCATACATACATCAGTTGGTAGAGGTTCCAGAGGTTGTGTGCTGTTTATGAGCAACATCGGAGATCTAGAGTAGACTTATAAAATGATAGTTATCATTATGCATAAATCCTTGCTTGTATGCTAAATCTAATGGATCTGAAAAAGATTCATTCTCTTAATGTATGGACTAGTGAATAATAGCAAACTCTAACTCTGCGGCTTACAACTGCCGTTACTTGCCATGTGCTTCTCATTTGTGTTGTAATCACCTATTTCATCTGATAGACTCTATAAATATTTTACACATTCAAAGCTAATTTGCGGATGTTACTCTTTACCTAAAATAAACAATCCTTAACTGCATTTGGATAGAACAAGTAAACAGTTAATAGTAGGCAGATAATCCCACTTTTATGCAGTTCTAATTACATGTCCATGAAGGGAAAACTTTACGTTTTATGCTCTCAGATCCTTCCAAAAGCATTTGTTCTTGAAAGGTATTATAAGACTGAATTGAACATCACTGTGTGTTAGGCACGTTCAATGACATCTGGCTTCAATGAAATCGGCAAAGCTAGACTTATCAACTTCCAAGGTGTGCCGGGAGCTTTGCTGCCTTCTAAATTTGAGAGGCAGCAGAGATACATGGTCGAACTTTGGGATGCATGCAATGTACCACTGGTTCATAGATCCTATTATTTTCTTCTCATCATAGGCGAATTATGGGATCCTATGTACTTGGACATTGAGCTCAGACGTTTGTCCTTCCTAAAGGAGAAATTTTCTGCTGGAGCCCCTATGATAGAAGACATTCAGAATCTCACACCTGATTTGAGGTATAACTTCAATTATGTGGGTTGATTTTTTGGCCTGCAGTCGAACATTCACACCAATCTTCCAAACTTGAGCTCACATCCGGATTTTGAGAAATACTGCCTAAGCAGATCCACATTGATATCATCTAGAACAGATATTTGATCGTAATCTCTTTTATTTAAAGTGAAATGATAGGCTGCACATAGGCTGGGAGGCTTATGAAGAAGCTAAGAACTAATGGGGAGGACTGGTGCTTTTGGCCAGGAAAATATTCAAAGTACCCAATAAAGAGCCTGTATTGATTGTCATATGCAGTTTTCTGACGCTTCATTTTTCCTGTGACAGCCGCATGGCGCTTGATCGAGAGAGGAAGATGCTAAGTAAAAAAGTGCACAAGAAGCTCTCGAGGAAGGAAAGAGAGAAATATTACGTGAATTGGGGTATTGATTTGAAGTCAGGGCACAGAAGTTTGCAATTGGCATGGCGACTGTGGACGAGTACGAAAGATATTGAGCACTTGAGAGAAAGTGCCTTACTCGTTGCAAGGCTGATTGGTCTGATGGAGTTGAATGAGGCCCAGAAGAAGAATTTTGGACATAATTTCTTAGCCTTATTTAAGAGCCGTAAAACCCTCAGTTTTGGAGTACACTATGATATAGCCCAAGATGATTCTTCTTCATTGAGAAGAATTGTAAGATGACAGGTAATAATATTAAAAAAAATTCGTTTTAAAATATGCATCTCTCCTGGACCTAATTTGATATTACTTGTAACAGGTCTCCCCATATCACACTGATTCATTTAAATATTGTAGTATATTATACTCAAGTGCCTCAAAGTTTTCCGTGCAATTCGTCCCTCATTATATATATTCATATCATTTTTTTTTCTTACAAAAAATTTAGGCAGGATTTAGGTGGGGACCTTCTCGTAGATCATACCATACTGAGCAAGACAAACTTACAATAAACCTTTAAATGTTTACTTAGGCACTTCTAAGTCTAAAATGCCTTTCCAAACACCGCAACGGGAAATTGAATTCCCTCTCTTTTTTTATGAGAGGGGGCAGTTCCCACCGAAGATTGTTTTTTCTGTTATATGGTTTTTAAATAGACAAAGAAGAGAGAAGGCTTTTGGAGACCTTTATTTGTTTTTTGTTGTTATTACCATTAGTGGGCTTTAGTAAAAAGTTGGGCTTTGAAATGGGCTCATTGCACGTGGTAATGGGTCCTCCAGTCATGAGATGAGCTACGAGGGAAAAGATGTGGGGCATCTTCCCCGGGAGATCCGGTCAGCTTGGCAGCTCTCATTTATGATGGAAGCAACTGCTGCGTGGGTAAGAACTAAAAACGTTAAACAAGGAAACACTATTCATTCAATTTATAAATCATAAATTTGGCCCATAAAACGCCTGCGCTGCCATGAATGCTATTGACGTGTCTGCGTCTGTTTGCGTTGGAGTCTCATTTTGAAAGTAACGATGCCCCAAAAGTTTATTATTAGTAAATGCATATAAAATATTAAAATTCCCTCCTCCCCCTTTATTATCCTCCCCCAACCTATTTAATGTATTGCTCTGCTTTACTACGCCGTTGTATTATATTGCACCTAAAGCTGATCTGCGCCAAATGCAAAGAAAAACAAAGTGGACCATTTATTCATGATGGATCTGCTATGCACAACCCTTTCCCCCCATAAAATTCGCTCATTTTTTGCTGTAAAGAATTAATGTTCGTTTTATTTTCTTTCTAGCACAACCATCTAATTATTACCAACCAGTCCATATCCAAAAATTTATCAAATTGAAACAGTAGTGGTCTTCTTAGGATTTTCCTAATTCGTTGTTTCAGCTGTCAACCTCATCCAAGAACAAGGTTATTGTGTCATTTCATTCTATTTTATATCTGATAGTATTTCCAAAAAGAAAAGTGATTGTTTTCTCAAATATTGCATATTTCCCTGTGTATAAAGAGAGTGAACTTTTTCGGCCAGAAAAGAGGGAGTAGGAGAGCTTTTTTCACAGTCGCCCTTAAATGCGGGGAAAGACAAAAGGCTATGTGTTCCTAATATGGACTCCCCCCACCCTTTAGGCATCTAAAACTTTGGAAGAGAACAATGAAACAATAAATATGTCATTTCTAACTTCTCCGGAGAGTAGAACGGTAATGATGAAGAGAAAGAGATGCTTAAGGAGGAATCAGGCGAGATCTACACTTTAATGAAGAGAAAGCATTAGATTAGAGCAGGAAGTGGTGACCACAACACAGAGAGCCAACGAGGAGAAGCAAAGGAGCCCCATGTTAGGATAGAAAATCACAGGACTTCATGATATCCCCCTCCCATGACAAGCTTCCAAAAGCACAATAAAAAGTTCTCTGTGACTACACATTCATCTTCAAAAAGCCTTCCAGGGTCAGAACTTTTCGGGAACTGAGCAAAGTGACAGAGAGATAGAGAGAGAGAGAAGCGCTTTGCATATCATTTTGTTTTGCGTCAACAATACACACATCACAACACTCTGCAGTGTTATAGAGACGCTATCTACTCCTTCCGCTTCCAAATTGTAACAGTAACACCGGCTTCAGCACACGCTCCTCCTCAACGTACACACACACAAACGCAAATGTCCATACCTTAACGCCCTCATCCGTCCCAAGAACCCCAAGCTTGCCCCTCCCATGGCTTCAACGGCTAGTTTTCTGTGGTTCTTCTTCGCGTTGGCCTCTTTCTTGTGCTGTGCTGAGTCCTTGTCGGAGATCCAAGCACTAATGGCTTTCAAGCTTCGACTCCATGACCCCCTCGGCTCCTTGGACGGCTGGGATCCCTCCACGCCCTCCGCTCCTTGTGACTGGCGTGGCATTTTCTGTTACAATAACCGGGTTCGCGAGCTTCGCTTGCCTCGCCTTGAACTCGCCGGTCCGCTCTCGGATTCCCTCTCCGACTTGGTTCAACTTCGCAAGTTAAGCCTTCATTCTAACAACTTCAATGGCTCCATTCCTCCTTCCCTCTCTCAATGCCTGCTTCTGCGTTCCGTTTATCTTCATAATAACTCCTTTTCTGGTAAACTGCCCCCGGCTCTTCTCAACCTCACCAACCTTCAAATCCTCAACGTTGCTCGGAACTTTCTTTCCGGCCGAATCCCCGGAGATTTATCGAACTCTCTCCGGTTCCTTGATTTATCGTCGAATGCATTTTCCGGTGATATTCTGGCTAATTTTTCGGCAAAATCTCAGCTACGACTCATCAACTTGTCCTACAATCGGTTATCTGGTAGAATACCGGGCTCTGTAGGGGTTCTGGGGCAGCTTGAGTATCTTTGGCTGGACTCCAACCAGTTGTATGGGACCCTGCCTTCGGCTCTGGTTAACTGCTCTTCTCTTGTGCATCTGACCGCCGTGAGCAATGCGCTTTCCGGTTTGATTCCGGCGACCATGGGGACGATGCCGAGACTTCAAGTTCTGTCGTTGTCGTCGAATCAACTTTCGGGATCGGTCCCCACTTCTCTGTTTTGCAATGTCCACTTGGCCAATGCTTCTTCGCTGAGAATCGTTCAACTAGGCTTTAATGCACTCACGGGCATTTTCGAGCCGCCAAATGCAAGGTGTGTTAATGTTTTGGAGGTTTTAGAGCTTAAGGAGAATCGTATTCGCACTGCATTTCCCTCCTGGTTGACTAATGCGACGTCGTTAAGAGCTGTTGATTTTTCCGGAAACTACTTTTCTGGTATTTTGCCGGCGGATATTGGGAATATATTGGGGCTAGAGGAGCTTAGGTTGGCAAACAATTCGTTATCTGGTGATGTTCCTCATGAAATTGTGAAATGTACTTTGTTACAGGTTCTTGATCTTCAAGGAAATCAATTCTCCGGCCTCATTCCTTCGTTTCTTGGCCAACTGAGGAATCTCAAAATGTTATCTCTTGGCGATAACCTGTTTACTGGTCCTATACCCACGAGTTTGGGAACACTTTCCGAGCTCGAGTCGTTGAACTTGAGCAACAATAAACTTACGGGATTCATTCCCCCGGAATTAATGCGATTGGGTAACATGAGTGCTTTGAATCTCAGTAACAACAAATTTTCAGGGCAACTTTCGTCTGCCATCGGGGATTTAACAGCTCTGCAGGTTCTGAATTTGAGTCATTGTGGGTTATCAGGACAGGTTCCGGCTAGTGTTGGTGGTTTAATGAAACTAACGGTGCTGGATTTAAGTAGGCAAAATCTTTCAGGTGACTTGCCAATCGAGCTCTTCGGATTACCTAGCCTGCAGGTTGTTGCTCTTCAAGAGAACCACTTATCTGGAGCTGTTCCAGAGGGTTTCAGCAGTCTAGTCACCCTGCAATATCTTAATATCAGCTCTAATGTCTTTGCTGGTGAAATTCCAGCGACTTATGGATTTCTTCGATCGTTAATTGTTCTTTCTGGGTCTCAGAATCATATTTCTGGCAGAATACCATCAGAGATTGGTAACTGTTCTCAGCTTGAAGTTCTCGAGCTTCGTTCAAATCGTTTGCATGCAGACATTCCTGGCTATATCGCCCGTCTTAATCGTTTAAGAGTCCTTGATTTGGGAGACAACAAGTTAACAGGAGATATTCCAGAAGAAGTATCCGAATGTTCTGCTTTGACTTCACTTCTCTTGGATGCTAATCAAATAACGGGTCAAATACCAGAATCCTTATCAACTTTATCAAACCTGAATGCTTTGGATCTCTCCTCAAATCAATTGAGCGGAGACATTCCAGCCAGCCTGTCACTCATCTCTGGTTTGAAGTATCTAAACGTCTCTAGAAATAATCTTGAGGGTCAGATTCCGGAAATGCTGGGCTCCCGATTCGATGATCCTTCTGTATTTGCAATGAATAACAGGTTATGTGGAAAACCACTGCATAGGGAATGTGCAAACGTAAGGCGGCGAAAGAGGAAGAGGCTAATAATATTTATAGGTGTGGCTCTTGGTGGACTATGCCTTTTGGGACTATGCTGCTGTGGCTATGTTTATAGTCTCTTACGGTGGCGCAATAAGCTGAGAGAAGGCGTAACAGGGGAGAAGAAGAAGAAGAGCCCTGCTCGTTCAAGTTCAGGAGCAGACAGAGGTCGAGGAAGTGGGGAAAATGGAGGGCCAAAACTAGTAATGTTCAATAACAAGATCACTTATGCTGAGACACTGGAAGCAACCAGACAATTTGATGAAGAGAATGTGTTGAGCAGAGGAAGATACGGTCTTGTGTTCAAAGCGTCGTACCCAGATGGAATGGTGCTGTCAATCCGTCGTCTTCCTGATGGATCCATCGAGGAAGGAACCTTCCGTAAAGAAGCAGAATCATTAGGAAAAGTGAAGCACCGCAATTTAACAGTATTGCGTGGCTATTACGCAGGACCACCTGACGTGAGGCTTCTTGTTTATGACTACATGCCCAATGGAAACCTTGGGACTCTTCTTCAGGAAGCATCTCAGCAAGACGGCCATGTACTTAATTGGCCTATGCGTCATCTCATCGCACTAGGCATTGCTCGTGGGCTAGCCTTCCTACATTCAGTCTCAATAGTTCATGGCGATGTGAAACCTCAAAATGTTCTGTTTGATGCTGATTTTGAAGCCCATTTATCAGAATTTGGCTTAGACAGAATAAAAATCGCAACCCCAGCAGAAGCATCGTCATCGTCCACTCCCATAGGATCATTGGGGTACGTATCGCCGGAAGCAGCGTTAACTGGGCAAGCGACCAAGGAAGCTGACGTCTACAGCTTTGGGATTGTATTGTTGGAGATTCTGACAGGAAGAAAACCGGTGATGTTCACGCAAGACGAAGACATAGTGAAATGGGTGAAAAGGCAATTGCAAAGGGGTCAGATATCGGAATTGCTTGACCCTGGGCTGCTAGAGCTAGACCCAGAGTCATCGGAATGGGAAGAGTTCTTGTTGGGGATCAAAGTGGCTCTTTTATGCACAGCACCGGATCCTCTCGATCGGCCGTCAATGACTGACATTGTTTTCATGCTCGAAGGTTGCCGGGTCGGACCGGAGATTCCGTCGTCGGCCGATCCCACCACGTTGCCTTCCCCAACTTGATTTCTTCTTTTTCTTGCGGAAAAAAATGGGGAAAGTAACAGGATTTCTTCGATTTAATTATGGTTATTCTCTGGTGATTTATGGGAAGAATTGTTTTTCGTGTTGAATTTAAGTTCCTTTTTAGGCCTGAGCGACTCTTTATTCTCCTCGAATTAAGCTTTTGACCCGACGGCGCTGTTCGCTGCTATGGTCAAATGGATATCCGTAATTCCGTGCGCGAGAACCTGAGGGGTTGTTCCCGCCAAATGAATTATATCAAATATGGAGGTGCCACGTGTCGAGACCGGAGGGTGAAGGGAACTAACCGTTAATGAGTCATCGATAAAGCGGAAGGGGGCATCAGAATCCGTGAATCTGTCGAATCAGAAATGTTATCTTTCATAAATTTTTTTCCTGAAAGCTAAACGACAAGGCACCAAGATTCTCTCGAGGAACTATTGTTTTTCTTTTCTTTTTTAATTAATCAACTTGAACTATTCAATGTGAAGGCCCATATCAGCGCGAACTAAAATATCCTATGCCGTTCGCCTGAAAACTTTTTGACGCTCCACACCGTTTTGTTTATGGTACACTTGAGATTTAGAGCCTATAATTTAAAATTTAAAAGTAAAAATTAGTGTGAGTGTGAACCCACTCGCGCAATATGCGTGGTACTAAATTTGAAAAAAATAGTGACTTTGATTTTAAGTTATATAAACGCTGATCAGTATTTCAATTGTCTGTGTTTATTGAAATCTTTAAAATGTTTTCTTTTTAAATCTTGCCTTCCGGAATTGAGAACAATGTGACTCTGCATTTACGGGATGTATTGGAAAAAATATTTTTAAATGGTAAGAGATGCATCCGCAAGATTTTGCATTGAGGTGCACGTGGAGGCAAATGAAATGGCAGAGGCTCTAAAACTTACGTATTGGTTTGGATCAGCGGTGAACAATTATAATTTTAAATAATTATAAATTCTATAAGTAATATTGGTTATAAGTGATATTAGTTAATCCATTTTGGTTATTAAATATAATTATTTAGGGAAAATTTGCAGAAAAGTGTGATAAGGTGGATTAAAGAAAATTCAGTTGATAAAAATTGATTAAAATTCTTCAAATGCATAAGCTACTATTTGGTGTTTATTTTAAAAGTGTGGTAGAAGAATAAAATAACGATTCATTAAAATTTTATAAAAATTACTCAAACAAGATAAGCATATTTTATAATCACTCTTCAAATGCATAAGTTACTATTTGGTGTTTATTTTAAAAGTGTAGTGGAAGAATAAAATAATGATTTATTAAAATTTTATAAAAATTACTCAAACAAGATAAGCATATTTTATAATCACTTACTTAAATTCAAACAAATTTACGTAGACTTTCACCGCTTTACCAAACACGCACTGGATCTTGAGAATCAATTATGAATTATGTGGGCAGGTAGAATGTGTGCCATACTCAATCTCACGGGAAAAACAGGGAGGGGTCAATGCGTGCGTGAATATTTAATAAGCTAGTGTTTTGGGGAGAAAAAAGGAAAAAGGTTTAATTTTATTATTTTAAAAATTAATTTTTTTGCCAACTCTTTTAAAAATTAAATGCATTATGGTTTTGATGGGAAAAAATGTAATGCATTACATATATAATAAAGAAACGTTGTGTTTGTTATATTTAACTGTTTTGTGATATTATATGATTATATCTATATATATACATTAAATTCGCTCATATGAAAAATTCTTAGTTCTTTACCCAGCACGAAGATAATTTCATGTCTGCGGGATTAATATACAGATATAAAATATAGGCTACATCCAAAGATTTAGTAATTAATATTTGCAAATCATAAGCTACGAAAAAACATTTCTCAAATTCATAAAAGGTATGTAAGAATTTATTACGTCAATTTTAATGTAATGATCAAAATAGTTATTTTAATAATTAATGTGAAAATAATTTTTCAATATGATCATAAGTTTTTTTTTTAAACCTGAATATGATCATAAGTTTAATAACATAAAAACATGTAAAAAAATAATTGTTAAAATCAAGTTGAATTTGTTTTTTTTTTTACCTTCTAAAAAAAATGATGTACAAGTTACCTATTACTGTTGTTGTTAGTATTATTATCAGAGGGAGGGAGGGTGCCTTGCAGCAGTAGCTTGTACTTGAGATTCAGTTCAATTGAGTGACAATTGATTGAGCTCATGACAATTCAGAGAGTCCAGCTAGCCAAGCTATTTCCTTGTCCTTATTCATTCGAGTGACTGTCACAAGCGCCGTACGTTTTGGGTTGTTTGAGGAGTTATCAAGCTTCCCAACTCCCAAACTCTCTGCTAGCAACTCCAACATTCTAGTTCAGGTCCAAAAAAAAAACTCCAACATTTTAGTTTCGCACCCCACCAAATTTTTCTACGTTATCTTACCCATTTTTAAAACCAATTTCACACATTACACTTATAAGATCGAGTGTTCAGATCTCGCCATGAGTTTAAAACATGCTAGCTTCTGAAATTCCACCTACCTAAACTTCTATTTATTAAAGAAAAAACCATCACACTCAAAACGTCTAAGTAAAATAATTTCGCCAAGGTTTACACATAATAACACATCAGTACCTAGGAGCATCTTATTAACGTACTTGAAAGTTTTTATTCGACTCCAAATAAGTCTTTTTACTATATTTTAATAATAATTAACAATATTCACAAATAAATGATAACATATTTTTTGTTATCATTCCTAGATTTTTAAAATTTTAGAAATATATATTTTTTAGATTTTTCCATTTTTCTTCACCTAAAAAGTCCAAACCTGTCAGTAGTAAATTCACTTTCATTTCACAGGCATACCCTCAGGGTAATACGAGTGGGCCAACTCTCACCAAGCATGTTGCAGAGACCAATATATTTCAAGGTGTTTTTTTCCCCAAAAAAATTGAAGAGTTCTTAGTTCATGCACCATTTCCCCCCTTTTTGGGTGAAAATGTTCTTACACCTTTCATTTTCTGTAATATATACATGAACATGAATATACTGCCGCGGCTCGTCCACTTAAGAATTAATCCATTGAAACACTGCAATAATGTTCATACACTTACCATGACAATCGCCTTATTGAAAAAAAATAGTAATAATCGATAGGACCGCACAAAACTATAATCCTATGCAGAGGTCAGGCCTTCAGGAAGCGATTGACTGTCTGGATCAGGTGAAAGAAACCTTCGGCAAGCATAAAACACAGCTGAATGAAAGCCAGTTGGGTTATCAATGAACACAAAGTGCCCACCCTGCAACAAGTAATACCATTCCTTAGTTTCAAAAAAAAAAAATCACAATTGATTCATGTTTGGGAAAATTCTAAAAGCCGTACCTGAGGAACCCTGATTATTTCACAAGGAACTTCCATATGCTTACGAGCTTCTTGGGCCCCAGTATAACTCATCCAATCCTGGAAACCATATATGAAAGTGGTTGGTACCTTCCACTCTGAGGCGCTGTAACACCAAGGGAGGGAAAGGAAGACAAAACATGTTACAAACTGACACATGCCATAATAAAACAAAAATGAGCCACCACAACATCAAAAATAAGCGTCCATATTTGAACGGAAGGCCCATCTCTACATAAAGCCTCACCAGACCATGTACCTAGCCCAATATGCCCACGGTTTTGCTTTGCATATATCCTCATCATCAAAAATAAAAATACTTGGTAAAGCTTCATGATATAAATATTTTTGGGGGATGAATACTGTTTTCTACCATATGAATTATGAAATGCACAAGATCTCCAAGGACGTCTGTCACGGGTATGCAACAAGTGACCAAAACGCGTGGGTGTGTGAGAAGGTGTGTTTGGGTTCCCCTCTCCCATGGGGTTTTAAATTGCTAAAATCCAAAAAAGAGAAGGAAAAAAAAAGAGCATCAATATTCATCAACCAACAACAAGGCATGAACAAGAAGCTCAAGCGCATTCCATCATAATACTAAGTTACTTGCGGCCCAAAAAACTTTAATATCAATCATGAAGCAACACGCAATGCAGTATAAATTGGAACTCTTTCCCCAAAACAAAAAATGGAAGTTATAAACGGTTATCTTTTGATAATACAAAGGACAATCTCTCTTATTTTCTCTTGCCCAATCTCCTGTTTTGTGTTCTTTTCTACCCTTTCCCGAAGAGGTACACGTTATGCGGGAGAGTTCTCTACATACTAGTAAATGCAAATCCAATATCACCCAACCACAACTACTTTATCATGCCTACAAATGTGCACAAAATTCATGTCTGAAATAAATAAAATATATCAATGTCAAGTTATGTTGCATCCTAAAGATTCCATGTCGTTATCTCTAACAAATTCCAGTTCCATGATGGTATAACAACAGAACAGTAACTCATCCCCACAAAACCGGTATCAACACGGAAAGGGTCCCCATAAGGCGAAATATTTCTCCAGCGGAAACCCATCAGGACCAAGCTGACTTCAAAAACTTTGAAAATAATTACTTTTAACCAAATACATCATGCACAAATTTACAATCGACCAAAGAACATTTGGACTTTTGTTATCGTCAAAATTTTATGATTGCCATACTCTGCAAACCAAATGTCATTTTATAATGCAGCTGTTGGTTGAAGAGAAAAACGGACTTCCATATTGCTGATTTGAAATATAAGTTAAATAAAAAGGTAGGAGGTCACAAACCTCTGAAGAAGGGGCATCCTAGCAAAGGCTCCAAAAGAAAATATATATTTCAAGCACAGCTCTCCACTAGCTTTGGCCGCCAAGGTATGGTAAACATAATCTTCAATAGAAAGAAAGCAGCAATTAGAATGCCATCTTATATTGAAACCAGGCGTCAATATATTATTGAACCATACCTGTCAGCAATCTTGATTCCTCTTCAGTCAATGCTTCGCCAGTTGAATGTGTACCAAACCTAGCACTGGTATACTTACGGACTATATCAGGACCCCAAGGACCTAATCCTCTGCAACAGACATATAAAAAAGATAAATTCTACAAAGACAACTTCACACAATAAAATTTTCGTCATACCCCAAAAAAAAAAAATGAAAGAACTATGATGACGTAACTAGGTAAGTCAAGGGTTAACAAAACTGGAGTATAAATATCAAGCCATGTTGCATAATGTACAAAAAAGGAAGTGAAATGGAACACAAAAACGGAATTCCTTTAACTAGTAGTGCAACAGGAGTCAGTCCCCAACGTCTCATAGCCTCAATCTCCCACCCAAAAAATGTGATTGAAATATTTATCGTTTGCAATAGCCAAACCCAGCAGTAAATTCCCCATGAAATGAAAATAAATAATGTCGAATAAAGGAGTGTCGATGGTTAAGTAAAGATTCATATAAAACCCATATCTAATTAATGGAAAATGTGAGTACTTAGTAACAACACCATTAGAACAGATTAACCTAAAGAGATAAAGAACTCGTTAACATTACCATGAAACATAAACTCAAATTTCAAGGATTGAACTTATTTTATTTATCCAGAAGACTTTAAGATTTGGGTGAGCATATGCATCCATAGTTGCATTTATTCCAATTTTAATGTCTTAACTAGAATACCCCCCCCCCACAGGAAAAATACGTTAGATGGCCATACAACAACAAGCCTTACCACAAGATTAGCATAATTTTCACAAAACTTATAAGTCTGTATAGTTTACTCTATTCTATTTGAAGTCAGGTACAATAATCAAACGGCCTTTCGGAAGCCAATCTGCTGGACTGAGTAATTTCACCTGACAATTTTTTGAGGTGTAAAATTAGACTCCCAAAGATGGTTCATGACTGCTCCTTTCCATGTTGCTCTAAACTTTGTGAACCACTCAGATTTGGCCTCTGATTCTGATGTAAATCCAGCAGGTCCCACCAAAATCAAGTGTTGTACGTGCTCAGGGTGCTATATTTAGATAACTAAATTGTCCATCAGAATATTTACAATGACAAACAACAACAAAATGTTGGTAATTAACATTAGAATCAAATATGGGAAGACATTCACCTTGATGGCATATTTGGCAGCAACATAACCACCAAAAGAATGTCCAAGTAGGATAAAATTGGTTAGATTTTTTGCTTTTCTCCATTCCTCAAAAGAATCAATAAACCATGCCTCAGTTTCTGTAATATCAGCAACAAATTATTAGTAGTTGCTAGAGTACTTTTTAGTTTCAATAACAAATAGGACCTTCCTCTTCCAAAAGTAAATCTAGCATTCATCCTATCTGTTGAGAATATCACTATTTTACATGACTAACCTTCTGTGCTTCTGCATGTGAAATCAGGCCTGCTTGATCCACCCCAACTACAAAAGAAAGTTTCAAGGGAGGACATGAGATCAATTACGCAGGCCTCAACAATACATCATGTCTCCCGTAAAAATAGAATTCACATTACCAGTCATTAAACAGGTATTTGTTGGGCAATATGGCAAAAACGACTCAATGATCAAAATGAGGGAAATAATTCAATTTCCTTCAATTAGCTTTACCACATTAAAATGAAGCATTATGCGCTCAGGAAAGGAGTTGTTGGGACAAATGACATTTAACCAATTACCATATAACTTTAGGGTCAAGATAAGCAAGGCTCACCCTAGTTGATCAATAGCAATGACTCTGAAACGACTGGCAAGCGCATCAAAATTACGGAAAAAGAAACCCTGCGAAGCACCATATCCATGAACCATTACGAGCGTAGGAGAATTTTGCGTGCTCTCAAATGTTACAGTATTGATAGACCTTGGTTCATTGCTTGACGAACGAAACCATCTAACTTTCGAACCAGGTGGACCCGAGCCTATATTAACCAATTCTTGAACATAACGAGTCCTGTAATACAAACCATAACAATCCTCAACGAATATTCAGCAAAAAAAAAATTGTAAAATGTGCCCCTGGTTTAATGCAATTAAGGTTACACAAGCAAACGGGTCATGTCAATTAAACGATCACTTTTGAAGAAGTGACTGAATCCTGATCAATTTTTTTGGGTTCAACTCCGAACGATGAGTTTATTAACCAAACATAAAACATTATGTGATATCTCCCGGTCGAAAGCAGACAATTACAGGGCAGTAACGGAAAACTCTGACATTTGAATTTTCAATGGAAATCACAAAAACCCAAATTTTCTACGGCGACTAATACCCCTAATGATTTTGCCGAGAAAATTTAGAGTTTCGGATGAGCAGATGAAGAAAATAATTACTTGACAAGGGAGAGAAGACGCTTCTCAGCATCGATGATGTGATGAGTGGAAGTGGGGACCCAACGAAGAATAGAAGGCCAGAAGCGTCTAGTTTTTGCAGAAGTAGTAGCAGAGGATCCTAGGTCAGCCGCCTTGATCTCTTCCGCCATCCTTGATATTGAACTCGACCAGCGATATCGAATTACGGTCATATAACGGTAATGATATGAAGAGGCAGCTATAAGACTAATAGTATCTAATTATCTCCCACCAGGAACTTGGAATTTGTTCCAGGCAATTTGGGAATCAGAAAGCAGAAAGCATGGCCGGTGGATTGCGCGCCCCACTGCAATAAAATTTGACCATTGAAGAAGTAGAACGCGGTAGAAGCAGAGACACAGACAACGCTGAATTTTAACATTTATAGTCGGCGAATTTAATAATCAATAATTACTATTGCTATATATTTACTTGGTCATTCTCAGTTGCCGCCAAGATACGAAGAAAACTGCGACGACATTCGGCCTTAAAAATTAAACGCACAGCGCTTGCTGACGAACGCAATGACCAATGCAAGGAGTTGCGAATAAATAGAAAATGGGATTAGTTTTAAGAAAGTTAATGATATCAAATTGGAGTTCTTAATTTACAATTATTTAGATTCCGAAATCTTTATTACATCAACATAAAATTAATTATGATTAAACTGGTTGCCCTGATAATAAATGAGATTATAAAATAGCGAAAGGAACACCACTGATCGCATAAGCTATATATATACACTACAAAAAAAAAAGACTTTACGCGACGACTTTCGGCGGCGACAAAAAAAGTCGCCATTGAAAGTGGTGACTTTTTTTGTTACCGTTGAAAATATACTTTTGAGCGGAAGGTGATGTAATTACTGAGTTCACTTTCAGCGGCGACTATTAGTGTCGCTGTTAAAGGTCTGGCTTTCAACAGCGACTTTATAATGTCGCCACTGAAAGTGTAATATAATAATATATATTTTATTTTATAATAGTAATAAACAAATTCAATCCGGCTCAGCAACAAGAAGATTAGACACGAATAGAGGTAGCACAAGTTCGAACCTTGAAGAAGACACATTTAAGGTGAAAATATTTGGACGATTATGTGACGGGGAGGAGTGATGTGGCAATGACGTGAAGGTGGCTAATAATGACATGGCACCTAGTCAATGATGAGGTGGAGGTGGCTAGTGATGACGTGGCGGCCAGCGGTGATAACGTGGCATTGGTAAAGCCAATTCTTATTAGGCATCACTTTCAGCAACGACAAAAAAGTCACTGCTGAACATCCCTTTTGGCGGCGACATTCTCTTTTAGTGGCGACAAGAATATCACCGCCGAAAGTGTCTTTCAGTGGCGACAAATGTCACCACTGAAACTTCTAAAAGTTACCATTGAAAGTGTCTTTTAGCGACAAAGTTTTCAGCCACGGCTACTGCAGCAACAACTTTTCAACGACGATTTTTATACTTTCAGCGGTGATTTTTTGTCACCATTAAAAGTCAATTTTTTTGTAGTAAGCAAAAACGACGACCAAGTTGACTGAAATTTGCAAATTAAGGTGAAAGAAATTGAAGCAATTGATGCATCAAAATCTTCAGCGTATTTTGGTAGTTGATTAATTTTGTCATTCAATACAAGTCTCCCGGCCCCTGCAAGAATTTTGTGGCTAATGTATATCTTGGTTTGTTATCTTTGCTTCAGGGGGTGTTTAGGAAACTCTAGAAATACTTTCAGAACCACTTTTCTGCAAATCAAGACAAACTCTTTCACATATTTACTTCGTATATCATAAAAGCACTTTTAAAATCATGATCTTATTCTTACCCAAATACCCCTCAGTGTTTGCTGTCCAACTCCAACCGGACAAATTAAAAAAAAAGATCTAATTTATGAATTTCACATGGGCCATTTCACGCTCGATTCTAGAACGCTGCCAATCCCTGAGCATAATTAAAGAATAGTTTCAATTTCCAAACATATTTCACTTTAATCTAGCTCAAGCATCTCTTCAAATAACAAGCCATAATAAATTACCAGAAAAGGGAATATCGTAAGCACGGCCATCGTCGGACTTGAAAACAGAGATGACGGGAGGAAATTAACAATTGCATCAGGGGACGATTTTCTTTTGGGACTTGCTGCCAGTTAGAGAATATATATAGCTTGGTGTAGAGCCATATCCTTAAGTCACGTGTTGTTTGACAAAGAAAAGAAACCCCTCCACCAATCTCAAGCTACAATATATAATTGGTGTAGAGCTAAAATAACAGCCGAGCGTCACAGAGAAATTTGGACCAACAGTAGTAGATATACTGTACAATCTTTCTCAGCCTAACAACACACAAATAGGTTCAAGTAATGAACACATCAGATTGTAATGGATTATTCTCCATAATTCATTGGAAGTAGAAACTTAAGAGAGCGATCCTCCAAAATGTATTTGCAGCCGAATTGGACACCTCATCTTCTGTGGATGCTATATATGCTTGTGCAAGAAATTATTAATGGCACAGACTCGGAAGTTTACTCGACTGCAGACAGATAAGGAACCCCCAGATGAAATAAGGGTCAAGTGTTACACCAAAATCCAGAGTGCGCCAAGCTTTCCATATATCTTTTGCTAAAGAAATATGGTGTTTAAAAACAAACCTATCAGTCAAGCTTTGCCTAATTTAGATGAGCAAGGGCAGGTCAAACTAGCTCTTGCTGAGATCTTAGGGAGGAAAATGGTGGAATGGTGCAACTTGCCTATGACTCAAGTGATGATAATAAGATTCAGGTAAAAAAAAAAAAAACAAAGAAACAAGTGATAACAATAAGATGACAGCAGTTTAGCATCCAAGATGCAACTTGGGATGACCTACATGTCCTCAAACAGCACTTTAACTGTACAAATAAAAGCCATAACGTTGAATAATGTCTTCCTGAAGGAGAGATCCTGTCCAATAGAATTAAAGGTCTGAAATTTTCAATTCTCAGTAGTAATGAAGCAAACTATTGTCATGTTCGAATCTTCTAACGCATGTCGTTGGGAGAATTCAACTGATATTCTAATTGAGCCTCCGCATAAAAATAGCTAAACCTCTTTGGCAAAGTGCTCCTACAATATTTTGGTCAAATTTGACTAAAATGTTAGCCAAAAGTCCGTTAAAATTGAACGAAAAAACCTTTCTCAAGTGATGAAGTTGGGAACGTGCCTTTGACTATCAAAACTATGAGAACTGATGTGCAGAAGTAGCTTTTTTCAAGAATGCAAGCACTCCATCCTAAGATGTCTTGTCTCTTCCAATCAATTTGCCAACATTTTTTTTTGTCTGAGCATGCAGCAGAAGTTTATTGTCAGAGGAAAAAAACAAAGCCAGGAATGCAAGAAGCACATCTAAAAATCCTGTTCATTGAACATTTCCGACAATGAGAATAATCATAACAAAAATTCTGAATCTTTCTCTTGGCAATCAAGAAGTTCAACACTTTTGAACTATCAGCACTTTTAGAGATTGTGATTTCAACCAGAAAACACCGTTAACATCATGAATATCTATAAGAAAGTTAGACAGAAAAAACATGAACAGTCATGACTCTCTATACATTTGCTCCATCCCCTGAAATTTAAAAACGATTAGAAATAAAAGGGGCCTTGATAGACCACGTTCCAATAAGTCATTCCTTATAACCTCTTACCTTGACCAAACAATGGGGAACAATCTCACTTGAGCAAGTGAAAAGAAGACAAAAAAAAAAGTGAAACCTAGACAGAAGTGTCAAAGAGCAGATGTTGCTCTCGTTGAGAGTCGAACTCAAGACCTCCCGCTTACTAAACGGGTGCTCTAACCAACTGAGCTACGAGAGCTGTTTGCAAGGAGTGTCCGCAGAAATTTATTCACAGCGTTGATTGGGAAAATGCACGACCTTGAGCTTCATTTTTCATTTTCGCAAAAGACAAAAAAAACAACGAAACGCTGTGACCTTCGGTAAGAAATACGGTCGTTTAGTAAAACGACGTGACGTGACAATCTGTGTGTGAGAAGTTTAAGATGCAAGAGAACGTACCCAAGAAAAAAGAGCTAGGGAGATTTGAAATAAATTTTATTATTATTGTTATACCAGACAATATATACTGTCTCTTCTTGTTCTTAATATAAAAAGTTATTTTTTATTATAAATATAAGATCTTAATCTATTTTATTTTTTTTAAAGTAGTTTTTGTAATAATAATAGTTTTAGTTAATATACTCAATTAGCAAGAATATTTTAGAAAAGGCAACACTTATCTATTAAAATAATTAACCTAACTCTTTTTTTAATCTATTTAAATTAGTTAACTTATTCTTATATTGAAAACGAGAGTCAAGTTTTTATATTGAGTACAAAAATAGGAGAGATGGAAAGGTGGAATTTTGTCTTATGACTGTTATTATAGATTGAGTTGTGCTGCTCTTCCTCTTCCATCGATCCATGAAGCTTCCACGAGAGACTGCCGCAACAACCTACTCACTTTAACGTGTCTTACGGGAAGCAACATATTTGACTACGCTTTAATCAGAACTTCAGAGGCTCCGATGCAAAGTATGCCTTCCTCTGGCGCCTTTTTGATACTCCTCCGATTTTTATTATAAGACCCAATTTGATTTTTTATTTGGTCCTAATTATAAGACCCAATCCATTTTCTCTCTTATATTTATACATTTTTTTTCAAGATAATCCTTCTAATAATGATAGTTTTAGTCAATATACTTAATTAGCAAGGATATTTTAGGAATAACAACACTTATTTATTATAAATAACCAACTTAACTTACTTCCTTAATCTCCTCAAATAAGTCAATTGGGTCTTATAATTAAGACCGGAGGAGTATTATTTAACAAGAAAAAGGGAAACTGAACGTAATATTAGGGGGGGAAAAAAGAACGAAGGCTCAGTTACTCGTTTTGAAATAAAAAGGCCAGGCTATATAATGGCTAGGGGGCATGTAGGTGCATTGATTGTAAAGGAAAGATGCCTTGACTAGAGTGGAAGAGGGGGCCTCATAAATCGACTTTCCAGTGTGGCGTCCTAGCAAAGGCACATGGCATAACTCTGTGCCAGCCAGGCAGCCTTCCTTTTAAGACTCGCACACCAGAACAAGAATATATACCCATTGGTTTCTTCCTTGGCAAGCTAATTTGGCCACAAATTCATGTCATAACTTCACCATTGTCTAAGCCTCATGCTACCTAATCACAATTAACATTTAATTGTTGTCAGAATCAACTCAGATTAGCATAACTAATGACTGCATATATATTTGCAACATGCTACTTTTACTACTTAATATTACCTTTGGTCCTAAATATAAAAGTCAGCTGACTAATTTGAGTAGATTACAAAAGTTTGGTAAGTTAGTTACTTATAACAAATAGGTATTGCTTTTCATAAAATACCTTTATTAATCATAGGTATTAGCTAAAACTACCATTTGATGAAACTTCTGACATGTGTAATTGCTACAGTGATTATTTTGAAAAAATGAATAAATATGAAAGATAAAGTAAATTGAGGTTTTATATGTATGACCAAATTAAAAGTTAAATTAGCTTTTATATTAAGGATCGGAGGTAGTATAAGAATTAATTGACTAATTCGAGTAGATTAAGAAAATTAGTTAAATTGGTTATTTGTAATAAATAAATGATGTCTTTTCTAAAATTTCATTACTAACCATATATATTAGCTAAAACTATCATTTGATGAAACTTTTAATACGTGCAACTAGTACAATGACTATTTTAGAAAAAAATAGATACATATGAGAGATAAAGGGAATTAATGTATTATATTTAGGATCAAATTAATGTCTTATATTATATTTATGAATGGAGGGAGTATTTTGGTATTTTGATAGCTTAGTAACTTGGAAAAATAACCAAAAAAAATGCCTATTAATTTTTTTTAATAAAAAAATGTTAAGCAGTTAAGGATCATCTTTTGAGCGTTGTTTTTTTAAACTCAAGTATAACTTGGAGGGAACGAGTGATAATGCTCACCGACGGCGTATCTTTGTCCCGTGATTGGAGAATGTGAACTGGCTTATATATGCTGCTGAGGTTAAAGAAAAAACTCAAAAAGACAGAAAGAAGGAAATGACTTGTGCAAGTTGTTGCCAGTGAGAGATTAACCTGACCGAAAGACGTTCTTTTCCGCACGTGTTCTTCTGAGATTAAACTTGTAGACAAGATGATAAAGGCATGGCCTACGCGCTTGTTATGGAACATGGACCCCACCTCAGACGCCATAGATCTCTAAAGCAGGAAGCACAGAACCCATATTTCCCTGCTGCTTCACATTTTCAAATTCTATATTATAATGACGAAGAATACAAACTTTTCCATTAAAGCTATAATATCGATCGCATCACACGTTCATTAACGAGTATTTATAACCTAAATCGCCTGAAATGCGCAAGGCACCTCTTGAGCCCAGATATTCCACAAAGCAGAAGTCCATCACAGTTTACATACGCAAAAATGGCCTTTCTTCTTCTTGCTCCTTTTCTCTTTCACCTTCTTCTCGCCACCGTACCATCTCTCACCGACGCCGGCAACGGACAATGGCAGCTTCTGCAGAACAGCATCGGCATTGTGGCCATGCACATGCAGTTACTCCACCACGACCGTGTCGTAATATTCGACCGCACCGACTTTGGCCTCTCTAACTTATCCTTGCCCAATGGCAGATGCCGCCAAAACCCCAAAGAGCTGATCGTCCAAAGAGACTGCACAGCCCACGCCCTCGAGTACGACGTCGCTTCCAACTCTTTCCGCCCTCTCTTTGTCCAGACTAACGTCTGGTGTTCGTCCGGCTCCGTCGCTCCCGACGGCCGTCTCGTCCAGACCGGTGGCTTCAATGACGGAGATCGTACTGTCAGGATGATTAGTCCTTGCCCCGACTGTGACTGGGAAGAAGTAGACGGTGGTCTGGCGCAGCGGAGGTGGTACTCCACCAATCACATTCTTCCGGACGGACGTCAGATTATAGTTGGCGGCAGAAGAACGTTCAACTACGAGTTTTATCCTAAAACAGACGCCAAAAATAGTTACAGTCTACCATTTCTTGTACAGACCGATGATGTAGGCACAGAGAACAACTTGTACCCCTTTGTCTTTCTGAACGTGGACGGCAACATGTTCATCTTCGCCAACAATCGAGCCATATTACTGGACTACGACAAGAACAAGGTGGTCAGGACGTACCCACAAATACCCGGTGGAGATCCCAGATCATATCCCAGTACAGGCTCGGCAGTGTTATTACCTTTGAAGAATTTACAGGCCAAGACCGTCGAAGCAGAGGTTCTGATTTGTGGTGGAGCCCCGAGAGGGTCGTATGAGCAGGCCAACCAAGGCAAGTTTCTCCCGGCTTTGAATACCTGTGCTCGGATCAAGATCACTGACCCGAACCCACAGTGGGTCATGGAGACGATGCCCGGATCTAGAGTTATGAATGACATGGTAATGCTTCCTAACGGTAATGTTTTGATCATCAATGGTGCAGCTTCTGGGACGGCTGGATGGGAAGCGGGTCGCAACCCGGTGTTGAACCCGTTCCTATATGAAACGAACAGCCCAGTGGGATCTCGGTTCGAATTGCAAAACCCGACAAATATTCCACGGATGTACCACTCCACGGCTGTTCTGCTTCGTGACGGTCGCGTGCTCGTCGCCGGAAGCAATGCTCACGTATACTACAATTTCACCAATGTCTTGTTTCCAACGGAGTTCAGATTGGAGGCGTTTTCCCCGTCGTATTTGGAGTCTGGATTCTCTAATGTGCGTCCAAAAATCGTGTCTCCTCCTTCTCAAGCTAAACTCAAGTACGCTCAGAAGCTGAAGCTGAGGTTCCAGGTGACAGCAACATTTGATCAAAATATGGTGTCGGTGACGATGCTGTTGCCGCCATTCAGTACACACTCGTTCTCGATGAATCAGAGGATGTTGGTGCTGGAGGCAATCAAAGTGACGAATCTGGGAAGATCTGCGTATGAAGTTGAGGTCATCACGCCACCTTCGGCTATTCTTGCACCTCCTGGTTACTATATGCTATTCGTGGTCCATCAAGAAATCCCAAGCAACGGCATCTGGGTGCAACTAATATGATTTCATCTGCCACCTGTACGTCAAGAACAATACTTATGCATTTCGTTTCATTCGTGTGCTGATTCTCTTCATTAGTTATTTGCATATACAGAATAATATATCATTGCTTTTTTCTCTTCCCGGCCTTCATGTGAAAAATAAAGTGAGTGGACATGTAGATTATTAGCAGCTGAGGTTTATTCTTCCATGTATTTATGCTTCCGTGTTAGTCTCTTCTTCATGGCTTGTATACAACTATAATGCTTGTCACATAATCCATATTGAGCAGGACAAGAACATAACGAAGCCATGCTAAATTTTCACGTTACACTGGATCAACAGGTTGTTGGGTGGGGACTTTTTTTGCATGGACTGACAATCTATTTCTTTCAAACAAATATGGTTCCTAATTATCTTGAAACATAAAGAAGCCCTTAAATTGTTGATATTCTTTAGGCAAACTATTTTCATAAAGTTTGGCTTGATTGAATTGACCAAAATTTAGGCCCCCGGGGGGGGGACAAATGATATTGTTTTATAGTTATTCATGCTCTGTTTTTTCTGTGTCCTGCACTAGCTTTGCTTTGTTGATTTTCCACGAATTTCATTTACAAGGCTTTGTTTTATGATCCAGAGAGCCAGATAAGTACTATGTTTCAACATGCGCTGAGATTCTTTATTTGCTTAATCCAAGATTGAAGATTACTTAAGAAAATTGCCAGAATTAAATCGAAAATGGACGAGGTAGGACCATCAAAAATTAAAACAGATTGAAGAAACTATGTACACGTAATATTTTTTTTTCCCCAGTGAAATCAGACGGAACCCACTTCTTTCAGCCACACGCATTAGTCATTATAAACGTGACAAACTTTGGTGACGGTCACTGGTGTTTTCTGATGTATTGGCCATTCTGTTGACTGGACAAGAAAGATTGTGGACAATTTTAACGAGACTGCGACAATTGCAAATGCAACCAAGTCATATTAACTAGAGAGAATTTTCCATGGAACAAGATCAGAAACAGAATTCCAGTATTTTATAAACTGTCTAACATGTGGTACACAGACAAAAGATCCCGCACAAAGCTATTAAAAACCGCTATTATATTCTACATGCCAAACATTAAAGATCTAGCACCAAACGAAAACAAAAGAAACCGTCTCCCTAAAACAACAGATAGATGCGTGCGACAATGGAAATTCTTAGTGGGGGGCTACGCACGTTCGCCACGGATACGCCTGGCAAGTTGGATATCCTTGGGCATTATGGTGACCCTCCTAGCGTGGATAGCACACAGGTTAGTATCCTCAAACAAACCCACCAAATAAGCCTCCGCAGCCTCCTGCAGAGCAAAGACGGCATGGCTCTGAAATCTCAAAGTCGTCTGCAACCAGACAACGCAAAATATGAGGAAGAAATATAACGAGGATATAGGATCGTCACTTTTCACTCAGATTTTATTCTTCCTATTATGGATTGTCATACCTTGAAGTCTTGAGCAATCTCACGAACGAGACGCTGGAAGGGCAACTTGCGGATCAACAGCTCTGTGCTCTTTTGGTACTTTCGAATCTCTCTTTAAGATTTAAAAATGGGGGAAAGGGTTAATGGTGCGTCATTAATTCTTGAATGGAAATGAGAAAATTGAATTACCGGAGGGCGACGGTTCCAGGGCGGAAGCGATGAGGCCTCTTAAGACCGCCGGCTGTAGGAGCAGTTTTCTTGGCAGCCTATAATATGCGTATATAAATGTATATGTTAATACGATGAGAATACAGCAAAAGGAATTCTGCATTGAATTTTTCAATCATTATCATAAAACTGCATAATCTAAAAAGTTACGATCGAAATCAACAGTAATTTGAACCAAGAATCTTTGACAGCACGTAGGTTGTAACGAAAGCAAGTGAAAGATGTTCATGCTCGGCTGGAGAAATAAATTGGAAACGGAAGAAAACTTTCCGATCAGCCAAGCAAGAAGAGGATGAAATTAAAGAAGCCCTATGAAAACATACCTTAGTGGCAAGCTGCTTCCTGGGAGCCTTGCCACCGGTGGACTTGCGGGCAGTTTGCTTGGTACGGGCCATTGGATTGAACTTACAAGGAAGGACAGAGAACCAAATCAAAACGAGGGCTTATAGAAATTACTGTGACTTGAGAGAAAGGGAAGAATCAGATCAAGGAAGGAAAGTTTAGAAGGAGAACGTGGATACTTAAGGGGAGCGAGGTTAGTTATCTTATAGGCATACGGGTGGGCAGTTATGCAGTAGGCACGCAATGCTTGAAGTTAGTTATTTTGGAAGTTGAGAAGGAAAACGTGGACTTGAGTCTTGAGGACTTAACCGTTTGACGGCATATATGCAATGTTCTAAAAACCCAACCGAACATTAAACTAATAAGAACAGCAGGTTATGATTTAAATGGTCCTATTGGTTAAACCGGTGGTCGGACCGGTAACATAATAATTAAAGAAAAATAATATAAAAATAAAACATTCTTTATTAATGTGTACGGTATTCAGAGCAAAATGTTTCCTTTTTCTTTGCATATTTTCAATGCTCTCCAGTCTCCAGATGGTTCTTTTATCTCTCTCCATCGTCATTTTCAAACGCATTCTGGAAGCTTCCTCCATTGCCATTCCAGATTCAAATTGCTCCATGATCTTTAATCGGCCACAACACTCGATTTACATAGCCATCTCTCTATCATCAACTTCAATTCATCTGACTCTCTTGGTCCTCTTCTATCTCTTTCACATTTGTGCTCTTTTGTTGTCATTAGTGGAGAAGAAAAGGTGAATCGACTATTTTTTTCCAGATTTGTTAGTTTTTAACTTGATTTGTTGTCTTTTCCTGGTTGGCTCTTGCCATTCTCTCATACTCCCCTCTTTTTTTCTTCTTATTCGCATCCTTCCTCCTCTTCCTTCTTGTTCAGATTCTAAACAAAAGAAGAAACTTTCACCCGCCCGATTTTTGTAAAACCATTCGGGGTTCCGGCTCAATCCCGGTTTCCTGCCCAACATTCAGTTTTGGACGGTTCAAAAACCATTCAGACAATCTAAACCTATAAACTGAGCCGTAATGTTGAACCATCCGATCCCGTCCGGTTTTTAAAATCTTGCATACATGTTCCCGAACAAAAGGGAACGCGAGCCCAGCGCCTTGACGGTTTGACCACATTGGCTATTTTGCAGTGGAAGGATTGCCAGCGTGGATAGACAAGTTGGGCTGTGCTTCGCCATCCTAGCTTTCCCTATTTTTCGCTTTTTTTTAAAAAAATTATTACTAGTGCTACTTTTTTTTTTTATATATATATATATATTAGACAAAGATGATATTATAGTACAGTGTTGAGTTATTTTTTTCAATTTTAAATATAGAAGTTAAATAATTAATTTATCGATATTTAAAAAAAAATTAGTTAAGTTAATATATAACAAATGTTATCTTGTGAATTTAAGGTAAAACCTCAATAAATTGTTCAATATTCACGTAATCAAAACATAGGGCAATTTGTGATCGAAAGGAAGCAAAGCCAGGCGACAGCAAAGTAAGCCTGTGCTCTCAGATATGGGGTGGTCAATTCAGGACTTCGAACAAAATTATATAGTGTCGTGAGTTTATTTAATTTGTTTTTATTCTGTTAAACAACCAAGCTTCATATAAGAGAAAGTAATGTTATTGAAAATTATAGTTCATGGTCTAAACGAAGCTGAAAAAAATTGCATTTTTCCTTAGAAAGTCTTCAGAGGACACATTGACCATTCCTATCCTTGTCCTCAAGTTACACTATTGCAGAAACTTCGAATCCTGATGTTTATGTATCAGGGTCCGCAACTCCTTCGCACATGCTCCTTCGCACATTTGCTGCTCTACTGCCTATTGCTACAGCCATGTCATCAGCTGTGTGACTATGATTTGAGTTTTTGAAAGAATTGGTGCCATGACCATCAAGATCCAGCTCATTATGCACAATCCATAATATGGTTTTTATATGCTCATGTAGCTGTGTAACTTTAATCTTGTACATCCGAAAAAGTGCAACTTATAATTTTGGTTATGCTAACATCAATTTAGGCAAGTTTAGGAGCAAAATGGATAAGCATGCACCCACCACATGCAGATTCTCCAGCCCATCACCTGCGGATGCGGCCATCAATTTTGTTCGTGCCAGGCAACGCCCAAAGTATCGGCGTTTTTATTTCTTGTGCATTATCTGACCATCAACATGAGGAACAAGTTTGCTTGGAATTCCATAATGGTAATGTGTGCTTCCTGTTATTTATTCACTTGCCAAATTGAGGGTTATCCATAATAGCATACGAAATTGTACTAAAGGGCGTCACATTGGGTAAGATGTTAATTATTAAGATAAATCATGATGCCTTGATGGTTCACATCGCTTAGGAACTTATTTAAGATATAAATATACAACTTCCCTTGACCAATCATTGTGCCTCACTTCAAACTTACTGAGATTGGATTCTCATGGAGGAAGAGTCTCAATCAGGTTTGCGAATCTTTTGAGAGCTTATCTACCCATGATCATGGTGAGTAATTTGAAAACCACGAATTTTTGGTTCAGTCTTGAAGTATATCTTCTTGTCCAACATTTCAATCCTTTAAATTGCCCCTAGACCTCTTCTAAATAAGAGAGTAGTATATCATGCATGGGTAATGGAGTGCGTGTCAGATTACAAACTTTCAGCATCCGCTATATCAGCCAGGGATAACTGTAAAATTGTTTTTCTCATCATCCACAGCACCGTGCCTACATTGGCATGAACCCTAGTTTGCCCAGACAACCACACGAGGCAAACTAGTCCAAGACAAGCAGATAATTAAGGGTGTTTAAAAGCACTTTTTCGTAAAACAAAACAAATTACACTTTTAAAATACCCAAACACCCTTATGTTTAATTATCAACAAGAAAAACCCAGTCTGATCAGCGGATGACTCTGAAGATTCAGTGGCGGATAAGAACTTAAAACCATCGAAGCATGAATAGCGTGTCAGATTATAAATTTTCAGCAGCTGCTAGATCAGCCAGGGATAACTGTAAAATTATTATTCTCATCATTCACGAGACCGCCGACAACGGCAGATTGAAATCAAGGATTTCAAATTAAAAAAAAAAAAAGCAATCAAGCAAACACAAAAGATAAAAAAGGGAAATTGAATGTTATAGCCTCGGACCGTCCTAGTGTTAAAAGTATCAACAAGTGAATGCAGGATTCTGCATTTCAGCCAAATCAAAGATCTTCGTCATTGGCTATCAACATCTGTTTTCCGACGATAAAATATTAATCAGGTGGGAAACAGAGAGATAGAGGGAATCAGCTAAACCGTTGCCGTATCCAGCACCAATCAAAATAAACAAATAACCAAGTGACTCGAACAACTGAGAAAATTTCAATTCTAGGCATCAGATCTTCCTATTCAATTAAGTATTCATCGGACCCAAATCCAAGTTTGAGTTCTCCACAGTTTGAAAGATTCATCATTTGGGCGGATCCCCTCAGAGAAACACATACAAATAGAATAAAAATAAATAATTGCATGCATCGTGTAAAGATTGAAAACAAGGAGGACACGAATCTCAGAAAAGAAGACGAGAATGAGGCAGCTCGCAGAGGAGACACGCAAACAAAGCGGCGAGTGCCGTCTAGGGTTGAAGAAGTTGAGGGAAAGGGGGTTACGTTTTATATAAGACCTGTTAATGGGATTTCGGGATCGAGACGCAAAGACGTAATGGCAGTAGGGCTTCTTTCCTGTCTTTAACTGACTATGCATGAACGGCCCAATTTTTTATATGGGCCACAAATAGTAACTAGTATTTTTTGGACTTGAGCTATTTGTAATCTCGACGTTCAATCTTACTTTGGGCTGAATGTTCGGTCAACGGACATTTTATTTTTTAAAAAAACGTCATGGTTATTTTTTTTTATTATATTTGATTTTATTTTTAAATTAGGGCTAATACCATCTTTAAATTTAAAAGTTGATATTGATATTATATGTAAGACTTATTTTGCATGTTTATTAATTTTTTTCAAATTAACCCAGTTGATATTTACTCAACAATAATTAAATAAAAAAATGAGAAAGGGAATTAAAAAAATAATTAGGGTGTTTTAAAAAATATATATCATACTAATTAATTTAACTAATACTTTTAATATAGTCAAATTAGTTAATTAAATTTTTTATTCAATTCGTACGCAAGAGTCTCTTGTTGCTTTGCTCATGAGCATAGAGGGACCGAACATTTTATTCCATGGCCACTGGCCAGTCCCTATTTCTCACTCTTGATGGGACGACCGCGCGCATCCTCTCCCGCTGTTGACGGTACCATAAGATGCGAAGCCTCTTCTGTTACTCTTGAGGACGTGGGACACATAATTCGAATTTGGCAGGTTTGTACAGTCATGCTGGGCTCCGAAGAAAAGCCAGACAACACACTCCCAATATGTATGTCATTAGACCCAGACACTTTCCGGCACGTCCTGACCCGCATGTCCCCGTATGAAATTAACGCGGGCAGAAGAACCAGCGGACACACGGCCGCTGCTGACTTTAAATATCATTTTAGCCGCTCCTCGCCCTCCAAATCTGACGAAAAACTATAATTTTAAAATGATTTTAGAATATACAAAATAAATATATAAAAAAATTTATTTTGATTTAGGAAAAAAATATTTTCAGAAACACTTTTTTTTAAATGCCAAACACCCCTCTTACAACCATTGTGCTTTGGAATCCTTAGCTTTGCCGTGAGAACTCTCTCGCCTGCTGGCAACCACAACAAGACTTCAATCTTCCACAGCAAGCACCGCCACTTGCATCGAAATTGTATCTTTGCAAACGAATAATGTTATATTGATTTTTCTTTTAAAAATTAACTCAGATATACTATATCCTGTCCTTAATATAAGACCTTGTTTGACTTTTATTTTGGTCCTAAATATAATACTCCAATCTATTTTGTCTCTTGTATTTAAGTATTTTTTTTAAGTAATCATTCTAACAATGGTAATGTTAGCCAATACACTTGATTTTAGGACCGGATGTAGTATATGATAAAAATCAGTTTGTGTACTTTTAACTACTACCTCCGGTCCTAATTATAAGAGCTAGTTGACTAATTTGAGGAGGTTAAGAAAAAAAGTTAAGTTAGTTATTTGTAATAAGTATGTGTTGTCTTTCCTAAAATATACTTGCTAATCAAGTTTATTAATTAGAACTACTATTATTAGAATTATTATATTCTGGAAAAAAATAAATATAACAAATAAAACGGATTGCGGTTTTATATTTAGATCAAAATAAAAGTCAAACAATATTTTGTATTAAAAACTGAAGCTAATATTAAGTTTGTTAAAATAAAATGAAATGTTAATCTAAAACACAACTATATAAAAGGGAAAGAAGTCAGCTCGTTCGTATGATAAGGATTCGGACTTTAGGGGATATTTGGATAGAAACCAAACTATGGTTTCAGAAATGTTTTTACGGTCTACGAGGTAAATATGTGGAGGAATTTGTCTCGTTTTACAAAAAAATATTTCTGAAACCATGGTTTGAAGGTTGCCAAACACCCCTTAAAGCACAACTTGAGTTCGTGAAATCAACAGTGAGAAGGCGTGGGAAGGAGAGTGGGAGGACACATAATATTAAACATTAAACTTATTTAGATAGTCCCACATATTAAGCTGACACACATAATTTGATACTCCTTTAGTTCTAAATACAAGACCCTTATACACATTAGTATAGGGGTTTTGTATTTAAGGGTCTTGTATTTAGAACTGGAAGAGTATATATTATCAAATTTATAGAAAATATAATACTATTTCTAATATTCAGTATAAGAACTAGTTGACTAATTTGAGTAGATTTAAAAAATTAGTTAAACTAGTTATTTGTAATAAATAGATATTGTTTTTATAAAATATCATTACTAATTAAGTGTATCAGTTAGAGCTACTATTATTATAGGGATTATCTTAAAAAATAATGGATAAACACAAGAGATAAAATGAATTGGAGCCTTATATTTAGGACCAAAATAAAAATCAAATGAGTTCTTATATTAAGGATCGGAGGTAACATTTTTAAGTCATACACTATATAAACATGGGGAAATTGCAAATAAAGACCGCTGAATATGTAAAATTGCAATTTGGAACCTTTAATTTGGAAAATAGCAAATAAGGACCCAGTCTCACTTTTACAAATATGAAATCGTAATAAAACATTTGAAATGCCCCTCAGTAATGACAAGTTAACTCTAGGAAATGACAAGTTCACTTTAGCGAATAACAATTTCAGGAGACTAAATTACAACTTGGTTGAGGATATACCAAATGACGAGTTGACTATGAGAAATGATAAGTTTACTTTAGCGAATAACAATTTCAGTAGATCAAATCGCAATTTGACTGAGGTGCATTTTAGACATTTCACCATGATTTCATATTTACAAAAGTGAGACTAAGTCCTTATTTGCTGTTTTTCAAATTGAGAGTTTCAAATCACAATTTTATATATTCGGTAGTCTTTATTTGTAATTTTCCTATAAAGATAACGTGAAATGAGTATTTACAATTTAACTTGAAAAGATAGTCATATTTTGTGGGAAGGTGTTAATTTCCACGGCTTCAATTATTAGCTTGGTATTATGTGATTTTCTGATGATTATGTCATTCTTTATTCTCTGACATATTGATAATCTAAATTTAAATTTTCACTGAAAAGAGACGAAGGGTTGTTTGGACATTTTGATTATCCTGAGCTACCCAATATGCCGATAATGAGGAAAATCTTTTGATAACGACACAACACGCGCCCAATGGGGAAATTGTAAATTTCTTTTGTCAGACAAAGAGCAACAAAATCTAGAATTAAAGTGAAATTAACTTCGCGGATTGGCTACCCGCCCACTCTCCTTTTCTCCTGTCATTTTTATAAATTTTCGCCTCTTTATCTTCCCAATTTGTTTCTATTTACATTAAATAATCGAAAGTTCCCACTCTCGAAAACCCAAACACAATCTCTTCTTTAACCCCTTTTTGTACTTCCAAAATTGAATTAGGGTTTCCATCTCTCATTTCCTTCGCCCGGTGCTGAAGCCTCGTTCTCCCTCATCCCTTCCCTGATCTTTACCTATTTGACATTTCCCGCCATTTCCCGCTAAGTTACAGCAGCTGGTTACTTCGATTTTGAATAGCAGCCGTTTGATCTGTCATTTTGATATTTATCTGTTTTTCAAATTTTTGTTTTGACCGTTGCTCGTCTCGCCGGAGTTGGGGGGAAATGTCTGCAGTCGAAGCGGAGAAGAATGTCGAAGAAGAGAAGGAGGTGGTGAGAAGGGGAGAGCTCTTGTTCTGCGGTGGTACGTCCTGGGATATTATTGGTCGTCGTAAAGGTCCAGCTGACGGCAACTTGGTCTCTCCAACTCGGCTTCGTCCTCTCGTTGGGGTTGATATTCGATTCGTTGCATCTGGATGTGGTGAGTTTCCTTTTTTATCAGACATAGGATTTGCCGATGTTTTTACTATTCTGTCTCTAAGATTATGTCAGTTGGTTTATATTACCATACTCATTTTCCATTTGTTACAATGTAGCATCTTGTCACTGCGTGGCATTAGATGTTGAGGGGCGCTGCTATACATGGGGACGCAATGAGGCATGAAGATATATCATAGATATATGTTATGAAGTTAATTATTTGTCTACTTTTTTCCATCTCATATGCTGTCTTACAAACTCGTGAAATTTGGTACGCAGAAGGGGCAACTGGGTCATGGAGATACCATTCAGCGTGATAGGCCAACCGTGGTATCTGAACTTTCGAAGTGAGTTTTAGATTATGTTGCCGCAGCTGTTCGCTGATACTTGGGCCTCGTTTATTATCTTCTGTCTCTAAATACAATCAAGTTCTTCGTTTTGTATTTTCATATTTTCTGTGTATATGATAGTGAAGATAGTGCGTGTCTTGCTCATTTTTTTCATTTATCTTTTCTCTGCGGAGATCAAATGGCTTCTAGGATTATTAATAGTTGAATTTCTTTGATGGATATACTTAGTTCTCTAAATATTTAACATACAAATGGAGCTGAAAAGCATTGGGAGAATGACATTTGACTGCTTGTGAAAAAATTATTGACACTTTGCTATCTATTTTAAAAAGAGTCGTTAGAATGGTATGGCATGTTTATGAATCTCAAAAGGGCCCTTGTGATTGGATGATTTCGTATTACTGAGGTGTCAATAATTTTCTTAAAACGCACCCAAATGTAAATAGGGTAAACTTGAAAATATCAAAGTAAAACAAGAAAGAAGAAAAAGGAAATGGAGAGAGGAATTTTGCCTGTAAAATTATTTTACAGATCGTGTATGGATATGTGTGTGTATGTTTGTATGGGATGCGTGTTTTCATGTTGGGATGGGATTTCTGATATGTTCATTGAAGGAACGTTCTGTCAAATTATATATGTTTCTAAGCTAATCTGTACCAGTTGCCAAGGTTGGTGTTTGTCTTGTGCTTTTTGTAAGACTGTCACTAATTTTTCTAGCTCTAATCTTGTATGATGTTTGGGCTGAAGACATAAAATTGTCAAAGCTGGAGCAGGGAGGAACCACACGGTGGTTGTTACAGAGGATGGACATTCCCTTGCCTTTGGCTGGAATAAGCATGGACAGCTTGGTTCAGGTTCTGTGAAAAATGGTATGTGCATCTGTAAAGATTGTATTCATTAATTCTACTGTTGTTCGATTGAATGATTAATGTAAGTCATGCCTTCCTTAGTTTATATTATGCCCGTTACAAGACATGTAGAGTAGGAGGATCACATTGTTCCTTTATTGTCCCATGCATCTTCTTGCCTATTTCAACTCAGTACTTTTTCTATTTTTTTATTCTTTTGTTTGGTAGTTTGGAATTGGTAGCCTTCTTTATTTCTTTCTTTCTTTCTTTCTTTCTTTTTTGGTGTTGTTGGCATGGTCATTGCTTTATTGGTTTCATATAACTTTTTTACGTGGTTATCATTTTGATTAAGCTGCATAAAGTTAGACGTGTTCCATTACTGCTCAATCATTAAATGATTTCCTTTGAATTTTGTAGCGCACAAAATTTGTCTTGGCTGCGGAATATTAACTCACTCTTAATCGATTCTCATGTTTATGGCCTATTTTCCTCCTATCAAAGTGAAAAAGATAGCTAATGCAATGTTCAGGCCTTATATTTTGTTTATGAATATTCGGGGTTACACTTCTGAATCACACGCTTGTTTTTTGTTATGCAGAAATTGAATCATCTCCTGTTCGCTGTCTTGTGTCAGAAGTCAATTATGCTACTTGTGGTGGTGACTTTACTGTGTGGTTATCTTCTGTTGAAGGAGCTTCTATACTGTATGGTTTGTGGATATTTTTTTTTCTTTTTCATTGTCTACCTTCTTGTATTATTTCTCTTTTCTGGCTTGAGACTCATTAGCTGCTGACCATCAATTCTTTGATTTTTTCCCCCTTCCCCTTTTCAGTACTGCAGGGCTACCGCAGTATGGGCAGCTAGGACATGGAACAGACAATGAGGTATGCTTAAAGAAAAGTAAATCATTCCTGTTGACCTGATATTTGTGAATGCCCTGACTTAAAAGCTTCTCTGAATTTATTTATTTTAGCCCATCTTTGGGTTATGTGGTACTGTATTCAATTGGTTAAATTATGGTCATCTTCATGTAAAGATGCATTATGTTTGGGCTCCTTGTTTACTATTGAGATGACCATGGTCGTGTGGGTTGGGAGTCATCTATGTGGTGATTATGTTGATTTAAATTACTTTTATGTTCTCATTTCTTTTTTTATTGTGAATAGGCCTATGTTTATCATGGTAGTTTTGGGTTCTGGCGTCTCTTCTTTGGTGACATTACATAAACTCTTGGCTTGCTCTACTTGCAACTTTTTTATTTTCTTTTTTCCATGTGCGTATGCTGACATACCCTTGCATTCATGTTGCTTGATGCAACAAAGAATAGAAAATCTTAGCTCTAAGTTGTATGTGCTTGCAGTATAATTCCAAAGACAGTTCTGTGAGGTTGGTTTATGAAGCCCAACCACGTCCACGGGCAATTGCTAAGCTATCTGGTGAAACAATTGTCAAAGTGGCATGTGGAACAAATCACACAGGTTGCTAGTTTGTGCTCTTTTCAGTTCATTTACTGTATTATTTACAATGTCTTATTAATATTTGTTTTATTAATTACAATGTCTTAATAATATTTGTTTTTTGGGTAGTGGCGGTGGATAAGAATGGCTTTGTTTACACGTGAGTAATCCTCTGGGTTTTAATATGATTTCCTACTCCTGGTTCTATGTGGGATTCATTGTAACTGTTGGATTCCTATCATTTTTGTAGGTGGGGTTTTGGCGGTTATGGAAGGTTGGTGCTTGGTTCTTGAATGGGCTGTCAATATTTCATGGATTCTTGAAGACTGCAGTATCGGATTATTTTTAGCTAAATTTGGTTTCATATTTTGTCCCTACATGTTTACTTCCACGCACTCACTGTAAGCCCAAAATTCTATAGGCTGGGCCATAGGGAGCAGAAGGATGAGTGGGCCCCACGTCGTGTGGATGCTTTTCGGGAGAGAAATGTTCTGCCTCCTGATGCTGTGGTTTCAGCTGGTTCTGTTAACTCTGCATGCACTGCAGGTAGGTTTTGTATCAAATTTCCTGGTCAACCCGTATTAATATTGATGATATCCTTCATGGCTTTTTGGTCATCCTTTTTGGGAAAGCATCTCTTATAAAGTGATATTGATGATATCAAATTATCGATAACTTAATTGTGTGTTATGCAGCTGTCTTGCTTTTACTGTGATTAAGTCATGCTTAGTGCAGATTGTAGTTATATAATTTGTGTGTGAAATTGTAATTACAAAGTCTCCCTCCCTTGTCATATTTGTGTATGTATTAGTAGATCGAGATTAATGTAGTCCTGTAATATGTGAGAGAGTTAATAATAAATCTTACCTTTGGTCTTATCCTAGCAATTTGAACTTTTTGCTTGAATTGGTCATTGTTATGGATACTGTGTTGAGTCTTCATGACTCAGTGGTTTGCTTTTTGTGGGGAAATCTGTAAGTCTCATGATTCTCGTCCAAATTTTAAGTGGCTTAAACATTTTACTAGCTTTAACTAGCCAACTAGGGATCACTTGTAGTAATTTGACCTGATTGCCTTGCATTTTAATGGTGAGATTTTTTTTTTTTGGTTGTTGTCATTTTTGAATTGGAGCTTCAAGACTTGTTATTGAGAAGTGCTAGTCCATATTTCATACAAGTCAATCGTATTGATGCTTGTCATTTTTATTACTCCGCGGCGATTTAGGGCTTTCTTGTAACTGTCTTGAGCTATGATATTTGTATTGTCTCTTGGCAGTCAGGCGGTCAGCTCTGCTTGTCCTATGCAAAATATTTTGTTTAAAAGTGATTTCGTACAGAGTCAAAATTTGTTGACGTAATAGGGTAAAGTTGACCTGTTCCATATTTAGGCGTGTTAGCATGCTGTTGTTGCTGGGGCATGCTTTTGACCTGTTATATGTGCTGTACAATATAGGATTATAGGAGCAATGTGTTACTTAGCCTCCTGTGAACTGAACTGTTTCTGTATGATATGTTATGACTTGGGAGGTGGCTTTCTACAAAATAGTTTCTGGTTTCAGTGTCATCACTTTGAAGTTTATTCACTTTCCAGGTGGAGGGCAATTGTATATGTGGGGCAAAATAAAGAATACAGGTGATGATTGGATGTATCCAAAGCCTCTGCTGGATTTAAGGTTGTGCCATGTACCATGATATTTACAGAATTTCTTGCCTTTCATTTTTCTTCTGTCTTGTGTGTGTGTGTGTTTTCTGTGTTTGATCAAAATGTTGTGTAACTGATTGGGTAACTTTTTTGGTCTGTGTTGGGTAGTGGCTGGAACTTACGATGCATGGATTCAGGGAATATGCACCATTTTGTTGGGGCCGATTCTTCATGTATAAGTTGGGGCCATGCTCAACATGGAGAACTGGGATATGGGCCTAATGCACAGAAGTATTATGATTTCTTATCATTGTGTTTCGTTTCGTTTCTTTTTTTTTTTTTTTTTTCCTTTTTCAATTTTCTTTAGCGGCTTCACCTGTGTTCAGGTCTTCAGCAGTACCCAAAAAGGTGGATATTCTTGAGGGCATGCATGTTATGGGGTGGGTATTACGTGTCGTTTAATTCTTCCCTTGTTTTTATCTGCCTTTTGTTTTACGGATGTCCATATACGTCTTACTTTGAGAGTAATTGCTAAACTTAAATCTCTCGCTCTTATTGTCTCTGGAAGCCAAAATGTTGAGGATATCTATACGAAATAACTTGTTAAATGCCTTTTTGGTTGTTTTGGGTAGTTGGAGATTTAAGATATGATTATTTTTATTTGAAACAGTGTTGCGTGTGGTATGGGCCACTCCATGGTCATTGTTGATGGAACAAATGTTGGTGAACGACTTGACCAGGTAAATCTTAGCTGGTTTGCATATTTCAAAACTATCATGGCGAAGTATTGGGACCATGGGCTGCATGCATTCAAATAAGTAGATATTTCCTAGTTGCAACCTGGGAGTTATTGTTTTTCCTTCCTCCTCCTACTTCATCTTCTCTCTGTTGATGTTGTTAAATGTTAAGTGCTCTATATTGGTTGTTCTATTCCTGTGTAACTAACTAGCATGTGAGTCCCATGCGTTGCAGAGTTGAGGAGTGAATCACATTGTTCAAGGCATAGGAGTAGTGGATCTTATTAGAGTTTTTGTTATATATATATAGATACTATGTGCTAACGTCCTGTTTTTCTGCAGCTTGATATATACGATGGAAAAGCTTCTGGTGAAGGTATGTTGTAATGATCAAAACTCATTTATTAGGAAAAGTGAATCATTAGAAAATGATTTTTTTTTCTTTTGTTTTTTGGGTGGATGGGATACTGCTTCAGCCTGGAAAGCCTGAGTGTGTCTTAATCTATCTTGAGTTGGATGTTTACAAGGGTTTAAGTGTGATAGCTATTTTAAGCTTAAACTGGTTGCTTATTTGAATGTGCTCTTGCTATAGTAAATGAGGAACCTGTAAAGAAAACTACAGTGCCTAAGCAGAGTACAAAAAAGGGTGCAAGAGGTGGTGACAATTCCAAGAAGAAGCAGAAAACAAAAGAATCGTCTGAATCGGAGGAGGAGGAGGATGATGATGAAGCAAGTGACGATGAGGAACAAGTAAATGGTGCGGCCAAGGGGAAAAGGAAACGTGGCGGAAATAATTCTGGTAAAGCGAAAGGTAAAGCTAGGGGTTCTGGCCCTGGGAGAAATCGGGCTCCAGTAAAAACGGGTAGGAGGAAGACCCCGTAAGTCTTGACTTGGGATTTGTGGTCAAAATTTAAAGTTTTGTTCACCAAGAGAATTGTACTGTTATTTGTTGGCTGGTGAATTTGCCTACCTATTATAGTTATTGAAATTTTTATTCTGCTATGTTTTTATTGTAAATTTTTTAGGAAACTAGTGGTTGGATTCGGAGATCCCATAGGCTACAAGCCTGGGTTTTAATTTTTAAATTAAGGAAAATGTCTTTGTTTACCTCATCAGCTGCCACTCTTGTTCGAGTGTGACTGCTGATTTGAACTTTGAGTTGACAAGGGAAGGCAAAATGCTCTCACCAGCAAGTTCCAAGAGAAATGAAGACAGAAAGTTGAGTTGGAATGATCACCTATCAAGTCATGTTTTGAGATTCATGTGTGGTTTTAATTTCTCGGCAACAGATCTTTTAATTATTTAATGACGGATTATCATCAAAATTGCATCAACAGACTTTTCCAATTTTATTGTAGTTTGTGGCCGTATTTTTGATTGCACACGATACTATTTAATACTACTATTTTGGTTCTCAAGAAAGAATTTATTTGATTTTTATTTGTTTGAATTTAAGATTTTAATTTATTTTTTTAAAATAATTTTTATAATAATAATAGTTAATCAACATTGATTAGAAAAGGTATTTTAAAAAGATGATATTTATTATTATAAATAGTTAACTCAATTTTTTAATCTAATTTAATTAATTAATTAGTTTTTATATTAAAAATAAAAATGGTATAGGAAGGTGTATTAACGTAATCCGGAAGCTCGGTGCATCCAATGCGAAAGGACGATCGTAAAGGTACTTGGGCTTGTGCAATTATCATTTAGTTTGTATTTTGCGAACCCGTTTGTTTAGGAAACACGATGTTACTCGACATGGCAATAAAGCCATAAGCAAGCGCATTGAATTACTTGAGGAACGCTATTTTTGGACCAAATTTTTTTTTTTTGGGGGGGGGGGGGTGGTTGGGTGTTCAACTGGGGCTACCTGTGCGAGTGTGCCACGTCCCATAAGAAGGCAATTTCTAGTGAGTTTCCCTATCTTCGGCCGGCAATATTGAATGAATTTTGGCTTCCTTCTTTTCTTGCAATCCTCCAAATTCACCGAACGGATGCCATGTCAGGTGTCGAGCATACAATTACGGTCCAAACATCCCTTATGAACAATGTAATAGATTACTAATTTAGAAATACTAGATCTGCTTCATGATACAAGAGGTAATTAATTTGTGAATAGTTAGAAAATTAATTTAGTTTTTGTAATGGATGTTTTTTTTTAAAATATCTTTATTAATCATGTGTATTAGAATAAAACTTTTTAATACAGGTTACTTTGGATAAAAATAAATATGAGAAAACAAAGTAGATTGACTCTTATATTTAGAATTAAATTGAATCTCTAACTAGTTTTTATATTTAGTATCAGAAGTAGTATTAAAAACATTAATTAAGTTAGTTATTTATAAAAATCACATGTTAGCTTTTTTAAAATACTTTTTTTTAATTATATACATTGAAACTATTACTTGGTGAAAATCTCTTATAATTAATAGGAATATTTTGAATAAAAAATTATAAATTTGAAAGATAAAATGTATTTAGATCTAAATTCAACCCCTATATAGTTTGTAATATTTTTGTTTCTTAATATAAGAGCCAGTTTGACATTCAGTTTGGTACTAAATATAAGATTTCAATCCACTTTGTCTCTTATATTTATCTATTTTTTTAAGGTAGTCCTTATAATGGTTGTACATGGTAAATATTTCATCAAATAGTAATTCTAGCTAATACATATGATTAGTAAGGGTATTTTAAAGAAGACGACACATATTTATTATAAATAATTAGTTTAACTAATTTTCTTAATTTACTCAGATTAGTCAACTAGTCACGTCCTGTATTAATAGTAGAAGGTAGTATAATATTATACTCGTAATATAATACTCCTCCGGTCCTTAATATAGGACTCAATTCTTGAGTTAGTTTTGGTCCTAAATATAAGACTCATTTCTCATATTTTTTAATTTTCTCTAAATTACCCCTATGGATACTCCCCCAACCATAATCAAGTAAAAGAGGGGGAGGGGGTATTAAAAAAGATTATTATGGTATTTTAGGAAAAATGTGTCATTTTCTTATCATTAACTAATTTACCTAACTTCCTTAATCTAATCAAATTAGTTAAATGGGTCTTATATTAAGGACCGGAGGAGTATAATACAAGTGGTGGGTGGTAATCCGCACCTACCTTAAGATTACCTTTCGGAATCGCCAAGTCTTAGTTTTAAAATTCAGCGATCATGGAGGCTTGCTGATTAATTTTCAGTTTAAAAATGATTCACTTTGACGATCAATGTACTGCATCAATACTACTGGTTACAGGCTCTGCAATTGTTGAATGAAAATAAATTCAATCCGTATCCGATTGTCAAATTACTATGACAGTTGAAGCCTTCAAATTATGAGAGCTGTTTTCATTTCTTTGCAAACCTTCACGTTCACTAATCAGCATAAAGAATGCCCGGCATTCGCGGCTGTACGTATTCTTCCTTTGTTTTCTTTATTTCTATCAGTTTGACCTTCACAGATACATTACGGCATACTTATATCTTAGTCGTACTAAAATCTTTGTTTAAGAAAATTTATCTCACCAATTTTATTCTTTTCAGTTGCAACCTGCTAACTAAGTCAACTCAATGAAGCTCAGTCTTGCGTGATTTATCCATTAACAACGAAAAAATATTTCTAGCTGCTGAACACGTACGTTGCTTAAATTATTTTTTGTGCGAACTAACGTCATTGCTGATTAATGATTTGATGTTGTTCCTATTATATTTTTTGTTCCAAGTGGTTTGTTATTATTTACTTACCACACAAATGTGCAGAGGCTTCGAGGTTGGATCAGGTCAAGAGTGATGTGCGCATCCAATACATCTTTCATTATTATACCATAAACACGCGACCCAATACATCAACCCTAAATTTAACAAGGCAGGATTATAAGCAGGATGGAATCTACGATCTTATATTTGGTGGAAACTGCTAAATGATTGGCGGAAAAGTAATTTGACTAAACTATGCAGTCCTGTAATTTCTTGGGCATAAGGCAAAGAGCATTCTTTTTGTGCATGGCGATTCCAGGAAGAACATCAGTGTCTATGTCCTCCACTTTCATCCCTTTGGGGAGTTCCCAATCGAAAGAGTTGAGTAAATTAGCAAGTGCTAGCTCCACTGTTACAACTCCCAGTTGTATTCCTGGACATATTCTTCTTCCTCCTCCAAACGGTATCCACCCAAATCCTTGTCCCTTGCTGAAATCCACAGACCTACCTTCAAATCTTTCTGGATTGAACTCTTCTGGCTGCTCCCATGCCTCTGGGTCCCTCCCTATGGCCCACACGTTGAAATATATCACACTCTTGTCTTCTATGTCATACCCACCGATCTGGCATTTCTCAGTCGCTTCCCTCGGTACCATTAATGGCGCTGGTGGGTACATTCTCAGTGTCTCCTTCACTGCCGCCTCCAGATAAGGAAGCCTTTGGAGATCATCTTCGTCAATGAAGCTTTTTCTCGGCTTTAAATTTCTGATTTCTTCTTTGACTTTATTCATCACTCTTGGATTCTTAATGAGAGCCGTCATGGCCCATACCAGCGTCGCCGCCCCGGTGTCAGTCCCAGCTATGAATATATCCTGCACCCAAATAATTCACTATATTTTATTATTGTAAGACACTCTCATGCTTGTCCCAATCTAATGAGTATATTATATTGTATCCAAACATATGTATTTTATCAGTGCACGGCAAGCCTTTTAAGAGTCTACGCCATAAGCATTCTGCCTAAAATATTTATTTAATTTCAGGTTTGAAACGGTGAAAAGGTTAAGAGTAATACCGTAAGTAAGGCTTTGATGCTAGTCAATGAGAGTTCGAATGAAGATGTATCCTTCGTCAATCCAAGACAGACATCGATGAAGTCTTCTTCTTGGTCGGATTTTCGTGCTTTTGAATGGATGTGATCATCGATGATCTGCTGGAAGAAATTATCCAATTCCGTGAAGTTTTTTTCGAGCCGCGATAATAATCCCCTGAGCCTATCAATCCAGTGCCCGATGAAAGGTAAATGGTCTGTGAAGTAAAACGCAGCGATCATGGCTTGTTCTTCATTCAACATCCCATGAAACTGACTCCTTTTGTTTCCTTCATCTTCATATCTCTTTCCAAAAGCAGCTCTGCAAATTATGCTGCTTGTCAGACGCATCACCGCCTCGCTCAAGTTTGTGACTTGATTCAGGGAAGCCGACTTTGATATATTGTTCATCATTCGGAGCACTTCGTCTTCCCGGAGAGAGCGAAAAGACTGAACACGTTTGGTGTTGAACAAATGAACGACACAGAGCTTTCTGAGTTCTCTCCAGTAATCGCCGTAGGGTGAAAAAACCAGGTCTGAACAATCATAGCTGTATTTCCTCTGACCGAGCAAGGATGGGCGACTGGCCATTTGGAGGTCATGGGTTTTGAGGAAGAGCTCAGCCATTTTTGCGGAGGAAACAACCAGAGTTGGTATGGAAGCGAGGCGCAAGTGCATGAGAGGGCCGTAGTGGTTGGAGAGACGCCATAGGTGGAGGTGAAGGTCAGAGCTCGGAAGCTGATGAAGGTTGCCGATAAGAGGAAGGCCTGGAGGACCAGGAGGGATGTTAAGCGAGGCGGTGGTTCTTTGTTTATGAAGAAGGTAGAAGAAGATGAAAGGGATAAAGAGAAGGGCGATTAGAAAAAGCATGATTTTGCAGCTTCTATCTGCTTTCCGCCGGCTAAAGTGCGTCAGTCGCTTTACATTTTATAGAACGGAAGTCTCAATTTGGAATTATTTATGCAAGTGAATATTACTGACAAATCCGTGGTTTTTTTTTTTTCCGGACTAGAGACTGAAAGGGAAAACCACCTAACGTAGTTGCGTGTGCATTTAAATATGGGACGGACACTCTGTGTATATTTATAGATATATTCCTCCGGTCCTAAATGTAAGACCCTTATACACATTAGTATAAGAGTCTTACATTTAGGATCGGAGGAGTATATTTTTATATAAATTGTTTCCTTCGGTATGGCCCAAGAGCAACATTGGGCTGTGAGCCTGTGAGTTTAAATCACTCCGCCCACACATTATCCAAATTTGTTCGAGAGCATGCTTTGAGGGGGGGAAAACTCGCGCTTTTGATTGTATTTTAATTTCTTGTAATGTGTTTCTTGAATACTTAATGAAGAATTTTATTATTTTAAAATAGCGTGAATAAGACAAAGTTCAATCATATCACAATCTTCTTGTAAATAAATCACAATTTGCTTGTAAATAACTTGAAATTATATATAAATATAAAATAATAGTTACGTGAGGAGGTGTATAACTACAGCTTAAATACCAGAGCAAGATATTATCGTGAAAAGTTAAATTCTTAGAAGGAAATGAAAAATCATGAACTCGACGTCATTTTATTGAAGCGAACAAGTGAGCAGACGGAAGTGAAAGTTTGAGACAGCTACAGTGCAATCTTAAATACCGGGAAGGATTCCACGCACACAAAAATAGCAGGTGACCACGTGGATGTGTATTATGGGTTCTTAATGACTAAGAAAAGATCATTTTTCTTGTTCACAGCTATTCCTGGTGTGACTTCGGTGTCAATGTCATGCTCCTCAATCCCAGCAGGCAATTCCCAATCAAAACAGTGAAGAAGATTAGCAAGTGTAAGCTCCACTGTGACTACTGCCATGAGCATTCCGGGACAAATCCTGCGACCAGCTCCAAATGGAATCAGCTCAAAATCTTGGCCTTTGAAGTTTACTGAACAGTTGTTGAAGAACCTTTCTGGATAAAACTGTTCTGGCTCTTCCCATGTCTCAGGGTCTCTCCCTATAGCCCACGCATTCACTAAAACCATAGTTTTTGGTTGAATCTCGTAACCTTCTATGCTGCACCTGTCCATGGATTCTTTTGGCAGAAGCAAGGGAGTAGGTGGAAACAGTCTCAGAGTCTCCTTCACCACTGCTTTGAGGTAAGGAAGCCTCTCAATATCCTCTTCACTTATGAATTCTTTCTCACTATATAACTTTCTGATTTCATCTTGTACTTTCTTCATTACCCTGGGATTCTTTATCAATGAGGTCATTGCCATAACTATTGTTGCTGCACTCGTGTCTGTTCCTGCTATAAATATATTCTGCATCCACATATATAACAGAAATTGAATAACCTTTAAGAAAAGAAAAAAAAGACTCTTGTTTATCATAGAAAATGGAGACAATATTACCATGAGCAAAGCCTTGATGTGATCTAAACTGAGATCAAACGAGGACGATTGAGAATCCATTATTTGAAGAAGGATATTAATGATGTCTTGTTGGTCGGCAGGAGGTGTTGTTGCATTTATGTGATCGTTGATGACTTGTTGGTAGAACATGTCAAGTTGCTTGAAGGTTTTATCCAGACGACTGAGAAGTCCTCTGAGTCTATCAACCCACCCCAACCATGGCAGATAGTCTGAGAAATACAATTCGACCAATAATGCCTCAGCTTCATTTAGCAGTCCATGAAATCTACTTCTCTCACGTCCTTGGTCTTCCAAATCATGCCTTTTCCCGAAAGCAATCCGACATATCAAAGTGCTGGTGAAAAACGTTAACCTCTCGCTCAGGTTGATTACTTTGTGAGAAGCAGCAGACAGTGACAAGTTTCGAATCATTCGCACAACCTCGTCTTCCCGAACGGGACGAAACGAGTGGGTGCGCCGAGAGCTAAACAGGTGATGGACACACAATTTTTTCATTTCTCTCCAATAGTCACTGTAAGGTGCGAAAGCCACGTCTAAGCCGTTGTACGACAATTTCTGTTGACCAAGCAAAGATGGTCTGCTAGCAAATACGAGGTCGTGGGTTTTCATGACTTGTCTGGCTATTTTGGCCGAGGAAACAACAATGGCGGGCTTGAGGCCAAAGCGCAGGAACATGAGAGGGCCATATTGTTGGGAAAGATGGCATAGATAGCTATGTGGGGAAGACCTGGAAAGCTGGTGAAGATTGCCTATGAGAGGAAGACCCGAAGGGCCTGGTGGAAGCCGTGCTCTTATTCTTCTTGTTCTGCGGATAAGAAAGATGAGGAAGATGGATGAGAAGAGAGTTAAAAGTATCACCATACTTTTGGTGCGGTACGAATTAAGTGTGTGGAGTTAGGAACCTGGATCTAAGATATATATAAAAGTGGTATGGTTACAGTTTATGATTTAAAATTCGATCGTTTAGGTTCACAAAATGATGAACGGGTAAATGGATATGGAGAAAAATTGAAAAGGGGAAAGAATTGCCATAAGATATTTCTCATATTCAATCACGTGCTTAACCCAAATGCCTGTAGGCCACATCATCACATGACCCGATCTGGCCTATCAAAAGGCGAGACACTCCTATTTAATTTGGAAACAATTTTAAAAGCGACATGCATGCTTAAAGAGTAAACACGTTACCTAGCTAGCCTAGTGTAAGCTTAGTATTGGTGTGGACTTAGGTTTTGAAGAGGACATTAATGGGCAGTTACTTTGGCTTTTCCTAGACGGGTGGGGCAAAAGAAAAAACTAAGGGTTATTTGTTTCAATTTATATCCTGCAATCCAGTGCAGGGTAGTGTAATGACAATGTAATGAAAGTTTATAATATTAGCATTTGGTACGTTTTTTGAGAGTGGTGCAATAAGCTATATCTAATAATTATTTAAAATGAATAAATAACAAAAGATAAGTTTATCTTTATAATGGCAACAACACACTCTCTTCAGACGAGAAGAGAGAGAATGAAGATATTTCTTATTTTTATAATGGCAATGGCAAATGAATGACGGGAAAGTTAGTTGAGGATGGAGGTGGGGTCATGGATTTTTGTGTTGCTCAGATTTGCTGAGGAGGAAGGTTAATGACAGAGAATGAAAACCAGAAGCCACGTTGCCGTACCTTTGGTGTTTGTATCGTCGTCCGCTGAAGAGCCACGTCTTGTTAGTCTCGATGCGCTTTCTGTAGGTGCAGGAAGGACTGCCGCCGCCGGTGGCCGTAGTGGCGATGTTAGCAGCGGGGTAAATTTCATGGAAGGAGAAATTGATGGACAAATGTGGGAAGACGCACAAGTAGATGGGAGTATTTTGGCATAAGGCAATGCTAATGGGATGGTAATGTAGATTCACAGGGGGCCCTATGAATCCTCATTGCCATTTTTTTGGTAATTATAATTAATGCAACCAAACGCACATATAATGGGATCTAAATAACATTCATCATCATTGCAACCCTACAATGCGGTTGAACCTATATGGTAATGTAACGGGATCTTAATAATTCATCATGCTAAATATTCTTTTACTAAATTTTATTAATCCAAATAACAATCTCAACTTTTTATTTTTAATGTTTTGTATCAAGCAGAACTTTTAACTTCAAAACACCTAAAAATTGTTATTTTCACGGATTATGGGATTAGATGTTCTTTGTTTTCGTATGCTAGAACTCCTCTGTACATGATTTTTTTGTTTTGTTTTGTGAATGAGATCATTTTCAGTCAAAAAAGAAAAGAAAGAAAAAAGACATCATTTGTGATGGAGGTTCGGAGCATGTGCTGTCATTTATTTAATGTGAGAATCGGTCTTAGTGCTCATCACAATGATAAGCACTATCATGTTTGTCAAATTTCAACCATTTAAATTTAATATGGATGACTAAGATTTAATATTTTTTAAATATTTTTTTTTAATAGGTACATAACTCAAAATAAAATGAAATACCTTGACTGTAAGTTTTTTTTTAAAAATAATTTTTATTAAAAAATTGTTAGTTAAAAATTTTAAATTTAAGTTATTAAAGTTATATCTCAACAGTTTAGATTTTATGACTAATAAATATCATGATACTTAAGTATCGAAACATATTCCACTCAGTGTGATAGCATTGGATTCATTTGTCCGCTTTCTAAAAAAAGGAGGGCAAATCTGGCCCGGCGCGGGTCTTGTGTTGCTCAGCTTCTTGTTTACATCAGTCGCATTCATTTTGCTACCTGGATGCTATTCTCTATTTACTTTTCTTTTCACTATAATAAATGAATCGTAATATTTTCAAAGAAAAGTAATATGTAAGATATCATATTTTATGCATGAAATCTATTTTTAAATATATCTTTTCTAATCTTTTTGTATGTTCTAGGTAAATATCCCATATATCACATCATATGAAGTGTTTAATATATCTTCAAACATTTTCATATAATTTAAATTTAAAATATACAACATTTGTATATTATTTCTATTTAAGAGTTATGGACATTATATATGATCATCTAAATCTAAAGTTTAATACATTTTATTCATTTTTTTCTTGATTTATTTTTGTTGAATATATATAAGTCTTTTCCTATTTTTTAAAATATTTTTCTACACATTTCAAAAGTTTAAATATTAAAAAAAAATACATTGTTTAAAAAATATTGAGATATTATTTATCAACTAAATATATATAATTACCAATTTACTATGAATTCAATTATTTAATTTCAACAGCTGCTTAAAAGAATGGCCAAGTTCGGATTCGAGAAGCTGCTCCCTTCGTTCAACCGTCGTTTGATCAGGGGACCGTTAAAAGGATTGTCGGCTGGATGGATATTGCGTTTATTGAAGGGATGCCTTTTAGGATAATGCGGATGCATTATCTTTTCTGTGGGTTGGGCCGAAATGTGTGTTCAGGCCCATAAAACATTTGGTCTATAAATCAAGTACACTGGAGACCAA